GACAAATGGTATCCCTTTCAGATACCTAGTTCAGAACGTCACATCCCTTTAAACTGCTGTAAATGCACTGTCTTAAAAAATATTTTTTAAAAAGCTACAAACGGGGAGTACTCCCCCCCCCCCTCCCTCAAGGTAGACTACGAGTAGTGTGTGATTTTCACGGGTGCTCGCGTTTCGCTCGCTCTACTATCCCTGAAAAAAATGAGGGATTACTCGGAGTCTACGCCCGGGATAAAAGCTTAAAAACTAAAGAAGATAAACCGCAATATCTACTTGACTCCCTCCAGTCATGTAAATAGTACAAAGTGAAAGACTTCTACAGATTCAGAAAATGGCCGGTCTAAAAGAAAAATTTCGAAACCTTGCGGAATGAGTCTGAGCCGTTTATGTTGGTAAATCTGACTTACCATGAATTGTCTCTCGCGTTCCTGTGTTTGGCGTGCTTCTTTAAAATCCTCCACAAGGATTTTAACATACTGCTTCTCTCAGCAATTTTCCAGTCGCAGGGAAATGTGCTGAACGCGAGAGAATGTAAAATATAGTAGTGCTGAGACGTGACTTTAGCTTTTTGAAAAAGAGCCGCGTGTTGTCAGATAGCTACAATAACAATAGAAATGTGAAGTGTGACCTGTCAACGATCTATAGATATACTCAGCTCAGTGGCACCAAGACGTAGCGTTACTGTGTAACTAAAGGTCAGGCCATTGGACTTTCGAGGGAGTGCAGTGGGGGATTGCGTGATTTCAGAAAAAAAGAAGGGAAGATAAGTATTCTGCAAAAAGACTTGGAACAAAGATAAAGATTGCCTTAAGTTAATGGTCTTACATTTACATCGAAATATGAGAAAATAAATCCCATCACAGAAGTAGGCTTGGCAGCAAAATGATCTTGCATAATCAAAAAAACCATCATCCCACCCTCCCCGTCAAAAGTCAGATGATCGGCTCCATTAACTCAAAAAAGCAAACACAGGGTCAACAGCTGAAGTTTGTTGATAATTTTGCAGTACAAAGCACTAATTTTGCCGGGTAATTGATCATGGGGTAATGGTCAGATGTTAGTGGTGTGATTTCTCAGACCACGGATTCTGCTGGCCTCCCACTGGCCTTGCCACAGGCCCGGGGGGGGGCACTTGGGTATTTTTTGGGTGGGTATGTGCTGCCCGGGACTCTAAATTGGCACCCCGTTCTACAAAAAAATTCCCCTCAAATATATACCCCGTTCTAGAAATGGACCAATTTTTTATACCCCGTTCTAGAATTCGCCCTAAAACTGATACCCCGTTCTAGAAATGGGCTATTTTTTTATACTCCGTTCTAGGGTGCAACAAGAGTATAACAGTTTGCTTGTTAACGCATTGAACCGTATTTTTAAAAGCAATCTGCTTACAAAACTGGAGCTTTCGTGCGTTCGAAATATTATACCCCGTTCTAGAAAACGCCTCTGAAATGGATACCCCGTTCTAAACCAGGAGCTTCAAAATCACGACCCCGTTAGGCGGCACATACCCGTATAGGTAATGTATGGGAGTACCCCCCCACCCCCCCGGGGCCACAGGTAAGCCAAGGTTACAATTGAATCGTTTCGTAACCCGGGGGAAACTTCGAAATGAAGGTGACTCATGTACGCGCGGTACAGGCTTTTTTAACTGATCTAAAAGATACCAAAATACTATAAATAGAATTTATGTTTCTATATATTTCTTCCCGTGCAGCCCTAAGCGACAGAGATCTTGATCCGGGGGGGTTGTACTCCCTTATATGACCTATACGGGGATGTGCCGCTGGTCAAGGTATGTTTTTTGTCCTCTCTGTCCTAAACACTGTAAACAGGGTATATAATTTCGTGCAAGTCTGTCCTGAACAGGGTATATAAGTCCTAATTACAAACTGAGAGAAAAATCTACTAGAATAATCTCTTGGTTGATTTGTTTCAGTGAAATTTGTTTGTGCTCAAAGTACACAAAAGCTACGACCATAACGTGAATTTTCTTAATTGCAATTGCCAATAAATTACTTTAAATCAAGACAATGTTCATTTTGTCGTTTGTTCTAAAAAGGTTAATGAAGTTGAGGACTTTTTTGGTGCTAAACAAGGTCAGGGTTTCAGCGGCTTGCCCAAATATTGCTACAGACCCCCCTAAGCGAGACGATGAGCATCGCTGTCCATTTCCCAACGTTTATGATGGCATGTACAAGATCTGATAGACAGAATCGCGATATAAAGAACGATGCAAATTTATATGTGTTAAGATGAAGTTACTTTGCGATGTGGAGACCAAACAGAAACAATCGGCTCGACGCATTATCTACCATATGGATTTAGAGACTTAAGAATTCTGGATGCCTATAACCTTATATGATTCGATTACGCCCAGGCTTTTATTGCATAGTTTCAGCGGTATAATTCGGCATCCAATCAAATGTGGCGTTTATTTCGCTGAAAACACACAATTTCTTAATAAACCCCTGGATCGTGGGGCACCCAACGACAGTTTTCTGTAAAATATCTGATCGAAGAAGCAAATATTTCCTAGAATTTTCTATTACTTGAGGACGGCTAAAAATTTCTAAATGACCGTTCCACTCTTGTACAATTTTCGAAGCTTATGTAATAATTCCCTACGATTTTCTGAAGAGTTAATTTTTTACATTTCCCAGCCCAGGTTAGGCTATTTTTTGTAAAAAAAAAAAGGAAACCCAAAATTTTCGGATTCAAAAATGTAATGGAGAGAGGAATCAAAAAAATTATTTCTGTTATTTCTTTCGTAATACGTTAAATTGCATCTAAAGTTTTCGGGGAAATCAGTACTGAAGCCCGTGTAATTTCGAAAAGACTCAAGTTCTCCTAACATGGCTGAACAGGTTCAAATTTGTAGCGCCTCTTAGAATGCATTTCTAGAGATGTAAAAGTATTCTGGATAGCCTAAAAAGGGTTTTTAATATATTTAGGAAGAAATTGTCGTTGGGTGTCAGGAGTATAAAGCTGCAAACATCCTAATAAAGCCTCAGAGTAGCTCTCGGCGAATGGGGGGAGGGGGGGAGAGGGACTCTCTCTTCCCTCGTGACTGCCGAAAGCTTGCTCGCAGGTCGACAATCATTATAACTTAAGGGCAAATGAAATTTAATTTAACACTGAATAAAAGCTGTTTTAAGCTACAACATTTTGCTAAAAGTGTTACAAAATTTTAACGCAATTACTTGTCATGCTCTATTCATGCAAAATATCGTTGGCTGAGGCCGGAATATCACTCTTCACGCGATGGATGAAATCGATTCTTTGCCCGCCTCTTGAATTTTTTATTTTCATGGTCACTTGGCTCGGGTTCGATCCCCTGTACTCCTAGGTTCCATTTAACCAGTTCCGGGATATCCTGGATATGGCTTGGTTGATTACAGGTTACTGAACATGAGGACATGAAGCCAGTCTCGTTCAGCAGCTTACACACTATAAAACATAAGGAATTGACTTGTTAATACCGGTAACAAACCCCGGAGATACTCTCTATAATGACCTATACAAGGGGGGCTTCGCCCGAAAGGGGTACCCCAAGTTATTACACTTCAGGTATAAGAGAGGGAAGGGAAGGTTGAAGCTTCATGAAGTATGTGAAAGGGTTGGGAAATCAGTCATTTCGTTTTGTAAGAAACTCCAAAACTGGATAACAGATGCATTTCATGGCTATGAAAAAGTAGAGGAAACGTTGTGGTGATTTACTCATAATTAAAGTACAAAAAATTGTAAAATTGCAAATTGTAATTTGTTTACCTACGGATCACTAAGGAGTTCATAAGAACTCGTTGAAACATGTCCGTGCGTTCCAGATCGAATTGGAATTTGAAAATGTTGGTTTTTAAGGAGAGGGGAAAACCGGAGTACCCGGAGAAAAACCTCTCGGACAAGGGAGAGAACCAACAACAAACTCAACTCACATATAGCGCATCTACAGAGGTTAAAAGGGATACAAAGTTCTAAACTAGGTATGCCGGAAAGGTGTACAATTTGTCAATAGAAGGTATACAAAAGGGGTACCTTTTCTCTCAAAAATGGCAATTAAAAGGGTGAGCGGTTGGAGCTCGGGTGGAGCCTTCCGTATAAGACTGTTTTTAGTACCCTCTCATGACCGCAAACAAACGAAGCCTTATAAAGAAACCAATTCAGATTTTACCACGTGTGCAGACATCCTGAGTAGTTCCCTTTCAGTTCAGTGCTCCAATAAGATTGACCCAATTGGTTACAAACAATCAAGGTCGTTGAGAGGAATTATGATAACAACATATTTGATAACCATACATGCCCTTTCGATAAAACGTTTCCACAAATGCCTACAACTGTTCTAAAAAGTACCACTGAGTCCTTCCTCTATTTTCGTTGTATTTTATACTAGTAAGCTATTTTATTTCTTACATTTTCTCCTTCAACTTACTTCTTTTCAGTTATATAAAACCATCAACTACCCCCAAATCTTAAAGTTATCGAAACGTCATGTTTTAAATCGGTGTTGAATTGCATTTAATTGCTCAATACTTCTTATTGCTGTTACTTACTGTAGTAGGGGTCGTCTGGGTCACACAAAACGCTGTTGGAACAGTTCTTGTAAACAAACGTCATCTCCTGTTCTTTGATTTTACCCTCCACCGTCATACATCGATCAAATTCAGGACCACATGTGATAGTCGGGACCGGTTTGCTATCACAACTCTTTTGCCCAGGAACTGGATAACTTATACAATCTGGGCACTCAAGGGCAGCAACTGTAAACAGGCAAATAAAGTCAAAATAATTAAGCAGAAAAAATCGTGCCCAAGCAGGCCGACATGAATTCAATCATTTCAACTCAACTCGACAAAATCAAGCTTGCACAAATATTTTGTACCTCCTTTTTTCTTGAAGATAGAAACCGATTTCCATGTTTCCCGTGCGTGCGAGGTCGACTTCACCCAATTAATCTTGTTCCATTTCTCCAGTTCCGGAATTTCCTGGATATTGCTTGGTTGAGTACAGGTTACTGAACATGAGGAAATGGAGCCAGTCTTGTTCAGCAGCTTACAGACTATAAAACATAAAGAATTGATTTGTTAATACGGCAACAAACCCCCGGGGATACGTACTCCCTATAATGGCCTATACACAGGGGCCTCCGCCCGAAAGGGGTACCTTTTTCAGACTTCAGATATACGAGGGGGCAGGGAAGGTTGAGGCTTTTTGAAGTATATGAAAGGGTTGGGAAATCAGTCATTTCGTTTTGTAAGAAACTCCAAAACTGGTTAACAGATGCATTTCATGGCTATGAAAAAGTAGAGGAAACGTTCTGGTGATTTACTCATAATTAAAGGACAGCGCATTTACAGCGATTAAAAGGGATTCAAAGTTGTAAACTAGGTTTGCCGGAAAGATGTACAATTTGTCAATAAAGGGTATACGAAAGGCGCTTTTCTGTCAAAAATGGCAATTAAAAGGGTAAGGGGTTGGAACTCGGGGTGGAGCCTTCCGTATAAGACTTTTTTGAGTACCCTCTCACGGCCGCAAACAAACGAAGCCTTATAAAGAAACGAATTCAGATTTTACCACGTGTGCAGACATCCATCATGAGTAGTTCCCTTTCAGTTCAGTGCTCCAATAAGATTGACCCACGTGGTTACAAACAACCGGAGTCGTTGAGTGGAATTATGATGAAAAAATATTTGATAACAATACCCTTTCGATAAAACATTTCCACAAATGCCTACAACTGTTCTAAAAAGTATCACTGAGTCCTTCCTCTATTTTCGTAGTATTCTCTTTACTAGTGAGTTGTTTTATTTCTTACATTTTCCGCTTCAACTTACTTCTTTTCAGTTATATAAAACCACTAACTATCCCCAAATCTTAAAGTTATCGAAACATCATGTTTTAAATCGGTGTTAAATTGCATTTAATTGCTCAATGCTTCTTATTGCTGATTACTTACTGTAGTAGGGGCTGTCCGGGTCACACAAAAAGCTGTTGGAGCAGTTCTTGTAAACAACCTCCAGTCCTTGGATTTTACCCTCTACCGTCATACATCGATCAAATTCAGGACCACATGTGATAGTCGGGACTGGTTTGCTATCGCAACTCTTTTGCCCAGGTGCTGGATAATTTGTACAATCTGGGCACTCAAGGGCAGCAACTGTAAACAGGCAAATAAAGTCAAAATGATTAAGCTGGAAAAATCGCACCCAAGCAGACCGACTTAAATTCAATCATTTCAACTCAACTCGACAAAATCAAGCTTGCGCAAATATTTTGTACCCCCCTTTTTTTTGAAGATAGAAACTGGTTTCCATGTTTGCCGTGCATACGAGGTCGACTTCACCCAATTAATCTTGTTCTGGAGGTTTTGTTAGATTATTTGCTCCTGGTTGGATCTAAAGGCTCCGACATTCTGATCATCTCTCCGCCTAGCGAGCCCGCCCAATTAGCGCTCGCGAAAAGCACCAGTCAGTATTCACTTGTGCGTTATATGCTACAGTGGTATGTTACTATCCACTGACCAACCCCTCAAGAAGATTAAAAAACTGTAGGCCTCTGATAAATTGGCAGTAGTCGGTGTAACTGGATTTCGCCGCCTTACACGATCGAAGTTTCTAAAAGTAGCACAAGTTTCAGTGAGGGTGTCAGTGGGGTTGGGCAATTACGGCCAACGCTTAATCCTTTAGGTTTTCTATGGCTAACGATTACTCAGGGGCACCCAAAGAGAATATAGTTCAAAACCACTTAAACATAGCATTGTTAAACGTATTTTAGTATTTAAACGGCAGATATAAGCATATTTTTATCCCCTAAAAATTTTTCATCTGTTCGGATTTCCTAGCTGAAAGTCTAGTGATCCGAAAATTATAGGGATCAAAACTTACCTTTTCGAAAATTTCAGCCAGAAAAAAGGCTCCCGAAACTTTTTAGGGCAAAAATCCGTTAAAATGGGCAATTATACCATTTTTTGGATGTTCGAAAATCCTAGGAGAGACAGACAAGCAAGAAATTTTACAACAAATGTTCCGGACATATTTTCCGAAAATTGACGTTGGGTGCCCCTGTTGAAATCACTAATGGTTGAAAATTTCTCTTTTGCTGCTTTTCTTTTTCACGTCTAACGACAAAAAAGTTTGGGCTGTTAGTTTATGGCTTACAGTTACTTCTGCGGAGACATGCTATTCAGTGTGGTTTCAGTTTTCAAAACGAGCATTTGTTTCCAATTTTTTTGTTTGCTTAATTTTACTGTTAAGGCCTTCCTGGAGTGATTTTTGGGTATGTGGTTACTTATTTGCGAGGCAAATGAAGCTGATCATGACCTAACGTAAATGATACACTAATTTGACCGAACGTGACGTTTTGTTACATACGTTGAGCCGTGAAATCGTAGTAGCACTTGTGAGGACTGAAGCGTGGAGTGTTGAGTTAATCCAAGATCACCGAGCCTTTTCCGAGTTATTGTTTTTAACCATGAAGTGATTTAGACGGGAATATTACATAGTCGAATTTGATCACCTACCGATGGACATTATGCACAAAAATGTCATGCTGAACAGGGCCATATTTGAAGCTGCCATGGTTTGTCTTTTTACTCAGCAAGCACCGCTCTCTGGCTTCGCTGTGGAAATGAAGTGAAATATATAGCGCATGGTTTTACGTTAATCCAGGGCTGACACCTAAATAAGCACACAATTTCTATCAGCCGTCATTTACGACATTTCTACTAGGCTTCAGTATATTTTTTCCGGGTGACCTCACCTGAGTTTCGATCTGTGATCCGCCGCTCACGCAACGCAAGCCTCTGTTGGCAGACAACAAAGTTGAACCTAATAAGCCTGCGTACTATGTAGATGTGTATGCGAACAAAATTGAATGCTCCTTTGAAATGATAGACCTAAGTTAAACTAAGTCGCAAAGTGTAGCAAACCAACTGCCTGCAAGTTGGTGAGCACTTTTGATGAATTGGGTCAGTTCAAACGTCATCAGTCATTCCTGCCGGGTGAAAATTTGACTTGCGTATCACAAAGACACATATGATGTCGCATTAAATAACCAACATTTACGTTGATCCCCAGAAATGTGTGATAATCATTTACGCTTATAAAGTGAACTTCGACCGCTCTATTTTGCAAAATTTGCGGAACACTTTAATTTTGAGGGAACGACCACTTCATTCCAGAACTTGACTGCATAACTCCAAAGGACAACGTTAAAAAGTTGTCTTCTTCCTTGGCACCCAAGATCGACGAAGTCAGTGAAATGTTTTTTAGTCTTCCTCTTCAGCATCTTGTATCAAAATTCAACTGACATTTCTGACAGTGCCAAAGTTGAAATGCTAAACGCTATATTTTTAATGTTTCGATCGTCACGTGCCTCACTGAAGCACAACTAAGTTTCAAGTCCTCTAGAGCCATGGCTGTAAAGACTAAAAGCCTTCAATATTCGGCAATTGCTTGAACTTCATTCCGTCTATACAAGGCTCGCAAGGACAGATAAAAGCAAACGCACCTGAACTTGCAAAGAAAAAAATAAATAAAACTGAGGCTGATTTCTACCACGAGGTTCTCTCCAATCCACACCCCGCTGAGAGCGGATCCGAAATAATGTGAATGCGCGCGCATTTTGCCACAAACGCAAGGCAGGGCGAGTAACTGGGACCAATCACTGCTACAGAAAAACTTAGGAAGCTGAAGAGTGCATTTTACGTGGGACGACAGCCAAGGAAAAGACTCTTTTCATATACAGGAATTGACAAAAATAACATGGGCGTATTTTGCAGATATCGAAAGTAGAAAAACGTGTACAAAGTGTGATTTACATACAGGATGTGCATAAGGCCGAAAGAACGACATTTGAGGAGGAAAAGAGAAAGAAAGATATGAATTGGTCGATGTTACATCCTTCATAGTCTGTTCATAAGGCTAGGCGAATAAGAAAAGATAAGTATTCTGCAAAAAGACTTGGAACAAAGACAAAGATTGCCTCGAGTTAATGGTCTTATATTTACATCGAAATATGAGAAAATAAATCCCATCACAGAAGTAGGCTTGGCAGCAAAATGATCTTTCATAATCAAAAAACCCATCATCCCACCCTCCCCGTCAAAAGTCAAATGATCCACCCCATTAACTCAAAAAACCAAACACAGGGTCAACAGCTGAAGTTTGTCGATAATTTTGCAGTGCAAAGCACTAATTTGCCTTTTAATTGATCATGGGGTAATGGTCAGATGTTAGTGGTGTGATTTCTCTAGCCTGTTCCAGGTTCCGAGATAGTCGGGCCCGCGGAATTGAGAAAGCGCGAACAAGAAAAAAAAACGCCACGCCCAGGAGCCCCGCCCCCATTTTCGCGCGCCCTACACTTTCGCGTCTTCCCCACTATCTGAGAGCCTGGAACACGCTATGATTTCTCAGACCACGAGTTCCACTGGCCTCCCACAGGCCTTGCCACAGATAAGCCAAGGTTTCAATTGAATCGTTTCGTAACCCGGGGGAAACTTCGAAATGAAAGAGACGCATGTACGCGCTGTTCAGGCTTTTTTAACTGATCTAAAAGATACCAAAATACTATAAATAGAATTTATGTTTCATATTGATTCCCGTGCAGCCCTAAACGACAGAGATCTTGATCTGAAGGGGGGGGGGGGGCGTGCAAGTCTGTCCTGAACAGGGTATATAAGTCCTAATTACAAACTGAGAGAATAATCTACTAGAATAATCTCTTGGTTGATTTGTTTCAGTGAAATTTGTTTGCGCTTCAAGTATACAAAAGCTACGACCATAACGTGAATTTTCTTAATTGCAATTGCCAATACATTACTTTAAATCAAGACAATGTTCATTTTGTCGTTTGTTCTAAAAAGGTTAATGAAATTGAGGACTTTTTTGGTGCTTAACAGGGTTAGGGTTTCAAAACCTCAGCGGCTTACACAAATATTGGTACAGTACCCCCCTCCCCTCTTCACCCCCCGGGATCTTTACAGCTAAAGAATAGGTGTATTGATCTTTTGCCCAAATCCCCTAAGTGAGACCAAAATCCCTAAAATTGTCACCCCTAAGCGAGACGACGAGCATCCCTGTCCATTTTCCAACGTTCACGATGGCATGTACTGGATCTGAGAGACAGAATCGTGATATAGAGAACGATACAAATTTATTTGTGTTAAGATGAAGTTACTTTGCGATGGAGACCAAACAGAAACAATCGGCTCAACGCATCATCTGCCATATGGATTTAAGAATTCTCGATGCCTATAACCTTTAGACTACCTTATATGATTCGATTACGCTCAGGCTTTATTGCATAGTTTCAGCGTTATGCGGCATCCAATCAAATGTGGCGTTTACTTCGCTGAAAAGCACAATTTCTCAATAAACCCCTGGATCGTGGGGCACCCAACGATAGTTTTCTGTAAAATATCTGTTCGAAGAAGCAAATATTTCCTAGAATTTTCTATTACTTGAGAACGGCTAAAAATTTCTAAATGACCGTTCCACTATTGTACTATTTTCGAAGCTTATGTAATAAATTCCCTACGATTTTCTGAAGAGTTAATTTTTCACATTTCACTGCCCAGATAAGGCTACTTTTTGTAAAAAGCAAATAGGAAACCCAAAATTTTCGAATTCAAAAATGTGATGGAGAGAGGAGTCAGAAAAATTATTTCTTTCGTCAGTAATGCGTTAAATTGCATCTAAAGATTTCGGGAAAATAGTACTGAAGCCCTTATAATTTCGAAAAGACTCAAGTTGTCCTAGGATAGCCGAACAGGTTCAAATTTTGTAGCGCCTCTTAGAATGCATTTCTAGAGATGTTAACATATTTAGGAAGAAATTGTCGTTGGGTGCCCCTGCTGGATGTAAGAAGAAGCCCTAATAAAGCCTCAGAGTAGCTCTCCGCGTGGGGGGCACTCTTTCTTCCCCCGTGACAGCCGAAAGCTTGCTCGCAGGTCGACAATCATTATAACTTAAGGGAAAATGAAATTTTATTTAACACAGAATAAAAGCTCTTTTCAGCTACAACAGTTTGCTAAAAGTGTTACAAACTTTTAACACGATTACTTGTTATGCTCTACACTCATGCAAAATATCGTTGGTTTTCAAAGGAAACAAAAAATTAAAAAACGCTAAGGCTGGAATATCACTCTTCACGCGATGGATGAAATGGATTCTTTGCCCGCCGCTTGAATTTTTTATTTTCATGGTCACTTGGCTCGGGTTTCATGCCCCGTACTCCTACGTTCCATTTCTCCAGTTCCGGAATTTTCTGGATATTGCTTGGTTGAGTACAGGTTACTGAACATGAGGACAGGAAGCCAGTCTCGTTCAGCAGCTTACACACTATGAAACAAAAGGAATTGACTTGTTAGTACTAGACTACGAGTAGTCCCCTCTTCTGCCAAAAATGGAAATTAAAAGGGTGAGGGCCTGGAGCTCGGGGTGGAGCCTTCCGTATAAAACGTTTTTGAGTACCCTCTCAGGGCCGCAAACAAACGAAGCCTTGTAAAGAAACGAACTCAGCTTTTGCCACGTGTGCGGAAATCCTGAGTAGTCCCTTTCATTTCAGTGCTCCAATAAGATTGACCCAAATGGCTACAAACAATCAAGGTCGTTGAGTGGAATTATGATAACAAAATATTTGATAACCATACCCTTTAGATAAACCGTTTCATGCCTACAACTGTTCTAAAAAGTATCACTGAGTCCTTCCTCTATTTTCGTAGTATTCTAGATCTATACTAGTAAGCTATTTTATTTTACATTTTCCGCTTCAACTTACTTCTTTTCAGTTATATAAAACCACTAACTACCCCCCAAATCTTAAAGTTATCGAAACGTCATGTTTTAAATCGATGTTAAATTGCATTTAATTGCTCAATGCTTCTTATTGCTGTTACTTACTGTAGTAGGGGCCGTCTGGGTCACACAAAAAGCTGTTGGAACAGTTCTTGTAAACAAACGTCATCTCCTGTTCTTTGATTTTACCCTCCGCCGTCATACATCGATCAAATTCAGGACCACATGTGATAGTCGGGACCGGTTTGCTATCACAACTCTTTTGCCCAGGTACTGGAAGATTTGTACAATCTGGGCACTCAAGGGCAGCAACTGTAAACAGGCAAATTAAGTCAAAATAATTAAGCCGAAAAAATCGCACCAAAGCAGGCCGACTTAAATTTAATCATTCAACCCAACTCGACAAAATCAAGCTGGCGCAAACATTTTGTACCTCCTTTATTTTTGAAGATAGAAACTGGTTTCCATGTTTGCCTTGCATAAGAGGTCGACTTCACGCAATTAATCTCGTTGTGGAGGTTTTGTTAGATTATGCGCTCCTGGTTCCTCTCCGCCTTGCTAGCCCGCCCAATTAGCGCTCGCGAAAAGCACCAGTCAGTATTCACTTGTGTGGTACATGCTACAGTGGTATGTTACTATCCACTGACCAACCCCTCAAGAAGATTAAAAAACTGTAGGCCTCTGATAAATTGGCAATAGTCGGTGTAACTGGATTTCGCCGCCTTACACGATCGAAGTTTCTGAAAGCAGCACAAGCTTCAGTGAGGGTGTCAGTGGGATTGGGCACGGCCAACGCTTAATACTTTAGGTTTTCTATGGCTAACGATTAATCACTGTTGAAATCACTAATTGTTGAAAATTTCACTTTTGGCTGCTTTTGGTTTTTTACGTCCGACGACAAAAACGTTTAGGCTGTAAGTTTATGGCTTACAGTTCATGACAGTTACTTCTACTGAGACATGCTACTCAGTGTGGTTTCAGTTTTCAAAACGAGCATTTGTTTCGACTTTTTGTTTGCTTAATTTTACCGTTAAGGCCTTCCGGGAGTGATTTTTGGCTATGTACTTACTTATTTGCGAGGCAAATGAAGCTGACCTAACGTAAATGATACACTAATTTGACCGAACGTGTCGTTTTGTTACATACGCAGGGGCACCCAACGACAATTGTTTGAAAATATCTGTTCGGAAGACGATTTGAGATCTAGAATTTTCGGAACATTTGTTGTTAAATTTCTTGCTTGCATGCCTCTCCTGGGATTTTCGAACCTTCCAAAAATGGTATAATTGCCTATTTTTAACGGATTTTTACCGTGAAAAGGTCACCTAGAATTTTCGGGAGCCTTTTTTTCTCGCTGAAATTTTCGAATAGGTAAGTTTTGATGCTCATAATTTTCGGATCATTAGACTTTCAGCTAGGAAATCCGAACAGATGAAAAATTTTTAGGGGATAAAAATATGCCTATATCTACCGTTTAAATACTAAAATACGTTCAACAAGGCTGTGTTTAAGTGGTTTTGAACTATATTCTCGTTGGGTGTCCCTGCATACGTTGAGCCGTGAAATCGTAGTAACACTTGTGAGGACTGAAGCGTGGAGTGTTGAGTTAATTCAAGATCTCCGAGCCTTTTCCAAGTTATTACTTTTAACCACGAAGTGATTTAGACGGGAATATAACATAGTCGAATTTGATTACCTACCGATGGACATTATGCACAAAAATGCCATGCTGAACAGGGCCATATTTGAGGCTGCCATGGCTTGTCCTTTCACTAAGGCAACAGCAAGCACCGCTTTCCTCGCTGTGGAAATGGAATGAAATATATAACGCGTTGCTTTAAATCCAGGGTTGATACCCAAATAAACACACAATTTCTATAAGCCGTGATTTACGTCATTCCGTCTTGTCTTCAGTATATTTTTTCCGGGTGACCTAACCTGAGTTTCGATCCGCGATCCGCCCCTCACGCAACACAAGCCTCTGTCTCTGACTCTGACAACAAAGTTGAACCTAATAAGCCTGCGTATGATGTAGATGTGTATGCGAACAAAATTGAAGGGTCTTTTGAAATGATAGACGTAAATAAGTTAGACTAAGTTGCAATGTGTAATGAACCAACTACCTGCAAGTTGGTAAGCACTTATGATGAATTGGGTCAATTCAAACGTCATTAGTCATTCCTGCCGGGTGAAAATTTGACTTGTGTATCAAAAAGACACTTATGATGTCGGATTAAATAACCAACATTTACGTTATTTCAGTGACATTGATCCCCAGAAATGCTGGAAATGTGATAACCATTTACGCTCATAAAGTGAACTTCGACCGTTCTATTTTGCAAAATTTGCGGAACACTTTAATTTTGAGGGAACGACCACGTCATTCCAGAACTTTATTGACTGCATAACTCCAAAGGACAACTTTAAAAATTTGTCTTCTTCCTTGGCACCGAAGATCGACGAAGTCAGTGAAATGTTTTTTAGTCTTCCTCTTCAGCATCTTGTATAAAAATTCAACTGACATTTCTGACAGCGCTGTAGTTGAAATGCTAAACGCTATATTTTTAATGTTTCGATCGTCACGTGCCTCACTGAAGCACAACTAAGTTTCAAGTCCTCTAGCGCCATGGCTGAAAAGACTAAAAGCGTTCAATATTCGACAATTGCTTGAACTTCATTCCGTCTATACAAGGCTCGCAAGGACAGATAAAAGCAAACACACCTGAACTTGCCAAGAAAAAGATAAATAAAACTGATTTCAGTACTTATCAAGAAATTTTAGAAGAGGTTAACGAGAATAACATGGGCGTATTTTGTTGGTATCGAAAGTAGAAAAAAGTGTCTACTGAGTGTTATTTACATACAGGATGTGCATATAAAGGCCGAAAGAACGACACTTGAGGAGGAAAAGAGAAAGAAAGATAAAATTGGTCGTTGTTACATCCTTCATAGTCTGTTCATAAGGCTAGGCGTTCAGATATTACTGAATGCAGGCGAAAAATATAGCGAGCGAAAAATGGATGGGAAATTGGGAAGTCATTCTAAACTTTGTTTTCTTTGCTGTTACAGATTAAAGCCGCAAGAGACAGCCTTTATATGCAGACGTGGCAGTAGAATTATCTCCGAGGACGATCACAGAGATGTGTCTTCAGAAATTCACTGGCTTCTTCCGGATAACATATGGCTTCATATATTTTCGTATTTGTCATTGCGACAAAGATTTCAAGCCTCATACACTTGCAGGCGTTGGAACAATCTTTGCAAAGATTCATTATTTTGGCACGAAGTTGACTTCTCATTCTGCAGCTCCCAAAGAGTAACAGATGATACGGTTAGAGCGGTTACGTCATACGCTATAGGAATACAAAGCATTGATTTTTCAGGCGACCAATGCGAGTCAATCACTGACAAGGCCATGGGTCACGTGGCGCGTTTTTGTCAGCGCTTGCAGAAATTGAACATATCCGGAAGAGAAAGAGTTACAAATCGCGGGCTCACTCTTATTGCCAGGAACTGCCCCCTTCTGAAAGAGCTGAACGTCGAGAAGTGCGAAGAAATTAGCGACAAAGGAATTAAATCAATCGCCAAGAATTGTCGTCGACTTAAGGTCCTTTCACTTGCGTCTTGTAGCAAAATCAGTGATAAAGGCGTAAGGTTCATCGCTAAAAAGTGCACAAATCTACAAAGCTTGAACATCGCAGGCTGCGGTGGAGTTTCCGATACGAGTCTCATGACTATTGGTAAACATTGCCACTCATTGCGAAATATCAACCTCAAAGAAATCACTGGCATCAGCTTTTATGGTATAGAAAGCCTGGTCAGCGGTAACCCTGGAATGACGCATGTGCGTTTAGGGATCGTGGGGGACGCACAGAACACGATGATCGCTTTACAGATTATTGTTAAACACTGCCAAAAACTGCAATTTCTAAGCTTTCAACATTTCCACAAGACTGGCGTTGTTGCAGGAGGAGTACAGAAGATGAATAAGAAAAGGCTTGGTGCTTTCATCAATAGCCTAAATGCATGTGTTTTTTCAAATGAGAACAGATAAAACTAGGAACTGAAAACTGCCAAAAGCGGCAGAATTATGAAAGGCAGCTTTGAAACTTCCCTGTCGCAGGGATAAATTAATGAGAATTAATTGTGACTCTCTCCTTGGTAAAAATTGCACGGTATGGCACAATTTAGGGGAGAGAAGATGAAATTTCATTTCCCTACAAAGGAACTATTTTCTAAATAGCAAAAAAACTTCATAATATTGAAGAAAAATAACAGGGAATTTTAAAAAGACATTATTTTGTGTTGTCAATTTTGCATTTTTCTCAGCTAGGATGTAAAGAAACTGTTAATTCAGTCAGATATCGGCAACCTGTCACTAGTCTCTGACTAGGCCATTAGTTTTGAAATTAAAACAAGGATGATAAATTTAAATATCGCCCCATGTAAGGGAATCCAGGACAGTCTTGGATTCTGGATTACATGCTGTGGATTCCGGATCCCGGGTACTGGATTCCGGATTCCAGATTCCAGCACAGTGGATTCCGGATTCCAAAAAGAGGTAGATTCCATTTTTTTTCCGGTTTTAATTCTTTTCTTCGCACTTTGTTTTCGTGTTCGAATCTTGCCATAGAGGCAAGGCATAACAAGTATGTTTTCTTTTTCGATTTACAAAATTACTAGCCTCCCACGCAGACGTTCTTAGGGGTTCGTTACGCGTTCCCGTGACGAACCCCTAAGAACCCCTTTCTGCATAAAAAGACCATACAGATCATCCTACGCTCCGGGTATGAAAACGCAGTGAAATATTTATTATTTAATCAATTTTAACCGACGTTCCTAGGAGGGTGTAACTTGTTTTGGCTTGTTTTGGGTCGTTGTGGATCTTTTGTCGATTATTTTTTATCTTTGTGGATCGTTTAGGTCGTTTTGTCTCTTTTTGCCTGTTTTCTCGTTTTATTAGTAACTGGCCAAATAAAAATACGCTGTGGCGTGTGCAATTCATTCTTTGCAAATTAAAGTCGTTGGTTCCGTTCACTAAAGAGTAGTTTTCCGTCTCAATAAAACTTGGAAAACCAATTTTAATTTATCCTTTAAGACGTTTTAAAACTCTCTCTCCGTGTCAATAAAGACTTTTGAAGAGGGTAAAAAATTCTCCCGTAGAAGTTGACGCGTACTGGTTTGAGGTTTTAGCGCGCGCAATGGTAATGAAATTCAAACTAACTGTCGCGTTGAATTTGATGTTAAAAAGAACACAAACGACAAAAAAATAGTTGGTTCATACTGTTGCGGAATCTTCCACTGCGTTTGGAATATCTCCGCGTCCGCTGGTTCAATAAACAATCAGGACTGTATCTTTCTCTTTCTTCGCTTTATTGCGTTCGTTCATTCGTACATCACAATCGTTCTAAACATTCTACTCAAAATTACAATGCTAACTAGTTTTATGGTTACCACAAGTAACTACGTATGTAACTACGTATGTCCGGACTACGTATGTCCGGCCGCAAACCGAACTTGGCAAAGGCTCACTATTATTTCTTGCGATCTGACACATGAGCGTGATACCTATTTCCTTAACATATCCCACATTATCTACCTTAATTATTATTTACCGCGCATAAACCGATTACAATCAAAACCACTAAGGTTGATAAAAACAAACCGAGTCAATTCTATTATTCGTCATAGGATGTGGTTACACGCCTAAGATAATTTTCTACTTGGCAAGGCAAAATCAACTGTTCAACAATTACGAAAAATAATACTAATAACTTGTTATAACACATACCTAGGATGTGCGTATAACCACGTTTTGTTAGAAAAAAAACTTCACGGCTCTATCAAATTCGTTGTTTAAGGTGATTCCATAGTAAAAGAACCTAACATAGATTTTAGCTAAAACTTGGTGCACTGATGTAACAAGTCAAGAAGATGATAAATAAGTAATAAAAAGTGGGGGTCACCGTGCTCGTTTTGACGTCACAATGCTGAGAAATACGGCTATTTAGGACCCTTTTACAAAAACCGCGGGCAGCGCAAAACTAGACAAAAAGGAGAGATTTTTTCGATGATGCATGTGATATCACACAGAATTTGACTTTAATGTATTGTTTATCCACTTACGTACCAGAAAAATGCCTTTTAATGCCCTTGTTTTTACTTTACGCTCCAAAGTAGAATTAAATTGGACGCGCGCTTTTCGACCCGTGATGGCTCAATCCGTACAATTTAGTAAAATTGCCAAAAAACTGAACATAGATTTGTGCCAATTTTTTTCTCATCGAAAGGAAGCACTGTCCTTATTAAAATCATGAAATAAAAAATGGGGGTCACCGTACTCGTTTTTGCGGTAGAGCTGCAGAGGGTGCGCATCAAACGCATTTTCTCCGATTTTTGAGAGAGGACTGGGGCGAGTTTCAAATAGGAATGTATGTGAAAGGGGGAAGAAAGTATTAAAAAATCCGTTTTTACCGAATTTACGTCGAGATATCACATTTAGGACACAATGTGATAAAGAAAGTGTTTAAATGAAAATCAAAGTGAGTAAGCACAAGTTAAACATCCACTATCGAGGTTCTCCGAGAGGAGGTCGAGCTCCGCAACACGCGTGCTGCTTACGTTATGCACATTCCCAACACATTGAGTCTCACCTCGGCAAGAAACAACAGCAAGCAAAAATTCCAAGTGCGTTTCTCTTCAGTCAACTTCATTTTAATAATGTTACCCCACATGCTCTTTTTTACGGCGGCCATCTTGTTGTGCGCAGTAAGAGATGCGCAGTGCAAAACTAGGGAATCACCTTAAGACGTCGAAAATTGAAGATTTATTTCGAGCATGCGCTCTTTCATCGCCTGTCACATTCCTGACAGGCAATAATCGGATTTGACCAGATCTCGCCTTCGGCTTCGTCAATAAGAGATCTGGGTCTCTGAGATGGTCTGGGGTCTCTATGATCCATTTCTGACAAAAAAAAAGTTACGGACTAAACCGATCTCAGATCGGTCTAATTTCCAAAAGCGACGCTAATGTGAACGAGGCCTATTCAGGAGCACAACTGTAGAAAGAAAACATGAAAAATCCGTCTGTTCCTCGACCGAGTCTGAGATGACTGAGAGATGAAGAGAGACTTAAGCGTTTCTGACGCGTTGGCTAGTTTTAAGCGTTTTACGACCATACAGCGCTCATTTATACGATATTTTCTCCACGGACGACGTAAACTTCATATTACATTCAATTACTTGTATGATTGAGAAAAAAAATCAATTTTTCGTTCATGTTTGTGACTTGCTTACCACCACGTTACAGTCCACAGATCGACACAAACGAAAAATCATGCAGCTTTGCCTTTGGCACGTTTAGATCTATCAGTCAGCTAAAAATTGGTATAAAATTTCACAACGCAGTATTACACGTACCTTTCTCTCTCAGCCTTTTGTTTTTGCTTGTGCTTTCCCATAACGTTTTTTTTCTTTTTTAATAAAGTAGAAAAGAAAAATCCAACAGACAACAAACTTCATAAGGCTCGTCTCATCGATGAGGTGGCGAGATTTCACTTGAATGCCGGGGATGAATGAAAAAGAGACCCACCGCGGCCTTGCACGTGATTACTTTAGTGACAGCTGATTGGTACGGGTTCTGACAGTACCTAGCTTATTTCTCAAATAAAGATTATCGAAACCATGAAACTGTTCTGACCGAAACTACTAGGACCAAATTAGGGACTAGCAGACTGTGAATTTCTTTTTTTCTTTTTTCGTAAAATGTTGAAAGTGGACGTTTATTTTCAATTGTGAACCAGGAGGACCAGGAAGGTTCAAGAAAAGGTTCACTCCAGGTGCACCTTTTCCGATCCTATGCCAGGTCAAATTGCTTTTGATTTTTTGAGTTCAGCGAAGCGAGTGAACAACAGAGAATCAAACATAGCCAGAGGTTGAAGTTATTCACAACAATCCAATTTATACCTTAAAAAGGCTGCGCTGTATTCCCTCGAAAACCCCCGAATTTTGTGATCCTGTCAGCCGCTCATAAGCAAGGGTTCCCTCGCTGACCGTGACCTTGACCTTTCATATGGAGCTCGTCAACTATGGTTTTGACACCAGATATGCCGATATTACACTGTATGTCATCACGTTGAGGCATACACCCTGGGGAGGCTTTCCATAGATGGTTTTTCTTTCGAGCGAGTAGCTCAATCCAATCAGGAGTGGATCTTTAGTAAGTTGGATTCTGGATTCCAATCTTTAGTAGGATTCCGGATCCCTAGTGCTGGATTCCGGATTCCAAAGCCCAGGATTCCGGATTCCACAAGCACAAAATTCCTGGATTCCGGAATCCGGATTCCCTTACATGGGGCGAATAAAACCAATGTCGTCTAATAACTTTTATAGCTTCTAAAGTAAACGAAAGAAACTCTACTCATGTTTTATAACACGGGTCACTTGTCAGGTCAATCAAGGGAGATGTCTGTGTGTGCAAGGACAGTGGGTCAGTAACCATTTGCCCGATGGCGTCATTTTACTATACCAGAATCCATCATACATTTTTCGTTTTCCTTTCACATGTAAATTTGCCAGTCTCAGTGAGATTTAAAACAACAAAAGCGCTAATTTGCACAAGAAAGCGAAAAACTGAAGCATTTTGATAAAAGAAGTAAAATGACGTCATCCTGGAATTGGCCTATAGAGTACTAAAGTGATGACGTCATAAAAATAGAATTCCTGAATTATGGGTTTTTTCAGGATATTCTGAAAGAAAAATGTCCAAGAGGCGTACTTGCCAAAAATGAGCATTTCGGGGCAAATTGTCTCTGAGGTGTTAGCCGGTTATACTCAGAAAACTCCATACAAACCCTTCTAATTTTTTGCGGGGTCGACGCAAAAAAAATTTAGAAGGGTTTGTATGGAGTTTTCTTAGCATAACTGGGCTACGATCTCAGAGACAATTTGCCCCGAAATGCTCATTTTTGGCAAGTACGCCTCTTGGACATTTTTCTTTCAGAATATCCTGACAAATCCCATAATTTCAGAAATTTCATTTTTATGACGTTACACTTTAGTCCTCTATTGGGCATTTTGAGTTTTCGCGAAAGACTGGTTCGATGCTATGGCACATTACACTATGGAACTGTTTTGAGGGCGCTATACTCTTTAACGACTATTATTAATGACTATTACGTCTAGTCTTACAGCCCTCTACCTCAAAATGACCAGTATATGAAAATACTGACAAGCATCACGAACTTAGCTTTGTGGAAAAAGCTTGCTAGTTGCTAACGAGTGTAATAGGACATCTATGGCAAGTAGTGCTGAGTCGAATGTGAATCGGAATGCAATTCCACATATTATACGTTGTAATATCAGCTATGCAGTAGTCTTCTGACTTCTCGTTTTTTTCTTATGTTTTTAGCAGATTAGATCTCTTTTCTAGAGATCAAACGTTGACAATCAGCAGGATCTTCGTCCACGGTTTTTGCAGTTAATTTCCTTATCATGCAATTTTGAGGCAATTTTCCGTCATAATTGATAGGCGAAAACAATTTGATACTTGTTTTGGCTAAAACTCTTGGGCTGCCCTCGCTATTAATCAAGTTTTAGCTCCCACCGGCCAATTTGCTCTAATATCGGACTCATTTTGTTTGTCTGGGACAACCTTTAATGTCGCCCGTCTGACGATTCTTACCCATAATTCATTGCGATAATTTACTTCCAGACTATTCGTAAGACTGTTGCAGGAGGCCTCCTGACTGTCGAGAATTTAACAAAGTTATTCCTAAAGTCTTCCGAAGTCACTCACGTTCAGCTGCTCTTTAGGCGAAATAGTTCGACGAAAGCGGAAACTTGCAAGTAGAGCAAATACTAAGGCCTCTCGTATCGCTTCTCCCTGTCTATCAATCAACAAAAAAAAGAAAAAAAGAAATCAAAATATCCTCAGCTCAAATGCTGACTCATCAGTCGGCTATGAATATTAACGAGAGAAGCGCGAAAGGAGCACAAAGGGTGATGGGAAGGAGGAAAGAGGTCTCTGCGGCCCTTTCGTTTTCCTCCTTCCCATCACCTATCGCGCGCTTTAGCTTAGGTCACGCTGCTCGTGTTCCGTCCTTTAAGTGCGATCCAAATAGAGACGACTGGACCCCACGAGTCAAGCCCAGATGGGTTCCTTTATTTGAGAGGTCGGGACCCCCAGACCAGTTTTCCTGGTTCTGTCGGTAGCTGCATATTTCAATCAAGAATAAGGAATAAATAAAGTCAGGAGCCAATGAGCTCCTGATAGTGTCCTTTTCTGACGATTTTTTTTAATTTAACAGTGCTTTCATGAAAAGTTCCTTCCCTTCTTATCTTGCTAGAAACAGCGCGCGACAAACAGTAGAGGCGAGAAAGTTGCAGCAGCATTGCCAGCAAGTCCACAGCAAAAAACCGTTGAGTAGTGCCGGATCTCCCTGCTGTAGACCTGGATCAGTACAGTAACAACTTGTATAAAATATGAAACGAAAAACTGATCCTTACGGCAAGGCGATGAACAAGTAAACAAACGACTAAAACAAAACAAAAATCTTTAAACAAATTTGCCCAACATTTCGGTTTGAAAGTTTGTTCATGACCCCCCACCCCCCCCCCCCCTACCGTTCGCTATCAGGACTGTTCTCCGAAAGCCTCAAGTCTTTTCAGGCTAGTAAGCTGCTCTTTCATGCTTTCCAGAAACATCCATCCATAGCCCAATCTGCCTAGCTCAGGGTGCCTGTGTGTCATGGACTAAGCTTGGTATGGCTGTGTAAAGCTGTACCCACAATTCCTAGATGATTGATTCTGCTGACCAGCCATAGCGGAGCAGATGGCTCAAAGATGGGCAAGGCGAATACAAATGTAGCATCTTGGAATCAGCTGGCCCTATTTATGGCGCGTACTTCATGGCTGAATGCCATATACACGACAAGCCCACAATGCTTTGCTAGTACCTGTAGTAGGTGAACGCTACGTTACATGTATAGGTACATGTGGTGCCTGCAGTGCATGAAGTAGCTGTAGTAACTGTAGTAGCTGTAGTAGCTGTAGTAACTGTAGTAACTGTAGTAGCTGTAGTAAGTGTAGTAGCTGTAGTAGCTGTAGTAGCTGTAGTAGCTGTAGTAGCTGTAGAAGGTGTAGTAGGTGTAGTAGGCGTAGTAGCTGTAGTAGCTGTAGTAGCTGTAGTAGTAGCTGTAGTAGCTGTAGAAGGTGTAGTAACTGTAGTAGCTGTAGTAGCTGTAGTAGGTGTAGTATCTGTAGTAGCTGTAGTAGCTGTAGTAGCTGTAGTAGCTGTAGTAGGTGTAGTAGCTGTAGTAGCTGTAGTAGGTGTAGTAGCTGTAGTAGGCGTAGTAGCTGTAGTATCTGTAGTAGCTGTAGTAGCTGTAGTAGCTGTAGTAGCTGTAGTAGGTGTAGTAGCTGTAGTAGGTGTAGTAGGTGTAGTAGGTGTAGTAGCTGTAGTAGCTGTAGTAGGTGTAGTAGCTGTAGTAGCTGTAGTAGCTGTAGTAGCTGTAGTAGCTGTAGTAGCTGTAGTAAGTGTAGTAGCTGTAGTATCTGTAGTAGCTGTAGTAAGTGTAGTAACTGTAGTAGCTGTAGTAGCTGTAGTAGCTGTAGTAAGTGTAGTAGCTGTAGTAGCTGTAGTAAGTGTAGTGGCTGTAGAAGCTGTAGTAGCTGTAGTTTGTGTAGTAACTGTAGTAGCTGTAGTAGCTGTAGTTGGTGTAGTAGGTGTAGTAGCTGTAGTAGCTGTAGTAGCTGTAGTAGGTGTAGTAGGTGTAGTAGCTGTAGTAGGTGTAGTAGCTGTAGTAGGTGTAGTAGGTGTAGTAGGTGTAGTAGGTGTAGTAGGTGTAGTAGGTGTAGTAGGTGTAGTAGCTGTAGTAGGTGTAGTAGGTGTAGTAGGTGTAGTAGGTGTAGTAGGTGTAGTAGGTGTAGTAGCCGTAGTTGGTGTAGTAGCTGTAGTAGCTGTAGTAGGTGTAGTAGCTGTAGTAGCTGTAGTAGCTGTAGTAGGTGTAGTAGGTGTAGTAGCTGTAGTAGGTGTAGTAGGTGTAGTAGCTGTAGTAGGTGTAGTAGGTGTAGTAGGTGTAGTAGGTGTAGTAGGTGTAGTAGCCGTAGTTGGTGTAGTAGGTGTAGTAGCAGTAGTTGGTGTAGTAGCTGTAGTAGGTGTAGTAGCTGTAGTAGGTGTAGTAGCTGTAGTAGCTGTACTAGATGTAGTAGCTGTAGTAGGTGTAGTATCTGTAGTAGCTGTAGTAGCTGTAGTAGCTGTAGTATCTGTAGTAGATGTAGTAGCTGTAGTAGCTGTAGTAGGTGTAGTAGCTGTAGTAGCTGTAGTAGCTGTAGTAGGTGTAGTAACTGTAGTAGCTGTAGTAGCTGTAGTAGGTGTAGTAGGCGTAGTAGCTGTAGTAGCTGTAGTAGCTGTAGTAGGTGTAGTAGGCGTAGTATCTGTAGTAGCTGTAGTAGGTTTAGTAGGCGTAGTAGCTGTAGTATCTGTAGTAGCTGTAGTAGCTCTAGTAGGTGTAGTAGCTGTAGTAGCTGTGGTAGCTGTAGTAGCTGTAGTAGGTGTAGTAACAATTACAACAATTACAACAACTCAGTCTAACAACGAATCAATGTGATGGTACCAAAAATCAATAGAAATCAACCTTTAAAAGCATTTAACTTCACATGAAGTTTAACGACTATTATAAGTGAATAAGTTGGTAACGAATTTCGTTGACTCATGTATGAACAAAGTCGTAATCCATTACTCCGGGAAACATTGTCTTTGTCAAATGTAGGTGATGTAACATAAGTTTATTAGAATACTATTGGAATATTGTTAGCCTTGTTTTGTTATAAATTACTGTAGATATGCTTTCGCCACGCAAAATAATACGGAGGTCATGCAGCTACTACACCTACTACACCTACTACAGCTACTACAGCTACTACACCTACTACAGCTACTACACCTACTACACCTACTACGGATACTACACCTACTACAGCTACTACAGCTACTACAGCTACTACACCTACTACAGCTACTACACCTACTACAGCTACTACACCTACTACAGCTACTACACCTACTACACCTACTACAGCTACTACAGCTACTACATCTACTACAGCTACTACACCAACTACAGCTACTACTGGATTACAGAAAAAACGAAAACTGGATTACAGAACTGTTTAAATGCGCTTTCTTTGTATTGTGACAAATGGAAGCTAAAAATTAATCCGAAGAAAACAAAAATTATGATATTCCAGAAACGCCCAAAAATATCTATTGACATCAAATTCAACATAGGCAGTGAGTCAATTGAAATTGTCCAAGAATACACTTATTTAGGTACACGTTTAACTCCAACGGGAAACTTTACACTTGCACTCGAACACTTAAAAGAAAAGGCCCTTCACGCGTTTTCTAGTATTCGGAAGCGGACAATTCTTAACAAACTTAATCCTAATACTGCATCCCAAATTTTTGACACCATGGTATTCCCAATCTTGAGTTACAACAGCGAGGTATGGGGAATGTATACCAAGCAAGATTTTAAAAATGGGATAGCTACCCAATAGAAAAAATCCACCTCAAATTCTGTAAACGTTACTTAGAGGTTAACAATAAGGCCTCTAACATAGCCTGCAGAGCTGAACTTGATAGACTGCCGCTGCTTATCCCGATAAATCAGAAAATTATGAAATATTTTGTTTACCTCAACAACAAAGATAATGACTCTATAGTCAAACAGTCTCTCCTTATGTCAAAGAATCTACATTCTATGAATAATTCCGGATATTTTTCCAATTTCATAAACATGCTTGAACAATACAATCTAACCAGTTTAGATGCTGAATCTCTAGATAATGATAAAATTAGACGATATACCACAGAAATGAGAGAGAAATATCTATCTTTTTGGCGGCACAGCCTCGAAAATTCAAAAAAACTAGAATTTTATAAAACTTTTAAAGATGAATATTCTACATCTGATTATCTCTACCAGCTAAGACATTATGACGAACGACAGAATTTTGTTAAATTTAAAATAAGTAATCACAAACTTATGATTGAACATGGTCGATACCAAATCGATCATTTGCCAAAAGAAAATAGATTATGTCCTTTATGTAACTCAAATCAGGTAGAAGATGAGATTCATTTCCTCTTTCAATGTAACAGATACTCAGTACAGAGACAGGCATTTATTAATCAAATCAATCCAATAATTCCTGACTTTGACAAGAAATCATCTCCAGAAAGCATAAAACTGATAATGAATTCGAAGGAACATCATGTAAATAAGTTAGTTATGAAGTTTGTTTCCTCCTGCATGAAAATACGTGATTCATTGTTAGTAATGTAACCGAATTTTTCTAGATTATTATTAGTGCTGTTTTGTTTTATATTTTGATTGTCATATACATGCTTTTGCAATACTGTAAAATGATGCGGTCATGCAAATAAAGCAATTTATTACTATTACTATTACTATTACTACACCTACTACACCTACTACACCTACTACACCTACTACAGCTACTACAGCTACTACACCGACTACAGCTACTACACCTACTACACCTACTACAGCTACTACAGCTACTACACCTACCACACCTACTACACCAACTACAGCTACTACACCTACTACACCTACTACACCTACTACAGCTACTACAGCTACTACACCTACTACACCTACTACAGCTACTACACCTACTACACCTACTACACCTACTACACCTACTACACCTACTACAGCTACTACACCTACTACAGCTACTACAGCTACTACACCTACTACACCTACTACAGCTACTACACCTACTACAGCTACTACACCTACTACAGATACTACACCAACTACAGCTACTACACCTACTACAGCTACTACACCTACTACACCTACTACAGCTACTACACCTACTACACCTACTACAGCTACTACAGCTACTACACCTACTACACCTACTACAGCTACTACAGCTACTACACCTACTACAGCTACTACACCTACTACAGCTACTACACCTACTACACCTACTACAGCTACTACAGCTACTACACCTACTACACCTACTACACCTACTACAGCCACTACGCCTACTACACCTACTACAGCTACTACACCTACTACAGCTACTACAGCTACTACAGCGACTACAGATAATACACCTACTACAGCTACTACAGATACTACACCTACTACAGCTACTACAGACACTACGCCTACTACACCTACTACAGCTACTACAGCGACTACAGATACTACACCTACTACAGCTACTACAGCTACTACGCTTACTACAACTACTACAGCTACTACAGCTACTACACCTACTACAGCTACTACAGCTACTACACCTACCACACCTACTACAGCTACTACAGCTACTACACCTACTACAGCAACTACACCTACTACACCTACTACAGCTACTACAGCTACTACACCTACTACAGCAACTACACCTACTACACCTACTACACCTGCTACAGCTACTACAGCTACTCCAGCGACTACAGATACTACACCTACTACAGCTACTACAGATACTACACCTACTACAGCTACTACAGACACTACGCCTACTACACCTACTACAGCTACTACAGATACTGCACCTACTACAGCTACTACAGATACTACGCCTACTACACCTACTACAGCTACTACACCTACTACAGCTACTACAGCTACTACACCTACTACACCTACTACACCTACTACACCTACTACAGCTACTACAGACACTACGCCTACTACACCTACTACAGCTACTACACCTACTACAGCGACTACAGCTACTACAGATACTACAGCTACTACAGCTACTACAGATACTACAGTTACTACAGCTACTACACCTACTACAGCTACTACAGCTACTACAGATACTGCACCTACTACAGCTACTACAGATACTACGCCTACTACACTTACTACAGCTACTACACCTACTACAGCTACTACAGCAACTACAGATACTACACCTACTACAGCTACTACAGCTACTACAGCTACTACAGCTACTACAGATACTACACCTACTACAGCTGCTACAGCTGCTACAGCTACTACAGATACTACACCTACTACAGCTACTACAGACACTACGCCTGCTACACCTACTACAGCCACTACACCTACTACAGCTACTGCCATGAAGTACTTGCCCTATTTATGTTGATCGCCAAGCTTCTACGATGATTTCACGGTTTATCTGGTAAGCCTGACATACAAGTAAGCTCGTCGAACTTCTTTTCTCTCCGATCTGTTTGGCCTGATGCATTGTAATGACTATTTTCTTCATCGAACTATAGGTGGCTTTTTCAAGCTAAGAACATCTCTCTTTGATCGCGATGATGCGGATGTTTTGAGTTACTTCTGATCTGAAAGAGTTTGCGACCCCTGTAGTGAAAGCTGAAAGCTTGCTGTTCAAGGAGAAAATGACAGAAGGTAATCAACTGTTTTAAAAAGACCTAGATTCGAAAATGTTGGCTGCGGGCTACTGTGTTTACTCAGCAAATTTTGGCGCCAGTACGAATCGAAATAATCCCACCGTGTTCACAGATAAATCCCATGCTCTGTATCCGTTTATAAGCAGCTTTTAGATGATGTAGTTCTGAAGGAGTAATCCTTTCGTCAATTCGTCAATAATACGCCTGTCTAAGTGTTTAAACGCAGCGTATTACGATAAGCCAAAGAAGTGTGCCCAAGCTTCTCCTTGACGTGATCACCACTAAATATTGTTGTTTCCTTAACTTCCTCTGATATAGGATTCACAAACAAAAATTCAATCTTTGTTTACTGATATTACATTAACGAGATTTTCCTATCTGAAACTCTTTCAGAATCAACAGAAGGTCGTTTTTACGACACAATTGAACAGCCGCATTGGAAGTCATATCGTAAGTTGTCATTTTCATTCTTTTACTGGCGTTGCCCTCGATCGTCACAGTGACTTTAAAATTAACAGTGTAAAAGCTTAGTTTTAACTTTTTTGACAGTCTACAGGCTACAGCAGAAAGCACCAAAAGCAAGAAGAATCGTTTGTTCCAAAGAGGTAGGAATGTTTTGTTTTCTATCTAATTTATACAAACTTGCATGTTCTTGTTAATGAGAGAGCACATGTTAAATTTCAATATACACCTGTCGTAATTGAATGCAATAGGTTTTACAAGAGCTCCACGCTTTGTAAATACAGATTCTTTAAATGTAGAGCTGATAAAACAAAATTATAACCGTTGTGAGGGAAATCAGCTTATTGTTCTTATAAAATGCCGTTTTTAATTTGGCGATATTTCGATGAACCAAAGAATCTGAAAGTGTGGTGTTTCAGTAAAATTAAATTGGGGATTATCTTTCCGACCAAAAGTTTCTTATAATTCATCTTAATTATGTTTTATTGATGATTAGATTATCTAACTGTGGCCAATTTTTGTATTATGAAACTGTTTTTTAGTCATGGGTAACAAAAGGTTAAAAAGAGAAGAGATAGAAAAAATAGTTCCTTTTTAAGAATTTTAAGTTATTGTTAAAAAAAATACACCTACTTATTAGGTGACATTACTTATTAGCATTCAGGAAGTTAATCCTATTCTCTTTGTTGTGACAGAAAATTTCTGCTCTTTAATTTGTTATGCTAACCATTAAAATTAATAACCCTTTCGCATGTTTATGTCAGAGGAGCAAATTTCTCAACCAAGCCTTGTTTTAAAATTTAAAGTTGCGAGGTTTTGCATAAATGAATCCATAACAAGAATACTTATGCACAAAGAATGCAAATGTGAAGAATTTTGGCTACAAACGAGGCTTGTTGGAGAAATTTGCTCATCTGATGTAGTCATGTATAAGGGTCATTATCAATTTTACATAGATAACACATGCAAAAATTTTTTATTTTTTTTAAGCATAAATTCATAGCTGTGTTGAGAAAGCAGAAAAAATGAGACCGAGTAGTTTCTTCTATTAAAAATGTATTTAGCCTTGTAGATATTTTTTTTCGTATAGCTGAAGTATAACATGACTAGAGTTAGGAATTTAGGAAGTTATACTGTAGTTGTTTAAAACTTTCTTTGTTCTGTAATGTACAGATACCAAATAAACCTGCCCACTATGGAAAAGAGTAAGTGTAATAGTTGGATTATCTTAAAAGTGTGGAAAATCAAACCAGACACTTGGAAGAAGATTGTCCAAGTACAACGTTTTCTGAAAAAAGAAGATTCTATAGTTTTTTTGCTAATGGACCAAATAAATTTAAGGCTCACCTATGCAACTGTTGAAAACTTTAAAACTGTTTGAAGTTACCTGACCTTTCAGGAAACAGCCCTCAAATTTATGAATGTCATTGGTCCATTTGCAAAAGAACTTGAGAATCTTTTGATTTCAGAAAATGTTGTGATTGGACAGTCTTCTTCCAAGTGTCCTGGTTTTGGTGTCTGCACAGTAAATTCCTTGTGTAGTCAACTCTCACCTTCCAGTCACCTCACTGTTACAGTCATCCCAATGATATGGAAATCAGCTAAACCCCCAACATTATTTGAGTGAAAGAAACTGTCACCATTACTAAGAGTATCCACAATTAATAGAGAGTTAACAGTAGCCCTATCAACACTGTTACTCTCAATGCTAAGTATTCTCTATTCATTTCAAGGTAAATTTTTCTAGCAAAAATGCCTCCGTTTACAAAGTCTGTACATTCAAAATACACTTAGTTGCTCCAGCAATTTACAGGCACAATATTAAAATAATCATTAACAAATAATTACATTGAACATACCTTTACATATTAAAAAGTTACAATTGGAAGGAGGCAAACCATTTAAGGCAGTAAATGTCATCTGACAAATGCCTTTAAAATGGATGAAATTCTGTGATGTGTGCGTTATAAATGAAACCTAATACTGTTACCTTTATGGTGCATTTCTTCTTGCCTATTTTAGCAGACCTTTAATTGATAAATTATTCCTTTTTTTCTAGGGGACATAATTATGTCCAAGCAGTACACTCTTAGTTAGATAGACCAGAAAATTTGTCAGACATACATTGCATGGGGTTGTTATTTTATTTTATATATACAGATCTTCGGCTTTAAGGCAATAGTCTGTCTGGTCATCCTGTCTGATTTCAGGAATATTTTATTCAGACTTTGTCCAAATTATGTAAAACTGTTATTTGCAACAAGGTAGTGTAAATATTTTGAATTTTGATTTGTGGTAATCAAAGAGTGAATTTTATTATTTCTTTTTGTCAGATTTCATGGTTGTATTTCACGTGAAGAAGCTGATGAACTAGTTTCGGAGGCTGATGGCTGTTATCTTGTCAGGGAAAGTCAAAGATCCCCAGGAAGTTACACTTTGACAATGAGGTAAAGCTGTATAATGTAACCGGAAGTTCCAATGTGGAGGCACATTTGTGTATGTTGCAGTTAATTTTTTATCTCAGGTAATTTTTGTCTTTCTTTAGTTTTTGGGTGTGGTAACGAACGTGTATGCTTATAAAGTTAAAACAAAGGAAAAATGAAAATTACCTGAGTTAAAAAAATAAACTGCAACAGGTACATTGTGGGATGTTAACAAAGACAAACTACAGATCAAGATCCCGCGCTCTGTTTCTCTTAGTTTCTTGTGTAATAAGGGAACAAAAATTGACTTCTCAAGCTAACCTTTAACCATTGTTGCTGTCTTTCTTTTTTGAAGATTTGGTGGTGTTTCCAAAAACTTTAGATTATATTATGATGGAATGCATTATGTTGGTAAGTGGTATGTTTACAAATGTGTCTTAGCTTCTAAATTATCTGTCTTTAATGCTTGTTAACAGAACTAGAATGTGGCAGATGAACAAAAAAGTGTGTCTTGTCTTTTATCATCAAGATGAAAGTGGTTGTGAGACTTCCTTTGCAGGTGCTATTTTAAGAATCGTAAAGGAAGTTCTTGATTGTGACCCTTTGTGTGAAACTTATAGTGTGATCGTAGAAACTGAAATAGTTTCTTTTGTCCTAATCACACAGAATGTAGGTGGTACATGTCTAAGTTGAGCCTTTCATTGTGAATGACCCCTTCAAGCCTATTATAGCTTAGTGAAATTGAAGATTAGAGCTTGAAATAACTTTAGAAAAATGAACTTAATTACAGTACCTTTGCCCCATAAAAAAAGGACTAGGTCAATATAGTGATGATGATTATATGTACAGTGTAGAAATCAAATGTTTTTCATTTGCTGAAGGCATAGAAAATGACACATGTAGAACTTAAATAGATCTCTTGAAAGGTTTTTTCAAGATTGGTTATTTTTCTTTTTCCACTTGCATAATAGTACGTAAAAAAACTTTTATAGGCTCCAAAACTCTGCATCACTTCATGATCAAATTCATATTCAGAATGATGCAATATAACACATCCTTTATCAACAACAAAATTTGTAATTCCCAACTCATTTGGAACATTAGATGAATAAATTTGTTAACAAGTTAACAAGTAATACCCAATCGCATCTCAGCAAACCTTTGTTTTTGTACAAACTGTCAACTATTAAAAATTAATGAAACAGAAATATTGCTTAGCAAGAGTTTTGTTTCATCCATGAGACCTATATTTCCCACCCTCTCTGACTATTATTTTTCCATTATTTTGGAATCTTTAGACATGCACTATAACACTGTAAATTTTGTAAGATGTTTCGGCCCCCTTCATGGGTATAACACTTAAGAACTGAAGGATTGTTATATTCATATCTTTATCATCAGCACATCATTTGACAAATTTGCACCACACAATAATGTATTATTATAAAGACTATTTTTACATGCGATGTGTAGATAATTTTATGTAATGAGAATAGGTATTTCTAATACCCCTTTCTTTAAAATTCTTGAAGTTTTGCTTGTACCATCAATGATATTTCCCTAAATTGCCTGCTTCAGTGTATGAGTTCTCTTTTAATTCAATTTTGGCCCTTTAAGATAAACTCTGAAGGAAAAAGAAGCAGTAAAAAACTAAAGCTTTTGTTCATAGTTCCCCTCAGGGTGCCGGTTTTTATTTTGCATTTGTGTACAGAGAAGGCTTGCACAGCATGTGTCAGCTTTCTACACATAAAAGCCATGCTTGTCTTGATATTGTTTTAGCTTCTACTAAAGTGAAATACACAGGTGTCTTCCCTGTTAATGCAAATCACAGCCAGCTTTCTTTCTCACATTTCAGGGGAAAAACGATTTCAAACCATACAAGATCTTGTTGCAGATGGACTCATCACAATGTACATTGATATGTACGCAAAGGACTATGTTGACACCATGATGATAAGTCCAGCAGTGAAGGCGGGAGAAAAAAAGAATTTGGACAAGGATGAAACCAAGGAGAAAGAACCTTTAGATCAACCAGATGCTATGGGAAAAGATCAGGTATTTTCAACAACTAAAATTAGCCAAACCTTTGTCATCTATTACTTTCCATGTTTATGTTCATTACATCCTCCATGCTTATTAAGACTTAACTTGGCAGATCTATCAATCAGTCTCAAATATTTTCACATCATTTTAGATGGACACTGTATTTGCTTTTAGGCTAAATCATGCCAAAGTTGAGTTTCTTTGATATTTTGAAATTCCTTTGTTTGGCTTAAACTCAGCTTTATCATCAGATATGCAAACAAATGTCACTATTCATCTAAAACTGAAACAAAAATATCACAGTTTTGTGCATTGTATGTCTACATGGATGATTTTTTATCCTGAAATTGGTAGAGGTCTGTAACTGAATCTCAGTAGCTTAAAACAGTTCAATTTAGAGGTTATAGAGTACTGTTAGTCCTTCTTGTTGTTTGAAGATAAGGGCTTTATCTAACACGTGTTCCAAGAATATGTAAATTATTCCACAAATGTGTTTAAGAGTAGAAATGTTCAAGATGTCTACTGTATATAACTTACATCATTTCTCAACTCTATTTTTTTGTTAAGTTATGAAGGAATTGAATAACAATTTTATTATTGAAATTGTATTTCCTGCTTTGTACATACAAAATACTGGACAGTTATACAGTCATGAATGTACAAGTTCTACAGGTTATAAAGTTCTCAAAAAGTTTTTGTTTTTGTGTTTATTATTGAAATTATTGCTTGGGTCATTTGACCTCGGTTTATAGCTATAAAATCAATAAATTGAAAATGAAACCTATAAATGTGTGTATTTAACCACAGAACCAACTGATTTCAATTAAATGCTCTTCCAAAAATCCAATTTATAGTTTGTGGATGCAGTTTTGTTAAATTACCTTACTTACATTGTGTACTGTGTACAGTGGTACATTCGTATTTTGAACATAGAACCTAGCTATTACTGTAATTTATTTGTAAAGTACAAAAATGTAACTGACATGCTGTAAAACAGTACTGTGATGATAATTATTGTAAGTTCTTTAGCTTTCCTTTTTAACAAAAGGCTGATGAATTATGATTGATGTCTTGATTGTCTTTCAATCTTCTTTTCAGTCACATCAAACTGACAGTGATTGCTGAACTAAACTTAGTAAAATTTCTTTACTTAATTTGGTAACTATGTAATCTACTGACCCTTAAATTTACTGGGTTACATACAAGTAAAGTGTATTTGAGGGATTATTGTGTGGACTGAAAAACAAATAGTGGATGTTTTGCTTTTGGCCAATTTTTTTTCAGATGTATAAAAAATATCCAGGTTGTTTGGATTTCCTGCTAGCGCGAAGAAACATTAAAAAAATGACTGGTCCATACAAAAAGTTGCCGCAGCTGCATCTCCTTCGCGATTTCTTCACATTTGGTGGATTTTTTATTCTCAAATTTATTTTGTTGATTGTGCTTTGATGTGAATTTTAAAAACGTTACTACCAGTACAGTACTGTATTGCTGCAAGAAAATACACAAACTATAAAACTCAAAATGATAGTATATAAGTTGAAATCTATTCTTTGCATTCCATCTGTACATCTATTACACAAAAGTAGTCCATGTATGTGGAGTTGTTTCTTTTGTAAAAAGTAAAAAGTGTGGTGTAGTGTGATTGAAATTGAATGACTCCTAAGATATGTTGAATTGCTCGTGAATTAAAACAGCAGAAATTTGTGTTCCACTTCAGAGAAAAAAGAATTTAAATGGATAATGATTTATGTACAAGGTACAATAAGTTAACATTAATGCTTATTATTATTATTATATATGACATTGGAGGTTCCCTTTAAGCCACAGCACTAACAAGCAGGGGTTTCAATAAGCACCGATGACCGACAAGACATGTCAGCTACTTCACAAATTTTTCCCCCTAAATTGGAAGCTGGAAATAAAGTATTAAATTAAAGAAGGATTCTGTCAAAACATATACTAAAATTCAATTTGCTGGACCTAGACAGACCTTTTGCTTCAGATTGAAAACATGGAAGAAAAGTTTGGGATTTACTGTACATTACTTGTCCAAATTGATCGAAAATACATTATCTTTTGTACTCAATTTACTGCCCAGAATGCTGGAAATTGCATTTGAGGGTATTGAAATTTCGAAATTTTCAAGGGGTGCACACCCCCAGACCCCTCTAGAAGAATGGGAGTAAAAACCTCTTTTTGACACAGTCAGTTACTTTTTTCAAACCTGCTGGCTACTTCAATTTTTATTGAAACCCTGAACAAGCATCTAGTTTCTCCTTTAAGATAACATGCTTAATCAAACATACCCTTCTGTAAGTTTTCTGAGAAAATAATTGTTTATACACTGCCGAAAAATGTGTGTTTGAGAGCCAAAAAAGTGGGAGAGTCAGGGTGATAAAACCTCAGTTCCCACGCTGTGTCCAAAAATACCATCAGTAATGTTAAATATTTAATCTATGTGGTGTTTTATTGGGTGTAAGTCAATTTATTATAATCCACAAACTTTTCTTTTTATTCAGCTATGAATAAGATATACTCGTGAATTATTAATGTATGAAAGAATTATTTTGCTTTTGAAGTTTCTTGACATAGCTTTGAACATAGCCCTTGAAATTTCTCTTAGCTGAATTGTATAACATTCTTTGTACCAGTTTTTTCAAGAGCTAAATGTATGACCAACAAAAATTATTGTTGGGAAGGTGCTTTCATAGACTGCGCTATGATGTGTTGTTCAACCTTCTGGCCAGTTGTGGTAATGTGATTTTACTAATGTTAGGATCAGAAAGAATAATAATATTTTTGTCTTTTCTTTTGAAGGTAGTGTAACTTAACATCATCTTTGCCAGTTTTCATACAATGTTTATTATATATTCTGTATTGTGATGTGACATGTAAGTTCTGACTAGCATTCCAGCTGTAGGTGTAGTGATGCTCAGTTGAAGTTAATAGTCTCTTGCATCTTGATCCTCACTTCTGATTGAGTTCTCAAAATTTAATTCTTTGGTGTTTTTTGAGATCAATTCTCTGCTCAAGTTTTAAATGTAGGTCGAAGATACTAAACAAGTTGAAACTCGACCACTCAATTAAACGGGTTAAAGATTAGGTGGCATTTTTAAACATTCTATTGTACAGAAAAAATCCAAGAGTCAACTAAAGTGCCTTCTAATACCAGCCTGTAATGAATGTTGTGTCTGATAATCCGGGCAAGTGAAGTTTTCAAGGGGGAGCTCAAATTGCAGAAGAACTGTAATCAATTCTGTTTGTCAAAAATTTTTTAGGGTTAGTTAAATTTGATTCTTTTAAAGCTTCCCTGAAAAGCTGTAAAACTGACTCTCCTTCCACCCTAAATATCTAATGGTTAGGAGAACGTCTTTGGAGACTGTTACGGTGTGATTATGGTACAATGTTACCTACTCCCCTTCTTATAGTGGGAGTCTCGCACCTGACGATCACGAAAAATATATTATAACGTCAAAACTGGAACTTGGACATGAAAAGAAAGTTCCATGTGATTTTATAAGGGAAGCACCAGGTTTGAAACTTCAGAATATATTTCTTAAAATCTTTAGTACATTTTCAGAAATGCTGTGATGAGATCAGATGTTTTCAGGTCCTCTGGGAGAAGTCTTGGCACTCTTGGTACAGACAATCTTATAACTTTTGTCCCCCACCAAAAAGTCAGCAGTTAGTAGATTAAGGTGTCTTTGTTAATTTGCAGCTTACCAACAAGCAAGTAAGGCTTGTTACCTCTTCACAGTGTAATTAATATTAGTAACGTTACCATCAGATTCAATGCAGCATCTTGCTTCTCGTGAAGCCTACTTTTTTTTTACTTTAGTTGCACTCTTAATAACCATTTTTGCTTTTGCTTTCAGGGGGATCAAAAATTTAACGTTGGCAAGCGACAGAGTGTGAAACCTTCAGCATATAAGAAAAATCACAACTTCAAGGTAAGTGCAGAAATACTAGGGGTAGCCCCTGAGTTCATTTTGGCAATTAACCCTGTAAGTCCGAATAGTAACCAACATTAATTTTCTCCTAACAATATCCATACATTGTCAAGAGATTAGGTTATGAGAATTAATAAAATGATCACCAACGAGAAAATGCTTTGATCTTTTGTCAAATTCTCTCAACTCATTCTTTAAGGAAATGTATAGAGATCAGTTTGGAGAATTTGTATGTGGGTATTGGGACTTAAAGGGTTAATAATGGTAATAGGACTGAGTGGAGTCCAATAATTAGTCTGTAATCATATGAGTGCTTAACATAATCGGACAGGTATATTTAACCTTATTTCATCCAGCATGAGGTTTGCTTTTATGACTAATTAGATAAATTTTAAGTCTACTGTAATTTGAAGTCAATTTTCAACTATTTCTGTATTTTTTCTGATGAAAAATGTGTTTGTCCCACGGACAAGTAATGTCAAAGGTTTACATGTCTGAACTAAATTTCTACCTGTCCCAGATGATCAGACATAGGTTCTGGCACACCCTGTAGCTCATAGCTGTATTGCTTGGCTATCATGGTAGCAGTCTCCATTGTAGGAACTGTTAATTGCAAGTGTATTGTGTTTAGGTTGTTAGTGATTAGTTTCCATGCAGTTTTGACTCTGTTCTGGTATTAAATCTACTAGATGAACACTTTCAGAGGACCGCACTGGTGTGACCATTGTCGAAACTTTTTATGGGGACTAATTATGCAAGGAGTCAAGTGCCAAGGTTAGTATTACACAACATGGAAATAAATTAAGTAAAATTATATAAATTTTATATAATTTTGTTCTTGAGCAGAATACAGCCTAGTACTCATCTTCCACTAATAATCAGTGAAAGATGTGTACTAGTATAATATAAAATATTATTATTATACCACAGATGATGAATATATGTTGCAAACATGTTAGCTTGTGTTGCTGGACAATCTAGGGTAAAAATTTATGAAAGTAGTAACAAGGATGACATCTTTTGTATTAATTTATTTTTCAATTACCTCAACCCTTGTTCTTCTTGATTGTTTTCACTGGATCATCTAAGTGCAGATAATCAAGGTTTAACTAGTTTTTATCTTAAATATTTTATTTTATTATAGATTGTGGATTTAACGCACATAAACAGTGCAGCTCTGTGATCCCACCGAACTGTCAACCTGACAAGAAATATATCAGAAGAGGTAATTTTAATATTCAATCACAAAGTGAGAACTTTGAGAACTCATATGATTTTGGCATTCCAGCATGGTCCACGGCTCGAAATTATGGCTGATCAACAGACAACGTCCAGACTGATAATTTAAGGAGTTGACCGGTCAACCTTTCGTCCTGCCAGTCATGTTGACTGGTCACATTCAATCGTACTGAAAATGAAATAACTTAAAATTTCATGCTTTTCAGGGTTCACATACTTGTGGTCACAAAATTAAAAATATTTTCACTTTCATTAGTCGAGCTATTTGGTAACGTTGAGTCTGGAAAAATAAATTATTGTTTTAGAAAAAGGTCTGCAAAGAGTCTTGAATCATGGATCCAAAAATGTGTACGAAACTTGACTAAGTGAACAAGTGTACCAAGAATTTATAGGGCAAGTAACGGTTTTTTCCTCAATGTATACTCCACTAACCCTTAATCATCAATATAAACCCTGATGTAGATGTTGTTCTACACTAGTAAAGTATATTTTTTTGTTTACTGATTCAATAAAATACAATAATATAGCTTAACTTACACTTGTGTGGGTGTAGATAAGGTTCCGAGCTTATTTGCAATAAAGAACAGAAATTTAACCCAATGATAAAAGAAATGGAAATGATGCCACTTGTGTCTGTGTGCCATACTCCTTTCAAAATTATGGCAGTATCTGTTGTTTTGGATTCCCCTTAAATAAAATTGATGAAGAGATGGGAGAAGTAGAGCCAACAGCTTAACATAACCACCCAAAGACTAAACTGAGACGAGGTATTAATTACAACAGCATGTTCTCAAATTATAAAGTATTTTGTGGAAACCCTGATGGTCAGGAGCCAGGTTTGAACTGATGATCAGCCACTCCTCGACAAATGTTCTTGTACATCAGCCAACTAAGTTCAGAAGTTAGTGATTAATAAATTGTCTGTCCTTATCGCAGTGTTTGGTGTCGACCTGACAACACTTGTCAAGCTACACAACACAAAAAGGCCATTTGTTGTGGAAGCCTGTGTCAAAGAGGTGGAGAGCAGAGGTGTGATTTAGCCTTTGCATATGTGTAACACTTAACCTTTAAGTCCCAATAGCGACCAATAGCAATTTTCTCCTAATGATATCCATACATTGTCATGAGATTAGGTTATGAGAATTAATAAAATGATCACGTAAGAGAAAATTCTTTGATCTTTTATCAAATTCTCTTAACTAATTCTTAAAGGAAATGTATAGAGATCAGTTTGGAGAATTTGTAGGTGGATATTGGGTCTTAAAGGGTTAATATGATGTTCTTTTTTTAGCTGCCCTAACTCTCAGTTTTAAAAGTAATATGTTCTTAGTGCTTGTGATTAGTCAATACACCTTTTTGCTTGTCTGTTTTAACACATTCATTCCCAATGGTAGACAAAGCAATTTTTTGTGTTAAAAAAATTGTGGTGAAAAACTAAAATTAAAGTAACAGTTTGCAAAAGTTAACTACCAAAGAGGTTTCATCTGAATGGTATCACCGAGGATATCACCCAAGGGTTAGCCTGAATGCCCATTAGGAGCTTATTTGGAACAGTAAAGATTCATTGCTGATTATAAATCTTCATTAAATTATCATTTTTTCCTAATTTCCAACTGAACAGGTTTAGACAGTGAAGGAATTTACAGGATTTCAGGATTTGCTGATGATATTGAATCACTGAAGAATTCTTTTGACAAAGGTGTAGTACAAGTGACCGTGTTTAAAACTGTAAGTTATTCCAACCATTACCAATATAACAGCCAATTATTTTGCTAGTCAAGACTAGCATTTTGAATTAAAGATCTGCGTAACACTGAAAGCAGTTAAGATTCATTGTTCTTTATGAATGACAAAATTTCTGCTTTTTGTCCTAAAATTATTATTTTGCGAAAGCGAAATTAAAGGAAAACTTGGCATAATCTATATAATTTTATTAACACATTCTCATAACTGTGTTTAAAAATGATTTTTCATTCTCCCTCATCAAGTTCCTTCAATTGAAACATAATTTATTTTCCTTATAATTTGGATGCCGCAAGAAAAACAGAAACAAAAGACTGTCATCTAGAGCAAATACAAGTTGGGGAGCTTTTTTCAGGTAGAACAAGCCCTATTCTAAATATAATTTGTCTGCATTTTTTTGTTGTTTTTTTTCTTAGATGGAGAGATTGTGGACCTGGGTGCTTATGATGACATAAACATTATTTGTGGCACCCTGAAGCAGTATTTTCGCATGCTTCCGATTCCTGTCATCACATTTGAACTGTACAACAAATTTATAGATGCAGCAAGTAAGTACAATCAAGTTGGTGAGAAAGATTTTGTCATGTAATTCAAAAGATATAGTACAGCAGTGATTTTGTTTGTGAAAAATCATGAGTCCCTGTTCAGAACCATAGAGTCCCAGTTCAAAAACATGAGTCCCTGAGCCTTTATGTAACCACACAGTTAATCTAATGACAGACTCCAAAACTCGGTGTTACAGTTTATTGAAATAAAAATACACTCCTTCTATTGTCAAGAACAACAAAGACTGAAAGAAATATGCGCTGTTAAACAACAGCCACAAGAACAGCCACAGAAATCACACAAACAGAGTATTCTACAAAAACATGGTCAGATCGATCAATTGACCTTTGCATCCTTTGGGACGCATACCACAAATTATTTTGTATCTTTGAGAGTTTTTATGCGTCAGGGACACAGGACGTAGAGGTGACAAAATCACTGGTACAGTCAAGTCTCTCCACCAGAATTTGAACCTTGATCCATTTTAAGGCAGAGAGAGAAAGAGGCATTTGTATTCTCCTTGGCTCTTGGAAATAGCTAAGTCCCCTCAATTGTGGAAGTTACATGCACTTGTGCCATGCTTGAGGTCCACTCATCAAGTATCTTTTTGTTTCAGAGATTTCCAGTAAATATGAAAAGGTAGAAGCACTCTCAAAAGCTCTTCTAGAACTTCCACCTTCCCATTACGAAACACTTAAGTATCTTTTGGGTCATCTATACAGGTAAGCTAACAGTAGTATTAATGGACATGCTCCAAACTACAATGTGAATGAAACCTCTGTGTTAATTGCGTAAATAGACGTAAATAGACTAGAAATAACTATTGATTTATTATTTTTACTTGTTAACAGAGTTGCAAAACGTAAAAGTGAAAACATGATGAACGAGGAAAACCTCTCAATTGTCTTTGGACCAACACTAATGAGGGCACCGGAGTCTGACTCGCTCAATGTTCTAACTGAAATGAAGTGTCAAAGACTGGTAATAGAAAGCCTTATTTCTTGTCAAGATGTCCTGTTTGAAAGCTAGCCATGATCAAATCACTCTTACAGGCCTCCAGTTGTTCAAAAGGTAGATAACTCTATCCACTAGTGCCATCCATGGATAGTGCCATCCAGCTTTTCAACACCTGCAGCCTGGTTAATAAATCTTGTCATAGATAGTAGTCACAATTTTAATAAGTTTACTCTTTCTTATCTCCTTGCCCTAAGTCCTAGTACTATTTTGTTCAAGGTGACAAGGGTACATACATCAGGTCAATTTGATCTTCGTCATGATTCGTTTGGTTGGTCGTGGTGAAACCATGCATGAACTGTAGCAGCAGTAAAGTGTTTCTTATGTGCTCACATCCGATCTCCCTCTCTGATTCTTCTATGATTCATTCCCTGGCTGCAAGGGAGAAATTGTGCTGGGGTTAGGGCTAGGAAGTGGTGAGCACTTGAGATGTGAACATTGTTGAAAAATAGCCTGGTTGTTCAAAGGTTGGATAGCGGTATCTGAACCATGCAGAGGATAAAATAGTAGGAACCAATGTTATTTTCTGTGATATATCTGACGGATATCATTATCAATCTTCTGAACAACTGGGTCATGAATTTAAACTTTTCTAAAGCCAATGCTCAAAGTGTTTACAACTAAAATTAACTGATTGTATTCAACAAGTATTCCTTAAATTTGAAACAAAGATAATTATTGTTATTTAACAAATTTTAGTCTTCTTAAAATCTCGCTGTTGAATTTTAAATTTCAGTTCATCCCAATATTGGGCCCATGGGGGCAAATCGTGCCTTTTAGTGCATGTACAGTTTTAAGAAATTTGTAATTTTAAGCGAATATTGTTTTCAAATAGAAAACAAATAAATGTAAATCATTCAATTACTATCCATTTTTATATTTGTTTGTTTGTTTGTGTTTTTTTTTTGACATGTTTTGAAAAAATATCTATGCATTTTAAGTAAAGTGGAACAACAAGACAACAAACCACCAAGGTCGTTGACTGCCCCTTCAAAATAACCCTCATCTTTCTTTTCCAGAGCAATTTTATCAGGTGGTAAGCTCTGTTTCAGCCGGTGGTATTGGTCAAGATCAGTCTCTAGGGCGAATTTGCTTGAGAACATCATGTGACATACATTAGGAAAACAAAACCCGCAGGCTAAATAGGTCTCGATCTGTTGGGAGTCCACTTTACTCGTAAGTTAGGTGTCCTCTGTGAAAGTTCTCTGTTAACTACACCTTCTTGCTCCAGACAGCTCTTCTGGGGTCACCGAGCGGTGCTTAAGCGCACAGCCATGTCTTTCACTCTTCGAGTCATGTATAGAGTGTTTTCACATGACGTCACGGTGGCCATGTTGGTGTCCCAAACCAATCCTTTGGGAGTTGAACTCTTTTCTTATGCAAACGCTTTCTTTTGTTCCAATAAATTTGCATAGATGCTGACCACGTGAGTGAAAACACTCTATATACTTGTCTGTTACGTAGTTGTAAGGACTAACTTTTGAGTCGCTAGAAGTGAAAATTCTTCTGGAGTTCTTTCACATTGGTACTACATGTACTTGTTGATCAAGCCTAGATTCAATTTAATCAATGTAACACATACCCCCTTGTTCAATATCCTATGATGTTACCATCCAAATGAAAACTCTTTCACAATACTTTTACATGGTTGTATTTGGTTTTCGATAATCTACAGGTAGGAAAATTTGAATTTTTTGTTAAATGTCGAGTCTTGAGCACTCTTAAAAAGTAGAAAAAATAATCAATTTTTAAAAGAAACCCTGACCCCGGATTTCTTGTCTGTTGTTATCAGACAATACATTGTAGCTTTAGAAGGATGTTTTCATAAAGGATGCTTCTCCCAAATACAAAATTTATTACACCAGTTCTGTTTGATACTGGTATTTTAATCATTTGTTTTAAAACTCTGTCAACTGTCTTGTTGTTAAAAAATTTGTTATATTTTCAGAGAAAATATTGGTAGAAGTGAAGAAAATAATTATTACAGACATTGCGTTTAACTAAATAGGTAAATCATTGTAATAAAGGTTTACTACTTCTTATCTTTTGGGGCTCTTGTTGTACAACTTACTAACTCTAAACTCAAAGGATTGCGGCATTAAAGCCAAAGCCGTATTTTTCATAACAGTTGAAGCTCTCGTAAGCAACCACCTGGGACATTCAAATAATGGTTGTAACTAGAGCTGGTCCCTTACGAGAATGAGCTCTCGCAAGTGACCGCATGGTAAAACAATAAAGGGTGGTCACTTACGAGAGCTCATTCTCGTAAGGGTGGCTTACGAGAGTGGTCACAAGGGGAGCCTTTCCTTGAAATATCATGGAGAATTTATTCCATCTACAGGCAGACCATTCAAACTGTTGGGGGTATCATGCATGAGGTTACTTACATATGATCTCATACATTTACTGTATTTCATAATGCCCGCTCTCAGCTTTGATTCAATTGATCAGGAGAATTTCTTTATAAAACAATTGAATTTAGATAGCATACCATGTGTTTTCAGTGTCATGAGTCGTGTTAAACTGACACCACCTTCTACTAGTTGGGGGTGTCAGCGTGTTATTTATTTTTCTTACCCGAGATTAACATTTGGGATAAAAAGGTGAAAACTTCTGTGCATTATGAAGCATTTCTCCCAATCACTTGGATCAAGCCGAGCGCAGGTGTTACAAAATACAGTAAATGTGTGACATCACGACACCTGGTATAGTTCAAATGGTTTGCTGTGTTCCATCCCAAAATCTTTTCATTAGGTTGGAGAACATGGCACTGCTAAATGGTCGGTAAGAGATGGAGGGAGTCTAAATTGCCTGGCAGGACAGGAGAATAGATGATATCATTGACGGGTTAGAGGTGGGGATTTTTCTTACTTGACATTCCCCTGCTTGGCATTTCGCACTTCCTCATAGAATTCAATTCCTGTTTGAATCAAGGGAACGATTTTTTGAACTTGTGTATTAATCAACTGTACAAAAAATATATATGAAAAACAGCTAGGGAATGCAAGGGATAAAAATCTTAAAACTGAAATAAATAACTATTGCTTTGCCAAGAAGTGTTGCATTCAAAAAGAAATACAGAGTGAAAATAAAGATGTTTATAAAAAAAGGTATGAAGACAACTAACAGGTCTTTTTAATTGGAATAAAACTACTATTAATTTTATGAACCAAAATACATTACCATATTGTAACACAGTTGGAAACTTATTTCAGCAATTATCTCTTGATTTTAGAGAATATAAAAACATCTGTTTTGTGTCAAGACCTTGAACTTAGAATTAGAATGTTACAACTACTTCATGAAAACCAAATAATGAAAATAAAAATATCTTTTTAGGTTGTTAGATAAAATGTTTTCGATGCAGTGCAGGTCACCATTAACAGTGCACACTGAAACATTACATCACAATAAATACTTGCAAACACAATCATAATTTACAAAAGCACGTTTTAGGTATACTATAATATATCAACTCTACAAGGAAAGAGTTTTTATTTTTTAACAATACACCAATATTGCAAATCCTGATTGATTCCATGCTCCTGCAAGACAGCATCTCCGTCAAATGATATCTCATCATCACAAAACTCCCTTGAAAACTTGTCAGTGACACTATATTTTACAGACTGAAGGATGCCACATATTTTGCAACAAAGTTACTTGGTTGTCACTGTGTATGTACAATGTCAGGCGTGGTTTAATAGGCAGTTTTTCTTTCAGAGTTGGTCTTTCTTAGATCTAGCTTCAATTTTATTCTGAAGTGCCGTGACACCGATCCCAGCCATTATTGATCCTACAACACAGCTTTGAGCAATCACTCGTAATCTCATGAGATATCTGCTGGTTGTCATAGCTGGGCCTCTGTTCTTGTACGCAATAGCTCCCCAGACACATGCTGCCACTGTTCCAGCAATACCTGTCATTATCAATAGAAAACTGGTCAAATAGGGTTTAGAGAACCTAAGGCAGTGACAACATAATTGCATAAACGCAGTTGCTCAGTTTCAAATTCTAGACTGTCCAACCTTTTGGGTATGTAAAATTGGGATATCCAGATCGCGTATTGGTGGTGATTCGGGATTTTCAAGCAAAATCAGGAGAATCCCAACAAAATCAGGACGGTTGGATATTCTAAAATTCTTGTTGCAACTCCCTGTTATGGATTCTTGATAGCAAGACAGGGGTCTTTCTGAAGGCATCATCATCACAAAAGAAACAGGCAGCAAACAAATAGAGTTCCCCTGTGGGCCTTATTGTTTGGTTGGATTGTTCTTGTACATAATCTGTTAGGAATGAATTGATACAGATTCCGCAATTTTTTCTTCAATCCCACCCTATCAAAAAAAACCTGGGATCAAATAGAACACCCTTGAAAACGTGAAATTACGTCTAAGGCCATCCCCATAAAATGTTTCGTTTCCTATCGCCCTCCCTCTGTGAAGGTGGGTGGGTTGGTTGGGTAAAAAAAATAATAATTAAAAAAATGAACATATGTTTGCATATTAAATCTCACGTTTAGTCTGTAAGATATAATCAGATGGTAAAAGATGTATATTAACAGGACTATCAAATGTCTAAAAAGGCTTCAAAAACGAAGTATGGATGATAATTTAAGACAATTGGTGTTAATAAGACAAGATCGTGTGCTTGTAAATTAAAGTACTTGCTTCTTTACAAGTGATTCTGGAATCTTTTTTTTTTTTTTTTACTTTTCCAAAAAAATGGGTCGGTGGGGCGATGGGAAACGAAACATTTTATGGGGATGGCCTGAGTAAACAATTAACAAATTTGAAAACAGGTCATGATAATAGATAATTAAAAGGTTAGATACAGGCAAAGTCACGAAAGAAAACAACAGCAACAAGTTTTACGCTTGCTTGAAAAATATTCCCTGCCAAACCTGTTGGACAGCTGTCTTTCTCTTATACAAAATATTTAAATAATTCGAGGCGGAACTCATTGCATCATCTAATTCCCTTCTTGGAAAATATTCTTTCCGTGTCCATGAACAGTCGCACGCACAGATTTCCTGCACTACAGTTTCTACGACCATACCATTTTCAGTAAAATCTTACACTTTTCTTTCCAATCGCACGATTTTCTTTACTTTAATTTATAAACTAAGCCGGAATACATTACGTAACGTAACGTTTTGTAATCATTTTAGTCTTTCTTTCAAAGGCGGCTACCCTGCGAGCAGAGGCCCTTCGATCTTCCTAGATAAGAAACGCATTTAGAACTAGAAATCCCTGTCACTGGGATTGCTGCGATTGAAGATTGCAGAGAGTAAGTAAGCTTGAAAGAGAGCGATGTCTCCCGTCTACAAACCGGGACTAGGAATTTTCAGAAATTTTGCATTCGATAGCTAGTACCGAAGAGCGCGTTGACATTTTTTTAAGGTGTCAAAAGATCTTTCCTTGTGACTTTTATACAGACCACTGAAATGAAAATATAGATTTAAAAAGCTTGAATCTTGGCCCGTAGTACATCACTCACCGATGGGGATAAACGGCGACTGTTTGCTTTTCCTGAGAAATCTGTCCTCCTCTGCTTCTTTCTCAGCCTCAGTCATAAACTCTGCACTCAATTGTTGGACGGTTGGAGCCATTTTTTTCTAGACAATAGTATTTCTGAAAATTTTCAGACGTACACAACGCTTTCCTCGCCTTCGAATCTATTTGAGTTGCACGCAATGCGCGCGCTTATTTATAATCCATATTACGCAACATACTTCTGACGTCATATTGATATCTGACGTCTTGAGTGTCACGATTTTCACTTGATTTATGTGAACTTCAGAATAAGAAAAGATATCATAGCACAGGAGAAATGTTTAAAACCAGGGTGAAACCCAGAGTGAGTCTTCTTTTTCCCTTGTTTTTTTTCTCTTTTTTTGGCGCTTCTTTTTCCAGATTACTTCAAAATATTTTGGTGCTCCGTACTGTAACATTTAATACGATTTTTTTTCCAACCATCGATATTGAATATGTTTCTTTTCCGTTTTCTCTTTTGGAATTTTTAGAATAAATACCGGTAATGATATTAGCAAAATGTAATTTTTTCACTTTCTGGATTTATTGGCTGACATCGACATCGGTCACGTACAACGTTCCAAAATCTCGGCAAAAATTCATCGACTGTAAGCTATTTTAGCAGTTGTCTTGAAAAGCGAAGGCGTACACGCGTATAATGTAAACAAAAGAAAATTGCCCAATAAAAGGCCAATTATATGCATAACCTGTTGGGATTCGATTTAGAAGTCTGCGGCCTTTTCACACTTTGGGAGTCCTTGAGCCTCCTCGCCAGAAAAATATTTCTAATTCTCTTATGTGCAATATTTCAGTACCTTTGAACCTTTAACTTTTTCTTTCACATACATATGCATTACAACAACGTGTTTAAAACGACAACAACTGTATTTTTATGGCAAATTAAATAAACTGAAACTAAACTGAAACGCTTTTGTGGACAAGAGAGAAAAATCGCAAATTGATTGACTTGTCTCTTCAGAATATATAGTTTGTACGGCATGTGCTGAGAGTTTCCCCCATTGAATCGCGGGGTTTAGTCATAAATTAATTAAATTTGAGACTAATCTGTAGTAGATTGCTGCAATTTGCGCTGTTGTCTTGTATACTATGGTCACTCTTGGTCTCGAAAGGGAGAAACAGCAACGTGTTTTTAAAAGGGTCATGTAGCAGTTTCAGGCCCAACCGGAACCGGAAATAGTAAAGCATGTACTATTCGCAACTATTCGCACTCCGTTTTTGGTCAGCTCCCCTAAACTCGGGTAGGAGGAATAGTGACAAGGCACTTACGTTTCTCTGAAGCGTTTCAGTTGAAAAGGAAGTTCGAAGTACACACACCAAAAAAACAATACCCGTTTTCTTGGAAACAATGTTTTCCTATCACTCCTGATCACGCACATCACAAGTGACTGATAGGAGCCTGACAGCCCGTAAATCTGGGGAATAGTTTATACTTGGCATCGTCTCCCCAGCAGATTGCCTATTTTCTGTATTTTGCGGACACTTCGACATCTTCTGGGAATATACTGACTAATCCTTAAGGTAACAAACACGATCAGTCAAACACGATAACAATTACGTGATCGCGTGATTCCTAGGATACTAAGGAATTACTCTGGAATGCTTAGTCACGGTTTCAAACGTGACAAGGAAGTCTCTCAAGCGTAAATTATGACGTTTTTTTTTTTTTCGTTTGAGTGCCTCAGGAAAAGATGTGAATGGCACGGTTCCTTCTACATATAGCCTTATTTCTGGGCTAGCTTAAATGTATTTTTATTAAGCAATATAGACCTTATGCAACAGTTGGTCGCGTGATCAAGTTTCCCTAAACGTTTTTGGTAAGGCATTGTCATCTTTATTCACATTTATAAGGTTACATCCTGCAAAAATCTCTCCATTAGTGCTAGTGGCACTGGCCTGAAAATTTGCGCTGTCAGAAAGTTCAAGACGTTCTTTCCATTTCTGAAAATTATCTAATTAGCTCTAGCTTTCAGAGTTTTTAAGCTGTCTATTTTTTTGCTCAGATGACGAACTAACATCCCGATGTTTCCATACTGACTATCCTGTTATATGAGCTGATAGATCGTTAGAAATACCTCAAGTTTACTAACTAGCTTTAAACGCTCATGACAATACCCAATTTTGCTCATAAAATTAAGGGTTAACGATCGTTTACGTAATAATAGATCAGTTTATAGCCGAGAAAAAGCTTTAAAGATGAACACATGTCGTGTTAGATTTTTAACCCGGGTAGGGTAGGTAGATAACACCCCAGTGGGCTAGCGCCACCATTTTGACGCCTAGTCTGCGCGTGCATATTTTTGACCGGCAAAGACTGAGGAAGATTTTTTGACACTAGCTGGCACTCGCTGGCACAGGCATACTTAGGCTTACACATGGGAAATCTTTTTAGAAAGGCAAGAAGAAAGTTAAATATGTACCTCTCACTATACGACTTTAAAAGTAAAATCATAACAGACATAGCCTTTCGATTTTTCTCATTTCAACTCCTCAGGTAAAATAGCTACACCGGGGAATGCCTTCCGAGAACTTTGCCGAACTGGCCAAGGAAGCCAAAAAGTCAAGTTTTAAGTTTGAAGGTGAAGAAAATACTTGCTCCTTTTTAAGTCTTATTACTTTGGTTTCTTTTACGAATTCTTGAAATTTTATGTAAAGGTTGATTAAGAAGGCCTAAATTATGCGCCCTTTTTATGTGTACCAGGTTTTCTGAAGTTTTCTGTCAGTCACCCAAACAGGTTTTGACGCACGCGGTAAAAAGCGATTATTTTCCTTTTAGGTCATGTCAACAGAGAAAAGAAAAATCTAAAACTCTACAATCGTAAGTTGTAAAATCGCTTAGACAAAATAGTGTGTTGAAAGTGGATCTCTGTTAGATTTTTCATTTCTCTGCTGACATAATGTTAAGTAACACTTTCTCAGTTGGCTTCAGCGAACAAAATCTCTATGCTTTTAGGTCAACCAGTTGAAACTCAGGAAACTACATTAACTTAAGCTTAACCTTTGCCTCAAGATCTCGTTTTCGAGTTGGTGCCTTTTGTTTGACTGGGTAAACAAAAACATATCCTCCGTTTTTGACTTCGGATTGTTGAAGATCGATTATCGTCAGACAATGGGTAGAAAATAGGAAAACAAGATCTTGAAATCGGAGAGTCGACCAAACTCTTTTCATTGTTTTGAAAGTGGTTTCGGAGAGTCTTTATTTTAAGCGCAAAAAGCTATGAAAGATTCAGATCAAAACCGCGGAAGATTTGTTTTAAGAGTAAACACCATTATTCATGACAGTATAATTTAGGAAAATCTAGTTTTTTCTTTGTGTTTTTTACTCAGTGCAGTGATATGTTGTTGCTGTTGGGCGGTTTGCTTTGTTTTCGTCTTCTTTTTCTGGTGATATGAGTTGCTCCGTTTTGATAATCCTTGGGTAATGGCTGTATTAATTATCTTAGCTCGTGATTCACGGATTATCAGTAAGACGAATCAACTGGTATCTTGCCAACTGGAAAAGCGGCACAATTAACGAAAGCTAACCTAAGCTTCCTAAACAGGTCGAAATAATCCGCTTACACCAGCTTCTTAAAACGCGATAAAAGCGGCTAACCTTATTAAAGCATGTAAACCTGAGAGAAGTGCTTCTGCCAGTTCAATCTCGTTCTCTGTTTTTCCTATTTTTCACTTAAAGCCGTGAAAAATCTTTTCAGTTTCGAATAACAGCCATTAATGAGCCTTGCCACCGAGAATTTATTGCCATTACAGTTCGTTTCAACACAGCCAAATTTGTTCTGCGTGATAGCAATCAGAAGATGCCAAACTCTCTAGTGGTCCTCATCTTTTACTGCTCACCAAAAATAAGACCTTTTTAGTTATTGCATTACACTGCATATACTTTCTACTCCGAATCGGTAGCTGTTTTCAGGGCGGGAAAATTGCTTGGGTCCCTAAAAATAACCTACGTCGAAAATAACCTTGGTCGCGTCTCAATATCGATGGTCATTTAATTACATGAATACACAATTTTTAATATAGAAACTGTACTGATACAGCGTTGTCATTAATGTATAGTGGTAGGGAGACCACGTCTTCCAGTAAAATTAGAGACAGAAATCCGACGGTCTATAGGATATTCCTTTCGGGTGAAGTCTTAAACTCCAGGGCGATCTTCGACTTAGAGTCCGAATTATAAGCTAGATCTCCCAGGCATTTTTCTCTTTTTCGTAAAGAATCTGAAGCAATATCAACCTGTTATATCAAGTTTCTCACAATTTCGTTTTTCTATCGTTTGTTTTTTTCTACATTTTGAGCCTAAACTGAATTATTCGGGAAAGTAGAGCGTTTTACCTCTAAATTTCTTTGTGGTTCTAATATGATGGAGATATTTGGAGATAAAATAGGAGTGGATGCATTGAATATTTAAATTACGCACATTTTGCTTTGTAACAAAATATTTATAGTTAGTAATATTTCATGAGTAGCCAATCATTGAGAAACTGCAGACCAAATGAAAAAAGACTTGTAAATAATGCTATACTCTCTTGATAGCTTAAAGTACCGCTTGAGGCGAAGATGTATCAGCCAGAAAATGTTTTATGTTAGAGTAAAAGTAGATGACTTATCGTTCTTATCTGACCAACAGACCATAGATTTGGGAGTTAATTTCTCCGAGTAAACCCCGTTCTTCTAAAACTCACTTGCATGCTGTAGGAAATATGATAAATCCATTTGTTGACCAAGAATTCCATGTTTAATTTAATCTTTATCCGAATATCACAGGTGATTCGCCGGGGTAGGGTGGTTGAGAAACTGGTAGACAGATGTTAATGGATAATGAGTGCCCCGCATGAGAAACCATGCATATCAAAGTTACAGCAATTACGTTTTTATCATGCCCTTGACAAGATGCTTTTTGAAACCACGTGTGCATATACAGTAGATATTATACATGTATAAAAAACTGGCTTTTAGATAGATGAAATGAAATCATCATAAATAATGCGCTTAAGAAATCAATCCGAAAAGTTACAGGTCTTAACAGTGACTGACGTGCGTGACCAGGATGTTGGACACGAAAACAAAAGATTAGAGAAATAAATAACAGCAAAAATAGCGTGAGAAATCTTTCACTGCGCGCCTCTCTCTCGATCTTATTGGAATCCAAGCGTTGATTTTGTCGTTTTTGTACAAAAGTATGGCATGGACTTGCTTATCTGATTGGCTCATCGGCTCTCACATGACCACAAAAACCGCAACGAAATTAAAATCAGCTAGATTTCTGTATCATATTCTAAAGCGGTTAGGGTAATTTTTGTAATTAACATAGGACGATATTGAATATAAATTTTATTTAAGCATCCTGAACAGCGTTTTTTTTTATATCGTTGGAAGCCTGCGATGTGTGACGAGGCGACGAAGCGAGAAAAGTCCCCGACAAAAGGCTCAACAAACCGGTCTGCGGTTGAACAAGGAACTCGTGACTACCCTACTTTGTGTTGCTCATTGCATGCAATGTGTATCGTTTGGATCTGAGCAGCGTATGTTCTTTGGTATTACATTTCATGTGTGCATTGGGCTCCATTGAGCTGGTAATAGTAAAATCTTCTGTTGATACTCGCCGATAGAACCTTCGATTTGCAGGGGTTGGAAATCAACACACAACTTCCAGTTTGCATTATTTTGCGATATTTCCGTTTGTTTACACTGTTAGCAGTTAGTTACATGCGCGATCGGTCAAGATTTTTCACAACGCCGATGACAAACTGACGGCTTGTCGAACCTCGGCGCTGCAGCGCGATGAATTTTCCAGAGTAATGAGTGGGAAATGCCGATTGACTTGACCGAAAAGTATGGCTAAACAATGACTTTATCGTTCGACCAGGTGGAACAGTGGCTTGACGATCATCCACAGCAAGCTGAGGAATACTTTGTGCGTAAGGCTACCGCGCGAATGGTTCAACTGTGGAATGAGGCAAGAAGCGACTGCTCTGACGTTTTCTGCTCGGATGCAATCGAGAATTGCAGTGCTCGGAGAGGAAAGAATTTTCGCTTCAACGACACAGTGGACATAATCAATTCGAACGAGGAAGAGGAAGCTGTAAACGAAGCGGGAGATACAAAATCTTTTAGTAACCCAACATCACCTATCACTCGGAGGTATTCCGAACCGCAGCGCCAGGGGAATCAAAAACGACACTGGATTCTAGGTTACGGAGAAACACAGGGATTAAGCGGTAAATCAGTATCATCAAGTTTTGTCGACTCTCTGGACTTAAGTACCTATGAAATCCGAGAGGAAAGAACGAGACGAGTGAGGAGTCCCCCTTCACGTCAGCTCCGCAAAACCAAATCGTTGCCGAATTGTGGACAACAGCATGTTCTGGGGGCATTAATTGAGTCCAAAATTCGCCTGCCCTCTTCTGTAGGCCTAAATGCTGAATCAAAACTGGATTTAAAGAACAGCAATGAAAAGCAGTTTTTCTTCGAGATAGTGCGGGACATAGCCAATGATTTAGACCTGACAACACTGAGTTATAAAATTCTAGTCAATGTTGGGATTCTGACGAATGCTGATCGCTGCTCATTGTTTCTTGTGGAGGGGCCGAAAGGTAAACAGTCACTCGTTTCAAAGGTTTTCGATGTGCAAGTTGGATCCACGAGTTCAACAGCGAAAGACTTTATTAACCAGCAGAGAGAAATTACTGTTCCGTGGGGAAAGGGTCTTGTTGGTTATGCTGCAGAGACCGGAGAAACAGTTAACATCCCCGATGCCTATGCGGTTTGTAACGTTTTAGTATAAATAAATCATTAGGGTTTTTAGGCGTATGTAAACCTTCATTCGCTCTCTTAAGTCGCCGGCGCCTTGGCTTAACGTACCTTGCAAAAGGGGCTCTCTTGCACATTGCATATAAAAAGGCGACACCATAATTATCGGACCGTGATCGTTCGAATTTTGATGAGTCGTTCGATTCTGATAGCGCGCGCTGTTAATTTGAGCGCTTTGGATTCAAGCGATCAGCTTTGTACTTTTAGCAGATCACAACATTCTATTCCGTTTCCACTTAGTTTGATGGCTTCGAATCGTGTAAGGTAGCGTGGGTTGCAAAAACCACTGTTCTGTTTGCAGAAATTAAATTGGGTCACATACCCGGATCAAACCAAACTTAAACGGGATGGCTATTTTTGTTCGTATTATTAATTCACATCCATTTTATTTGTATTTTACCAACCGAAGCGCATTTTAAAGAAACGTAAACGAGATCTTAACTGTTATCTGGTATCGAAAAATTTCCTGCCTCTAGATAAAATATTGTAGGAAATTTTTACCTTTAATTGTATTTACGAAAAGTAAGAAATTGGTCAAAGTTATAATGTGGCTTTAATTCGAAACGACACGGCTAAAGGCAAGCTCACGGCTGAAGTATCATTATGAATTCACGGCTTTAAATTTGCATTTTTAGCATTTGTGTTCATAATCTTGGAGAAAATCATCTTTTTAATATCGGCACGAACACTTTAAAAATCTTTTTGGTTATCAGATCGCCTTTAAATGCGATAAAATGTTATCACGACGTCTTCTCTCGTCTCAGTCTGGCTACTGCTCGAGTGTGTGGGTGGCTTATTAAGCTATAAAGCCGAAATTATACACAGCCGAGTTAACTTGACCTACCAAATTCGTGTTTGTCGCGCTTCAACGACTTTGATTAATGTGTCTCTCGCTGTGACCTATTTTTTGTCCATTCCTTTTAACCTTCATCGACCTGTTCCGGCCCTTCAAAAAGCCGCGAAAATGTTAGCTTTCTCCTGCGATGCATTCGTAAAATCGCAATGTTTAAACTCTCGACGCTTGTATGTTTATTGTCGCTTACAAATCATGGCGTATATTGTTTTTGTCGTTTTAAAATTATTGCGAACCGGGAAGATTAGGAAAGCGTGAATTTGTTGTTGTTGAATCCTGTTACTGTACGACCAACATTGGCGTGTATATTTCAGCGGTATTTTGACGGATTTCCTTTTTAAACTCTTGTTTTTAATCTGATTGTCACCCAAGTACTTTGTTGACAAGCGAGATATAGCTAGAGCTGCTTATTTTGTTTGACATTTTTAGTGCAAGATGCACAATTACTCTGTTTGCTGTGTATTTGCAGAAACTTTCAAAATTATCCTTTTTTAGCAGATAAAAATATTTTTTGACCATTACGAGCTTAGTTCTAAATTTGAAGGTCATTCTTTAAATTAAAGTCTCTATTATTATTGGCACTTTTTAATGGATATTTTGTTACCTCAAAAATATATGCATGATGAAAACTCACATTGACAGCAGTTTTTCTTGTACCTTTTTAAACGTTACTGACACCAAAAACTGCTCTGTATGTAGATGCATTATCACAGGGGTGTTTACATGGTCATTTTCAAGGGCACACCCTTTCATGACAATATTGCCTTTGATATGTGCAATTTTTTTTAAAACCCTGGTTGTTGGTCTGGATGAGGTTTGAACCCACGACCTCCTGCTTGGCAGACTGGTGCACTCCCAACTGAGCTAACCTGGGCTGCAGTTAATGAGTGATCAATAATTAAATAAATAATAATAATAACAATAATAATAATAATAATAATAATAATATTATTATTATTATGAGCAGTAAATTCTGCATTTTTGGACTCTATAAGTAATGGAACTTCGAAACCTATTTTTGGATTCAGAATCCAAATTTAGATTTTCCTAAAAAAGCCCAAGCTAACTCTAAGATTCTGTCTGTCATTTTGTTCATTAATATAGGACCCTCGCTTCAACAAAGAGGTTGATCTTCAGACTGGCTATCATACAAAGAGCTTATTATGTAAACCAGTGAAGAACAATGAAGGAGAGGTGAGAACAAGTGAAGTATGTCAGTTTATTCTTGGGGAGTTTTAAAAAAAATTCAATCTTCTGGCCCCGTGCCGGAACATACTTTTGTCGCATGAATCATGTGGCGAAAGTTATCACTTGAGAGAAACATGTCAGTGGCTAATTTAGCAGACCTTCACTTTGTCTTATAGCTTGGGAAATCAACTGGGTTGAATTCGTAAAGATCTTTTGAAGAAAGTGACAAACAAAGTTATTGTCATTCATTTGTAGCCCACTTATATTGCTTCAAGGATGTTTCAACTATCTTGGATACAAGATCAGTGTTAAATATGAAATCTAATAATACCATACCATATAAAGAGGCCCTGTTAGGGTAAAATTCCGACAACTGACATGACCTTGAAACAGCGAGAGAAGACTAGATGAAATGGCGACATACAACAAATTCATATCAGGGACATATGTGCCTCAGCTCCGCCTCTATATAAGTTCTAAAAACCCATACCATAAATCCCTCTCCCTCCCCTCCCTAAGTGCTAAACAGAGAGTAGGGGCATATTTAGTCTCACTTGGTTTAGCTGAGAGACTCTAAAAATGCAACCGTTTCTTTCTTTGTTCGTGTTTGTGTGGGTACCAAATGGGCATCATGGTCTCAGGCGTTCCCAGCAGAGTCCGTGGAACCTGGCGATAAATGTGGCGGCGTGACAAGAGCCATGCATAGAAAGATTAGGAAATATTAATGCGAAATATGTCGAGCTTTTCAGGAATGGGTCGGTTCACGATTTTGGCAATGGTTGAAATGTCGCGCCATGTTGATCACACATTTTGATGTAATTTCTCTTGAATTGAGGCCCTAAATGATTTTCGTGTATTTACCCACGTGTACTTACAAATCGTTGAATACAATATTAAAAGTAAATATCTTAAAGAATACTTGACCGTCAATAAAGGAAGGAGTCTCATGGTAAACAAACTGGGATACAAGAATTACTCTGGGGCAAGAGCTCATCATCATCATCAGATCAATCGACTGAATAGCAGTCGACTGTTAGTCATCTCCAACTGGCTCGGTCTAGGGTATTGTAGTACATGTTGTCATCCTCTGAGAAATGCTTGTTGGGGTCGATCCATTCCTGTATTGTAATTGGTTGGAAAAGGACTTCCGCAGTCTCCCTTGGGGTCCTCTCCTATATATGGGAGGGCTCATACAACGAACCAAGGAAATTCCATTTTCAATCATGTGCAGCTCTTTCTTTGTCTTGTCCCATTATGCTTCTCGCATCCCAGCTTGGCATTTTTGTATCACATGACTTACCAGCTCCAAATAAAAGGGCCCTTGGGAGGACTTATTAGAAAGAAGGCGGGGAGGGGGTGGGGTGACTGCTTATTAGACGATTTGTTGTAACTTTTCAGCTACAAATAAAAAGGGTCCTTAGGAGGACGTATCAGACAGGGGGTGGGGAGGGGGTTGTGGTCAGGGTTTTATAGAGGATTTGCTCTAAGGCGCGTAACTTTGACATTTTGAATACGCAGGTTGTTGGGGTTGCCCAGATAATAAATAAGATGCCTGGTCCAGTACCCTTCACTGAAGAAGATGAGGAGGTAATCTCAGCTTAAGCTTGATTACATGAGAAGTTGTTTGAATTATTTCATGGTTAACTCGGATGACCTGGTGATCACTCGTATTGATCCACGTGAACAGTTAAATGTGGGTGAATGTAATTTAGGCTAAGTTACACACTAATCAAACGCTGGGCAGCAGTTTTTCCCAGGGTTGGTGTGCGGGGTGACCGGGTGTTGTATTCATTGCAGTTGCATGTTTACAGCCGAGCTCGCCCTTCCCTCTTGGCATGTCAGTTACGTGGTAAGTAATTAGTTTTCACTGTTTTTTCAGTGTGAGGGCGCCCAGTGGTTGCCGCTGGTTGGTTGCCATGGATACGCTATGCATTCGGCTCACTTTGTCTAGTGGCTCCACCTTCGTTTGCGAGGCACCATTCCCCAAGCTCATCTATTGCTGATCGGTTTAAATGACAGTTCATGTAATAGTTATGAATACTGTTAATTTTCAAATGGTCTTCCTCCTTAGGTTTGTGAAATGTACCTGACGTTCTGTGGGATAGGTATTACCAATGCCAAACTATTTGAACTCTCAGCAATTGAATTTAATAGGAACAGAGTAAGTACTTATAATGGAACAGAACTTTTCTTCACCTTTTTCACTCCTCAAAGTGACCAAAGGAAAAATCCTTGGAATTCCTAAAAAATAAGCACTACTGAGTGTGCAAAATTCTACAAAAGAGGTTTCATTTAATTTCATCCACAGCTTTTAAAGGTGCAGCATAAAAATTTTCCTACTGACACTTTCTCCAGTGAGTGAAAGGGCGTCACAGGGAAGGATGTGGAGTTTAGAACTCTTCAGACTCTTAATTAAAAGCCTAAAATTTTTCTGGATTAATTTTTTCCAAACTTACCCTAGATAACTGTTTAAGAAGTTGTTTTCTTTGAAACAGGCATTGCTGGAGCTTGTCCATGACATCTTTGAAGAGCAGACTTCACTTGATAAAGTGGTACATAAGATCATGAGAAGAGCTTTATCAATGCTGAAGTGTGAGAGGTGTTCTGTTCTCCTGTTAATGCATCCAGTTCTTGGCAACAGTTTAGCAGAAGAAACAGCTCAAGTAAGACTCTTCCTTCCGCTACAGTACACCAAACCAAGTTCCAATGTTCATTTTTTAATTAGATGCTCAATTTGACATCTTTTACAGTCCTGTCAAAATCTTTGTGTAGCAAACTGCCGTTTAGCACTTGCCAGTAGTCAAGTCAGCTCGTACCTAGAATCCTTGTCTCTTAGAGGCCTCTTAGTGAAGTTCAGTTTGGAGTAAACTACTCAAATAATTGACTGAGTTCTGCTAATATAATTTTTATTGTTTATAGGACTTAAGAATAACAAAAGTGTTCAACCTTCGTGTTTCAGGAAGTAGGAATACCAATAGTACAATGTAAGTCTTGATGATTATATTGTAGACGGAAACAATTGCTGGTTTTCCTAACAAGTCTGGATCTTTCCTAAAGTAAAGTATGGAGACAGGAAATGTAGTGGCTCAAGCCTCATTTCAACAGGGGGGTGTGTAATTATTAAATTTGTTCGAAACCTGGGGTTTTAATAATTTTTAAATCTTTACTATTTTAAGAGGGTGGGTTTTTTCGGTTTCCCTTTGTACTGAGAAAGGGTGGGGTAGGCGAATCCACTCCCTAGGGGGTCCCCTGTTGACATTATGAACCAACCATTTTCTAAGTTTTGGTTTAGTGGGACTAAACTGTGTTAACCAAGGCGTAACTTAGCTAGCAATAAACCTGCCTTATCTGCCAGTTTTTGGATAGTCACATAATTTTGTAAGACATCTTGGGACTCTCCTCTTTTTCTTTCAGTTACAGTGAGGGAAGAGATGATGGCTCTTTCTGTACAAGGGTAGCAAAGCTAGTTGCTTCAAGTGGCAAGGTAAAGAGACATTTTTGCACAGGGCTTAATGGCTGGATAAATGAGCAGGGAAATGTATTTTATTGTAGATGGTCAGGGGTGTAGCCAGCCCATAGACCTGTAGACCTGGGCCCACAAATTTTTGGTTCGATCACTCTAGTATACCACTTGTAATATTATAAATCATGTGTTGTTGGGGTGAGCTAAAAAGCTTAAGAGCTGAAGTGTTGGTGAGGTCAGTGTGTATTGGTCATGGGTGCAATTTTCAGGATGTGTGGAAATGAAAGTCAGCCAGGTCCACAATAGTCGAAAAGATGGCTATGCCCCCGATGGAATAAACCTGAAAGATAATAAGGCATGTTTCTCTAGAAGAAACACTCTGAGAAAATCAGATCTTCAGGGACTTTCGAGAAATGGGCCTGAGAAACTTAAACTGTGCACTTGTTTATTTGTAAATCTCAGCTATGTTGTTGTTTGCCATAAATTTCTATATCCCTTGTTTTTTTGTAGACAGTCAATGTTCCTGATGCTGCGCTTGATCCAAGGTTAAAAGGAATTGTAAGTTATCATCTCGTTCTTGTGTGACATGCTATGGTGCTACCTTTCGCCCCATATAAAGGGATCTAAGGCAGTCTTGGATTCTGGATTCCACACAATGGATTCCGGATTCTAGGTACTGGATTCCAGTCTTTGTCAGTCTTGTCAGTGAATCCAATCCAGATTCCCTTTATTTTGTTAGCTCCTGGGATTTGGACGTTTTCCTTGGCTGTATTCTAAAGGATTCCAAAGAGCCCTTCTGACCCAGATGCAAAATATCGGATGCCACATAGTGCCAAATTTTCCTTTGTATTGGGCATTTAGATTCATTTTGGTGGGAAGAGTTTTTAGGAAAGCTTTTAGGATCAGGCAAATATTTGGAACAAGATTTTCATGGAGATTTTCAGGTCCTTGTATTCTTTCTCCGGTGTCCTTGACTGAATTCTGGTATGGTTTGAAAGATTCCCTTTGGGTCCTTGACCGTTAAAACTGATGATACATCTACTGCATTAATTTATTGTTGTAAATGGGATCGAGTATCAGTCTTTTTGGTGAATCAGTCCTATCCATTGCCTGTTTTGCAGCTTGCAATAAGTGCTGACAATGGAGTTGATGCCCATCGGCCGATTTTGTGTATGCCAATTAGGAACAACAAGTTTGAAATTATCGGTGAGTAGAGTACTTTCAATTTTTTTTCCACAAGTTGCATGTTCTTAGTAAATAATGTATACAATAATTCGTCTTCCGGAATGTGAGGATAGTAGTCTGCAAGGCTTAAAATACCTGCATAAATTGTGTGAGTAAAACGCACCAGAGATTCTGATTCTCAAGTCTTAAATGCCAGGAATCTCTTTACTTAACTTAGGGATGGGTTGGGAAGAGGGCATTGCGGAAAACTCTTTGATAAATGAGATAATCTTACTTATTAAACTGTTCATTTAATAATTAAATGTTTATTTAGTGTGTAATTAACATTGCGTTATGTTAAACTATTTCAGGAGTTGCTCAGTTGATTAGCAAATTAAACAACAAACCGTTTGATGAGAGTGACGAGACATTATTTGAGGTACAGCTTACATATTTATGCTACAATGTAGTACAAACCCTTTCAGCATAGCATGTTAGCACAGTATGACCGAGAAGTGCAACAATCTTCACAGCTTTTTTTCGTTCACAAGACGACAAAAAAAATTGGAGAGGTGTGGAAGCAGAGAGAAAGGAAAGAAAGTTTCTTCCATCCCTAACCTCCCAATTTATGTCCAGTTTTATGGGGGCAGTCACAATGCGTTGTGTTGTGAGGTCATCGAGGTTTCAGACAAAGAAAGTTATTATTCCTCAAGAACTTGACAACTTTGCTTGGCGTTTCAGGCTATCACTAGTTGAATTGTTCGTAAAAAAAACTTTCCAACTTATCTCTGTAGGCATTTGCCATTTTTTGCGGCCTTGGAATTCACAACACCATGATCTATGATCAAATGGCGAAAGCAAAAGCCAAGCAACAAGTAGCAATAGAGGTGAGCTGAAGAGCGATCGCGCTAGGGCTTCTGGTGTTAGAGTTAAGGTTAACGTATTTACTGTTTGGGCATTGCTGCCTTCTCGTACTATCTCATTGACAATTCCCTGACATGTCTGATTATTATAAAGATACACGCAACATTTTACAGATATGATTTGGCATGTTTGAAATTTATTTTTCATAGACTGGCAAAACCTGAGACAGGCTTTATAGCAAGCGTTTTCGTGCATGCCAGTGCAAAATTGAGAGTGAGGACACCTTCATCCCCCCTCTAGCCCCGCCCTATCCAAAAAAACGAAATATAAAAAAAAATCCTCCCTCCCCCCTCTCGAGTTTTTGCTACCGCCCTAACTATAGACGTAGAAAACAAACTGCAACGCTTCTGTTGTTTTCTTAAAAGCTGTTCCAAATCGCTTAACGCAAATTCTCGTAACAGTTCTAAATTGAACGCTTTGTTATATATTTTACTAACTATTTGCCTCGTGTTTTCAAGGTATTGTCATACCATGCTGCCGCTAAGAGAGGCGAAATTGACAGACTCAAGGTAGGTTTGGCGATCAGTAAAGGAGAGCATGTTCTTTGTCTTCGCCTAGAACCAAAATATGTCGAACTTTTTGTATCGCATAACCATTTTAATCTGGAATACACTGATGATAGTGTTTCTTTCTTTTTTTTTTAAATACCTAAAAGCAACTTAGTAACACCGTGCCAAGTAGCTTTCGTCCAAGAGCCTGACTTTATGAGCGATGTTTTGGTGATTTCGAGAACTTTTAAACACTGAACCGATTATTAAATTGAATGAAATGTTAAAATAATGTTCTGGGCTGAGTTGCTCAAAGCATGGTTAGCTTTAACCATTGGTTAAGCAGTATCAAAACCAATACTTTGTCATGGTATTAAACGCTGGTTAACGCTAACCATGCTTCGAGCAACTGGGCCCTGGAGTTGTAGAACAGTATAACTGGACATTCAAGATTAGATGGCGGTATTAAATGAATAGATACACTACTTTCATTGTAAGCGGCTGTGTAGTCATGCTTGTAGGGGCGGTGTTAATCCTCAGTTATCTAAGTATACATGGTAACTAATGAGTTACCTGCTGATTTCCTTTGCAGAATACTCCAGTACCCATGGCTTCAGAACTCAAACTTGACAGTTTCCAGTTTAATGACTTTTCCCTTGAACCTAACGAGATGCTGCAAGCTTCACTTAGGATGTTTATCGATTGTGGATTCATTGATGAATTTCACATAGACTACGAGGTAAACACACGACGGAACAATTTAGGTTTCTGGGAAACTGCCCACCTACCCCTTCCTTTAAGCCAACATTAACACTAACTTCTCACTTAGGGCAAAATGTTGATTTTGGGGGGTGGTATGTGGGCAGTTTCCCAGAAACCTGAATTAATCCCACACGACAACGGATTTGTTCGTTTCTTCCTTAACTTGGGTGCGGTCCCCATAGACCTATTTGGCTAACTCAATGATGTACCCAATTCAAATCTCCCGGAGTTAAGATTCTTTGTGCAGTGTATTTGCATTAGAACGTGGCATTCACATTTAAATGATATGGAAATTCCAAAAAGAAAACGTTTTATTCCTAAAGGGTTTGAATTGGGTACAACATTTAGTTAGCCGAATAGGTCTATGAATTCAACTTCAGGAAAATTCATCTAGATTGAATTTTGAGCGAGTTTGAATAATCGTAACAAGGTTTAAAAAACGCGAATTGATTTTATTTGTGACGTTTTCGCTGCTGTCGAATTCTTGTGTTCGATGCCTGAAAACTGAAACGGACTCACGTTAACATACGAGGCCAAATTTAGCGCAATACCCATCTTAATTTTTCTCATTTTAGGTTCTCTGTAGATGGCTGTTAACTGTACGCAAAAATTATAGAAATGTTATCTATCACAACTGGAGACACGCCTTCAATGTGGCTCAGTCAATGTTTTGCATGCTCAAGGTATGTAGTTAACCCTTTAAGAGTGACCAAAATCAATTTTTTCCTAACGATGTCAATACAAATCATTTCCATATCAAAGGCTGAGCACTTAACGTCGTTTTGATACAGAAGCCTGGGGGAACTCGGAAATAGCCTATTAGCGAAAACTGTGGCATTAAACAACTTGTAATGGCTCTCAAAAAATACTGTAAGGCAGGGTTTAAACGAGAGGAGAGTTTTCCGGATTCTGAAACATTTCTGGAATTTTTTTGCATTCAGGGTACTCGGATATGAAGGCTTTAAAAAAAATTTGAATTTTGATTTCGGATTAGCGCACCTGCGTACAGATGGCTAAACGAATCCGACACCAAAATGTTTCAGATTAGTTATGGATGCGGAAATATCTCCTGTAATGAAAACCTAGCTTAAATCTTACCTGGGTTTAACTTTTCCAATCTCCTCTGTAAAACAATAAACGCATGGAGGTTGTGCTGTGGATGGTACAAGGTCAGAGATTAGAAAAACACGAGCCACGAGGCCCACATTGTAGGATGAGTTTTTTCCCGTTTTCTGGAGAATGAAGCAGCAAATAGTAGTTGTATTGCTACTACCACTGGATAAGATAACCGTTCAACCACTCGTCGTAAAACTGGCAATAAAAGAGTAGGGTCTAGAGCGAAATTGCGAGCTACACCTCGTTTGAGTCAATGTTAAACTGCGGCGTTTGGTTGTAAATGCCCCGATTATGCAAAGTTTTGAAGAACTGGATGCATGGCACGTGCAGCTCGTGCGGAAATAAAAATAAAGCACGCACGTGCTGCTCGTGTGCCTCAACAAGGTAAAAAAATGGTGATGCAGAGTACTTTTAAAGACTATTGCCACGTGTTCGGTGAATCTGGTATACGAATCCGCAACTTTTTGAATCCGCTCTCCAGAGTGGAAATGTATGTTTTGAATACGCTATTAATCCGGGATCGTGTGGTCGCCAACTCCTGATATTTTTTTAATCCGGTGACGTAACAAGATCAAGCCCAGTTCTTCACCGTGAAAGGCAGAGCAAGATGCAAATTTCGCGTGCTTTACGACGCATGCTCTGTTGCCAATATTTCCAGAGGAGTCCTGGGTACTAGAATGAATCCGTATACGTGTCGGATACGTGTGGACGGGTAAATTCGATTTGAAGACTGATACGTGTGTGGACGTGAAAATTTTTGAATCTGGAAAGAAGAAGTTGCGGATTCAAAAATATCCGGATATACGTATGGACGGGGCCTATACCTGATACCGTCCACCCCAAAATTGGAAGATCATAGCTTAAGGGAGGGCATATGTGAGTTGTTATTTTGTGTAATAAGAACCGTGAAAGCATTGCATCTTTTCAGAAGCTGTTGGCCGTCATCTGGGGGCCATATTTGGTTATTGGCTACCATGCTTATTTATATGGATTCTTAATATTGTTGCGATCGTTGCTTTGACAGTGATTCTAACAAGTGGGCTGGAAACGTTTTACTTTTTCACAGACTGGAGGCATGAACAAGTATATGAGCAACCTTGAATGTCTTGGTTTGATTGTCGGCTGTTTGTGTCATGACTTGGACCATAGAGGAACAAACAATGCTTTTCAGACCAAGTACGTCATTATTTCAGTAAAGCCAACATCGACTCGTAACGCTTACCAATTTACAAATAGACAAACGTGATGGGCTCTTCTAACAACTGTTTTGAACCTTTTTAGGCAGGCGTGGCATTAGGGGAAAAAAGAGCGACTTCTACCCGCGAGAGCCGCGTGCCCCTCCACTTTGCGCACTGTTAATTCCCCCCATTCCCCAATTTCGTTCCTAGGCTTCTCTCTCTTGTTTCGAGAAATTATTCGGCTGTAATTATGCAAAATTTGGGGGGGGGGGGTGGGGGGCAAATAAGGTGCATTATGGGAGATGTGTAAGTGGTGTATAGAGAGGAGAAGTGTGACGTCACATTCTCATGGTAGCACATTTTCTGGGTCTCTACAATCTTTGTTGACAGAGACGGTTAAAGTTCGTTTAAACGATTGAAGAAAAGCATGGGCTACCGTTTTGTTCCTGAGAGCAGTCATATATGTCAGTTTTTTAGTTTTTTCTTCTGCCGTATGTGCATTATCTCAGTTTGTTGAGATGGAGAAATTTTGCTACCATGGCAAAGTGACGAAACAACTTCTCCTCCCTGTTTCGGCGCTTGCTTCACACGTGAACAAGGAAATTGTAGACATCTGTTGGCTGGTCAGCGTCTACAAATTACCCTGTGATAAGTACTGTTTTCCATTTAAAGTGAACCATTTTATCAACTTAAAGTATTGGAGTGTATTATATATATTAGACTGTATAGACTTTCACTAGTAGACTATATATTTAGGACTGTAGTTGTATTGAATTTACGCCCATTCTAAAAAAATTGTTTGACACCTTTTTTCTTGTTGTCAACAGGACAGACTCCCCTTTAGCCAAGCTGTACACGACCTCTACTTTAGAGCATCATCACTTTAATCATGCTGTAATTATCCTCAGCACAGAGGTGAGCGACTTGACATGCAGTTAGTGAAGCACATAAATCTGAGGAATCACACTTAAGAAAACGCAATCAACCAGTCAGACCTCACAACAAAATAAGGGAGTTCATTTTAAACGTAATGTCACACTAACCATGAAATTTTTTTCAAAAGGGCCACAACATTTTCCAGAAACTAAATGCTGATGAGTACAGACAAGTTATTAGTTACATAAAGCATTCTATCCTATCAACGGATTTAGCTGTGAATTTTAGGTAAGTTCTTTACTTACGTGGTCGTTACTCGTCTATTTCGTTTTTGTGTCGTTTAAAGAGCGAAGACAGTTTCAGTTAAGGTTTTTTATTTTTTAAACTGAAGACTAGGTGTCGTTTAATTGACCTTGAATTGAAACGTTCGGGTTTTTTTAAATTTTAGGCAACGTTCAATGTTCTTTCCACTTGTTGAAAAGGGCGGCTTGGATACCTCAATCCCGGATCATAGAGACATGCTCAAGTAAGTTTCAAGTCGCCCGTAGCATCATTTCTCACATGTTCACCGGGCTTTAGGCGAATGTGAGGCTGTTCCAACTTGGTGCAAGAGAACTGGTGCTTGGGTCACCAGCATCAGTAAAATGGTGGGGTGTTCACACTAGGTACCCAATGTAACTGTCTGTTTACGTTTCTACGGAGTTCTAGCAGCCACGTTTTTGAGTGACGCACGTCAACCGGAAAAGGACTTTTTGCACTCTTGAGCCGCGATTTTGAAAAAAAATTTGGGCAAGTCGTCTCTATAAGAGTACAGACACTTAGCCATACAAATTTGGTCGCGTCAAGGCGTATTAAAAGAGAAAAAAAGCTCACTTCCGGTTGACGTGGGTCGTTCAAAAACGTTGCTGCTTAAACTGCCCTGTCAGACGCCATTTTGGAACTCTTTTGAGCTTAACCGGAAGTAAAAAGCAGCCGATTTCCCCGGAATTAACAGGCATTGTGTGCATATCGGGACCCGGTGTTAGCTTAAGGGTCTCGACTTTGTACTCGGACATTTGTTCACATTAGTGCCAAGTCCGTACCGTACTCGGGCACCGTGGCCGGGCGCCAACTTTGAACGCTGCCTATGCCACCAAGTTTAGTTCACGTCTTGGTCGTGCGGGGACTGCAAGGAAATGTGCCAAAAGACGTGTTTATTTAAAACTATTGTTTTGTTTTTTGTTTTTTGATGTTCTCGTTGCCGTCGCCGTCGTCATTAGTGAACTTACGCTAAAGGAAGGTCGAGGAAAGAAGACGCGGCAAACCTTGTGTGACAAGCGTGACAGTAATTTTTTTTGCTACAGCTTTTCCCCAAACTTCACTCTCCTTTAAACAGATCTTTTTGTAAAAGACCAGAAAACCTTAATGTTAGTGAAGATCACGACAAAACACGCAAGTAATAGCCCTGTCACTTTTATTACACACAAACGTTTTGTCGTCCTCTTCTTCCTGCCGTCCAGGTGCGTAAACTCACTATTGCTGTCTAGTTCCATTTGTTATTAATGCCAATTATGCGTCCTTATTCTCTATCAAACTTGAGAAATTACTTGTGAATGACAGATCACAGCTTCGCATCAAACAAAGCATTATATTAAACGTTACAAACAACAAAAATGTGAAGTTTGAAAAACTATCAGGCAGTGCAATCCGTTTCGATCCTCTTCACGTTTTTCCATCCGTGCCTCATTCTGCATTTGCTGTGCTATTTATACCATCTTTTCATGTTTTGAGCAGTTATTTTTATGTTTCTGTCAATTTGGTGGCAGTTGGCACTTTCTGAATTTTGATAAATTTCGTGACGCAGTTCCTTTAAGCTGCCTAATGACACATTCTGTACTGTTACCTAGAGCTATGATGATGACTGCTTGTGATCTCAATGGAACTACAAAGCCCTGGGAGATTCAGAAAGAGGTTTGTCAAGCTTCTTCACTTCCTGGATCTGTCAAATAGTATACTGTTTTCACTGAGATTTCCGCTACAAAATGGTCTTTTTTCCCCTTCAAACGATCACTGTTCCATCCGATTCCTGACCACCGCTTCCCCCCCCCCTCAGGAAAGCAAACTATGAAGTTTTGCAGAAACTTGTGAGTAAGATGAATGTTAGTTTTTTGAAATAAATCCAGATAGGAAAGCAGGCGTTTTTGTTTGGTTGGTTTTTTGTTTTTCTGATAAGGCAAGTCATGTTACAGATAAAACGAATTTGGAAGGTCTAGATTTTTTCTGCTTACTACGACAAAGTATGTTTGGGACATTTTCACTGTTCTTCTCATTTTCTGAATGTTCAAGAATAATGTGGCACACCACAGGCACACCATCCTCTAGGTTCATAATGGGCACAGACAGAAGGTGGTCTGCCTGTGGGCACATCAACGCAATCCTATCTTGATAACCTCATGGTTCATTGCTTGATGGTCTCTCATTATCGCTAATTTTCAGGTTGTTCATTTAGTGACGAGTGAGTTCTTCCAGCAAGGAGATCTTGAGCGAACCACCCTCAAGATGGAGCCATCTGTAAGTACAGTAGGGGAGGAAGATCGGGGAGACTTTGGGGATGGGCATAGGGCTGAGACAACGAACTGGGCAAAGGGGTGCCGAAAAATACGCGTGTGCCCGTTTATTTGCCCTGTCACCTTACTCAACTCCCAACTTAACTTAGCGCTTGTGGTAAAAACACTCGCGATTTTTCCATGCAGTTATACGTTTGACTCAAAATGTTACTTCAAAATTTATTACAATTTTTTTTGTAGGCTCTCATGGATAGACAAAAGATTGATGAACTACCTGCGCTTCAAGTACAATTCTTTGAAACAACAGGGATTCCTGTCTTTAAGGTAGATTAACAATTCCAAATTTCATGTTCTAAAATAGAGTTTTTTAACTCACGTACCCAGTAGTTTGCTACACAGCCGTCACAATTACGGCTATGTAGCAGAATACGTGGCCTACAACTATGCAAATTTATTGGAGCAAAAGAAAGTTTTTGCATAAGAAAAGGGTTCAAAACCCATAGAAATGGTCTGAAACACCATCTTGGCCGCCGTTTCTTTGTTAAGGGTCACCAATATGACGGACGTGACATCATGTGAAAACGCCCAAAATAGCCCTCGGGTCCCGTTTTTTGCCCGTCCCGTAGGTAACGTTTTGGCACGGGAAAGTGCTTTTTTATAAGCGCCAAGTGTTCACACATCTTATCAATTTTTTTAATAATAATAATAATAATAATAATTTATTCATTTATAGTGCGCTTTTTTAACAGGCTAGGTGATCAAAAGCGCATTACAACAATAAATAACCTAAAAACTATTAATACAAATATTAGAAATATATTTAATATCTAAGAGATATTAAAAGCTAATTTAAAAAGATAAGTTTTAAGATTAGATTTAAAAGTAGAAATACATGTCATGCTGCGGAGGCTAACAGGAAGAGCGTTCCATAAAGTGGGCGCAGCCACACTGAAGGATCTGTCACCAAATGACTTTTTCATTTTTCCTGACGGATGCTTTAATAAAACACCTTTTTAGTTTTGAAGGCAATGCGTAAAGTGCAGTTGCTTTATCAACTCAAAACTACTCAACCATTCTATCGATTCCGACTTATTATTAGTAGAGACCTTTAGATTCTAAGACGAGGGCGACGGCTACAAGTACTACATTTTCTCAATACTAAGTAGTGCTACGAGTTTTAATTTCGTGGTGACGGGAAAAAGTGATAACATGTTAAAGGTTTTATCATTTTGGGATCGAGACAGGGTTAAACTTCTTTCAATAAAGATAACTTTTCTAATTTTTTTTTCTTGAAAAAAGTACAATGAAGCATACCAGGGGGTCTAGTCTTTGAGAAGACGCGAAAAAAACGTTAAGTCACATCTCGTACTCGTAGCCTTTCTCGTTCTCGAACCTAAAGGTCAGTATTACTTACCGTCCGAACGCCTGATATTTGGTTCTTTTGTCAGGCTTTGACTCAATTCAACTCCAAGATAAAGCCTCTTTACGTTGGAGCAGAACGCAACAAAAACCGCTGGTGTGAACTAGAAAAGGAACGGCAGGCCCGGCAACGTGAAGAAGATAACGTCAAACAACAGATTGTCACGTGACATTACGAGTACCAGTGTCATGTTCCGTCACTCTCGTGAGCGCGAACAGTGGATACCTACAATCGGACCTTTCCGGACAGCGGTCGGAACCATTCGTGAGATGCCTGTAGAAAGTTCATCTTAGTTCTCAAGAGCTTTGCTGCTTCAGTTGCTGCAGGGAATCAACCACTTAGAACTGGAAAGCTTCATCTAGTCGCACATGTTTCGTTTTGAACATGTTAGTGATCGCCAAATGCTCTGTGGTAAGAGAAAAAAGACCTTGAAAGGTTCGTTGCCATTTAGCACGTGATCACTTGGAAATTATGTGGGACGCGTACCATTTTGGCAGGTCTAACGGCTCAGATTGAAAGCTCGCGGCATACTGTTACCGTCTTGCTTTGCTGGGTTTAAAAATGCATAAGTAGGTTGTTCTCACTTGGTGCTCGAGTACTAGTGCATGGGTAAACGCACAAAATGGTGTTGTGTTTACTCGTTAGGTACTCATGTAACTATGTACATATTTGCTCCATTTCATCATGTCAGACGCCAGTGAAGCGTGAGCGTATGAGGGATTTATGGGCCGGGTATGCAAAGCAGTTGATTGCTTCAGACTAACAAAAACGTGTCTACTTTAGTGCCCGAATTCTGGAGTAGGTGCTTAAGAAAGGGTGTGTTCACATTAGTGCCTAGCTAATACTTACTCGGGTGCTGTCTCCGGGCACCAAGTGTAAACGCTGCTTTTTACAATCAGCTCCCTGCTACATCAGGAGGGAGGTTTTAATATAGTTATTTCCGGAGGTGTTTCCCTAGCGACAGAACCTGAAAAAGTTCAGTTAACGTTTCTCGAGTTGCATCCTGTGTTTTTTTAAACCATTATCCGTGGGTAAGACAATCGCACAAAGTACGTCTTAACTAAACTAAAACTATTTTGGTATTGTGGCGATTAATGCTTCTTTGTCGTGAGTTGAGGTTTTGGTCATGAGGTGACTAACAGTAGCTGGTGACCTCTGTCAGATCTAATTTCAACACTAAGATGGTACTGTTTTCCGTTTGCATTTTTTTTAATGATCGCAGCTCCTTTTGGCCCGTTTCACCTAACAAGTGGTATGCGTTCGAGTTAGGGGAATAACAATTTATATTTATCGTTCAAGGGGAAATAAATAGTCGCTGAATTCTATTTTTTCTACGAAAATTAACTATGTATGGACCAATTGATTGTTTTTGGTGGACAATAGTAACATTGAATTGCCTCGTACGAGCTTAACCGAGGACTCCATGAAATGTCTTTCTTACACGTGTTGCTAAATACTTAATATATATCATATAAATATACATGATTGCTTGTTATCATAGTAATAATAATAAAGAGGCACTTTCTTCTTTTATCGAGGATATAAAACCAGCAAACTTCTTTACGAAGTACTGGATATTGGAGTCCCTGGAGGAATTTCTTTTCCTTGGATATAGTACAACATAGATTGCGCGCGCAACGTGTTTGACTCGACACGACGTGCCGCTTTTTCCTGAGCAGTTACCAAGCGGTAGTGGGCTTTTGCGCGTCTGCTATGTTTATCCATGCATTTGCCGAACTCTCATTGCCCGTTCAGAAAAACACTATAAATGGAGGAGTTTGTAATCAGTGAGATGATTTTTTGCCGTAGGAATTCCTAGTTGGGTCAGGGTATAGATTTGACCTGAACATTTCACTTCTAACCGCACTTGGTCTTGGCGCCAGACTGTCTGGATCTGCAGCAACCTCGCAAATTTATTTGAAGATTAAAATTATTAATTAGGTCAGGGTGCTAAATACTGAATTTATAGGTACAATGCCGTATTTATTTGATTAACTGCCCTGGGCGTTTATTAAATTTTTGGAACTTTAGAGTGGGCGCTTATTCGAGACTGGGCGCTTATTAAGTTTTCGCCATTTTCAGCAAGTGTAGTACGTTTTTTTTGCAACAAAACAATAAATTAATGGTAATAACAAAACGCGAAGATGTAACAAAGCAAAGTTTCTGTAAACTACTCTGAAGAAAAGTCTGTCTTCGGGGAAGTCTCTTATTAGTACTTATTCAATTTCAATTTCAATCTCATTGTCACTCAAGTGGGTGGGGTGGGGGTGGGCGCTTATTCGAGGCTGGGCGCTTATTAACTTTTTCTACCTTTAGGATAGGCGCTTATTCGAGGTGGGCGCTAATTCGAGGTTGGGCGCTTATTTGAATAAATACGGTAACTGTACAAATACTGGAGCACTATATTTCCCTTCATAGCATTGGTACTAAACAAGGCGCTGCCAGTGTCGGCTATACCGGGTAGTTTCTCTGACATGTGTAAAATACCGTAAATCCTCTATTAAGCCCCCCCCCCTCAAATAATCCCCCTCCCTCTCATAAGCCCCCCTCTTCAGGGGACTACGTTTTTCCTTTTTGGGTATGGGAGGATGATAATGTATAGATGTATCTTTATGTGTGACAGAGGCAAGACAAATATACTTCTATTTTAAAGATAATATATTAAACAAATTAATGGTCATCATGGTCGTTCGTTTGTGTAACGAAGTTCTCCACAGAAAGAGCATTTCTAGCTGCTCTTTTATGATCTTTTCTGTCTTGTGGCAGCCCAGTGAACGCCTCTTGGCGTCTAGTGGTTCTATAATCCTCAGAATCAAAGAGTTCTATGCAACAGTTCTGCGAACGAGGTTGTTTCATTTGAATGGTAACGGAACATGACAGGATTTTGTCCACAGATTTGAATGTTAAAGCAGTGACACAATCTAGCTAGAGCTAGAGATCATCCCTAAAATTTCCATGGGGGTTCACGTCAGCGACGGTGAATGAAAAGAAAGTGTGATTAAAAGAGAACATATTTCCATTTCTTGTCTTGGCGCTTGCGTTTTCGTTTTGCAGATGTTGACCAATTTTCGTCCTGTAGTGCGCGTGCATGCTGGCTCTTTTTCCAACTGCTGGTTAAGGGGAACGAAGACGCAGGGTGTGAGGGTGCGATGTTAACTGCGGATAACGTAAGCGCAAGCCCAAGGTGAAAAATGTTCGTCCACTATTTCAATCACTGTCAGGAGCCCATGACGGGCTCCTGTCACTGTTTACAAACATTGCCTTTGTTATTCAAATTTGTGACGAGCAAAGCAATAGAATCTTTTGTTTCAAGAACCAATGCGCGCCTGGTTGGCACATTAATATCCATTCGTGACGTCAGCGTGAGCATCGCTACTAAAATTGTATCAAAATAGGCGACGTCACATGACAAAGCGGAATCGCGCGGAAAGGACTATACGCGACTTACCATCGGTCCAGTCGGCTTTTAGGGACCTTACGATCCGAAAACGGCGACGCCAATGAAAGCGTTGCTGAAAAATAGACTTCGCATCCTTTGAACCTTTTTCCTTACACCAAGTCACCCAGTTACTTGAAAGGAGAGAAGTTAGGTTGGAACTAAAGAGAGGGGACCGCGTCCGAGTTTAGAGAGAGAAAGTAATAATCACCTTGCCGTTCCCGTTCTCAAGTCAACCCAAAATTTCACGTTGCAGTTGTGCAGAGACGGCAAAGAAATGTACAAAAAAGCATGATGCACGTGCAGAGTTGTTGTTTTGCTCATTGAATTTAATGCTTTTTGACGTTCCCGTTGCAGTCGCCGTTATAGTTTGGTAAGGAACCTAAACCTTCAGATCCGACGACGGCGACGGCAACTGGAACGCCACATGTGCACGTGCATCACGCTTTTTTGTACATTTCTTTGCCGTCACTGCACGACTACGACGTGAAAATGCCTAAATTCACGATGTACAGAGCAAGTACACAAGCGACGACGAAATTTCCTCTCTCTTTCTGAAGTTAGATATGGTTCTTAGGAATTCAGCTTTAGGAGGGTTCGCCTACATTTGACAAAGTTGGTGACTTGGAGTAATCGCGATGAAGATTGAAAGAACGCGGATTCACTTTTTCAGCGACGTTTTCTCTGCCGTCGCCGTCGTCGGATCTTAAGGTCCCTAATTCGAGGACGGCGACGGCAGCGAAAACGTAGCTAAAACGTCACTTTTAAAATGAATTCGCGAGTTTTCAAACTTTTTCGCGTTTATTCCAAATTGCTGAAAATGTCAAATGCAGGCAGATGTCCCTCATGGCTTATAATTATGTGGAGGCTCCGCTCAAAAGGGGTACTTTTTTCAGGCTTCAGGTTTCTTCAGGTATCGGATGAAATGGTAGGAATTTCACTAGTTGAAGTATATGAAAGGGCATCTTGATCGGTAAAAAGGCCCAAAAGGGGTAACAGATACATTTTATGGCGCTAAAAAACTCGCGAAAACGTTCTGGTTTTGTGACTTATTCTTATATGACTTATTCTGTTAGGAAGACGATTTGAGATCTAGAATTTTCGGAACATTTCGGTTGTAAAATTTCTTGCTTGCCTGCCTCTCCTAGGATTTTCGAACATCTAAAAAATGGTACAATTGCCCACTTTTAACGGATTTTTATCCTAAAAAGGTCACCTAGATTTTCGGGAGCCTTTTTTCTGGCTGAAATTTTCGAAAAGGTAAGTTTTGATCCCTATAATTTTCGGATCACTAGACTTTCAGCTAGGAAATCCGAACAGATGAAAAAATTTTAGGGGATAAAAATATGCCTATATCTAACGTTTAAATACTAAATACGTTTAACAATGCTATGTTTAAGTGGTTTTGATCGCCCCATGTAAGGGAATCCGGATTCCGGAATCCAGGAATTTTTTGCTTCTGGAATCCGGAATCCTGGGCTTTGGAATCCGGAATCCAGCACTAAGAATCCGGAATCCTACTAAAGATTGGAATCCGGAATCCAACTTACTAAAGATCCACTCCAGATTAAATTGAGCTACTCACTCGAAAGAAAAACCATCTATGGAAAGCCTCCCCAGGGTATAGACCTGAATGTGACGACATAATATCAGCATATCTGGTGTCAAAACAATGGTTCACGAGCTCCATATGAAAGGTCGAGGTCACGGTCACATGATTAAAATTCTACAATAGCGAGGGAACCCTTGCTTATGAGCGGCTGGCAGGATCACAAAATTTGGGGGTTTTCAAGGGAACACAGCGCAGCCTTTTTAAGGTATAAATTGAATTGTTATGAATAACTTCAACCTCTGGCTATGTTTGATTCTCTGTTGTTCACTTGCTTCGCTGAACTTTAAAGAACGAAAAGCGATTTTATGCAAGCTTTTGGACCTGGCATAGCTGGAAAAGGTACACCTGCGGTGAACCTTTTCTTGAACCGTCCTGGTCCTCCTGGTTCGCAATTTTAAATAAACGTCAACGTTCAACAGTTTACCTAAAAAGAAAAAAAGAAATTCACAGTCTCCTAGTGCCTAATTTGGTCCTAGTAGTTTCGCTGAGAACAGTTTCATGGTTTCGATAATCTTTATTTGAGAAATAAGCCAGGAACCGTCAGAACCGTACCAATCAGCTGTCACTAAAGTAATCACGTGCAAGGACGCGGTGGGTGCCTTTTTCATTCATCCCCGGCATTCAAGTGAAATCTCGCCACCTCTTCGATCAGACCAGTTTTGTTGTTTGTTGTTTGATGGATTTTTCTTTTCTTTTCTTTAAAAAAAGACGTTATGGGAAAGCACAAGCAAAAACAAAAGGCTGAGAGAGAAAGGTACCTTTAATACTGTGTTGTGAAACACATACCAATTTTTAGCTGACTGCGATAGATCTAAACGTACCAAAGGCAAAGCTGCATGATTTTTCGTTTGTGTTTATCTGTGGACTGTCCTGAAGTGGTGGCAAGCAAGTCACAGGTTGTATTCAATCGTTCACGTTGCCATGGAAACCACAAAAACGTCACATTTGACCTGTCAGTCAAACTCTTTGATCAGTATATTTTTTACTTGCCAAGTTTTAGCTTGTGAGCTGCAATCTTTCTCTTGCCTTGATTTGCCAAATGACATAAACTCACAAACTGCCAAAACTGTGTTCAGCCACCTTAAATGGTTCAGCAACGACTAGACCAAGTAACTGATAGTTCTGGGCTTGTAGACTGTCTAGAGTTAACTTTTTTTCTTTATTTTAACCAGTCAAAAACGTCGAGACGTGACAGCGTAAAAATTTATTTCATCGACCAACGTGGTCCGGCCACTGTCCGAAATTTATTTTGAGCCATGTTATCATTCTTCGACAATTATGTGACACACAATTTTAGTCACTTTAGGGCCGCGCTGACCGGGACAACACTTTTGTCAGCTTGGAGTCCAATTTAATCTTCTGTAGTGCTCTTTTTGATTGTCAATCTTTTACTGAGTATATATGCTTATCCCGTCCTAGGAGAAGTGTATGTTATTGTATTTGGCTATAATTCGTGTCTTATGTGTCATATGAGAAAGTGTGAAGCAATTCAGTTAAGAAGTGATATCTAATGCGCGTGTTCTACACCTTACTGTACATGTGTCTTTATAAATGAAAGTTTTACAAAAGAACGGTAACCGAATTTAGTTTTTTGCGCTATGAAAATGATTCCAATAAAGAGTGGAAAGAGAACGAAAAACAATGTCCAAGAACATGTTAAGAAACCAAGTTTTCCTTCATGATAGATTGGAGGCGATTAGCGATTGGCGGCTTTTAACGTTTTGTTCAATATGTTTATTCTATTACTTCGAAATACTTTTTTAATGTTCCAAAAGAATTTGCAAACATGTTTCGACGTAGCCTGTTCCAGGCGTTCGGATAGGACAAGGAAAACTACGAATGTAACGACATACAAGCAAAATGAACCTTCCATTATATTTTATTAGTGGATAGCAAAAGACTTGATTAACCTTTGCTGGTTTATGATATGGCATAGATAGGAAAAATTAATTTGGAGTTACACACGAACTTTGTTACCGCGTTTTCTTGCAAATTGCAGCTCAATTTTCCCTGGCAATGACTGTACCTTTTCCCATTTATACTTTATTATGCAGCAATCAAATGAATAAACGTGAAAATATTTAGAAATGATTTGAAAGAGTTCTTTTGTTTCTGTTAAATAAGCATTTTTCTATCTGCATGACTGAAAATAGAGTTCGCAAAAATAGAGTAAGTAACGAATAAAGTCTTGAGGTCAGTCTCACTCTCTACTAATCGCTAACCAGCTCCGATATCCTCAATCCTTAATTATATGGAGATATGGATTAGATTAAGTGAAGGACACAATTTAAAATTGCGATGTCGGTGTTTCGCCACGTTTTTTTGCGGTGATGCGGTGTTTGTTATTTTCAGTTTCCGCCATGTTGCAGTGTGGACAGTCCCCCAATGTCCCCGTCCTTATTGCTGCGGAGCGACCGTAGGGAGCGAGCAGCAACATAATCAGGATTTAAGGGAAATATATAAGGGGTGATGAATTCTCGAATTCATCACTTTTTACCACAATGCATTGCACTTAACCACACTTTTTACCACAATGTATTGCATTTAACCAGAGTGCATTGCGCCACGAACAACTCGAATAAAAACACGGGGAAGTTACATCGTTCGCTGCCCAAACTCAGAGTTTTCTTTATACCAAATTTTTTACAGCACGGTTAGAGGTCTTACCAAATTTAAGACACGCAGGAGTCTTTCAGATGAGTACGATGGTTAACGTGGGGTTTGGTTTTTAATTCAAGAGCCTTTGACTCATGCAGGTGTTAAACCTGACGAGAAGATGAGCATTTGCTCTTCGACTCCGCAACACGGGGGATATACAAATTCCAGCTTGCTAGCAGGTGATGTGAAAGTAAGAAAATGTCATGCCATGCTATTCTTAAGAACCTGTATGAGCCGAAAATGGATCTGATTTTGACCATTCGCTTCAAAATAACAGCGGAAATCGAGATAACAAAACATATGTTTTGTGTCCTACGTTGCAGACGAGGACGTGTATCGGCGTTTTGAAAAGCATAATTATGTTCTTTCATTCATTCATTGCCATGGAATATGCGTTTACATTATTTTTTACTGTTAATAGCTCGATTAATGTGGCTGGCGATCATATTGCCGGCGGAAGTTTCATAGAAAAGGCATTAAATTAAGGACTGTTTCCGGGATTACGTGATCAGTCTCTGTGGTGTAGTGGTTAGGTGTAGTCGCGTCGAGCCGATGGTGCTGGGTTCGAATACTACCGAACTCTTTTTTTCCTTCTTTCTTTTTTTTTCCGTTTTTTGTGTTGTTGTTTTCTATAAATATATAGCTATATAACTGTTACTTAATAAAGTGCAATAATCAGCAAGAAAAGTATCGTGTTTCCTGAGAAATGATAGTACACCGTATATTAAATTTACTGTGGGAAAACCAGAGTTGATAACCACTTGATCATTTTCTAAACAACGTTCCCGCGAGTTCTCTCTATAGACTGATAGTAATTATTCTAGTACTTTCCAACATGTAAATAGGACATTCAACGTCATTTTCGATTACTTTAAGTCCCATTGCCCAACTAATGCCAGTATCAACAGAATGTGCCGCAGCATTACTATCTTTTAGATACCCTAGTTATACCATAAACCCTTACGGAACTGTATACATTCAACCCGTAATTTATAAATCGAATAAGAAAACAAACTTGTTATGCATTGTAACAACGTCTTTCAATTTAGCAAGATTCGAACACGAAAACGAAATGCAAAGAAAAGCATTAGAACAGTAAAAAATTGGAATCCAGCGCTTTTTGGAATCCGGAATCCACCGTGCTGGAATCCGGAATCCAGTACCCGGAATCCGGAATCCACAGCGTGGAATCCAGAATCCAAGAATGTCCCGGATTCCCTTACATGGGGCGATTTTGAACTATATTCTCGTTGGGTGCTCCTGTCTAGAATTTTCGGAACGTTTGTTGTAAAATTTCTTGCTTGCCTGCCTCTCCTAAGATTTTCGAACATCTAACACTGGTATAATTGCCCATTTTTAACGGATTTTTACCCTAAAAACCGGTCACCTAGAATTTACGGGAGCCCTTTTTCTGGCTGAGATTTTTGAAAAGGTAAGTTTTGATCCCCATAATTTTCGGATCACTAGACTTTCAGCTAGGAAATCCGAACAGATGAAAAAGGGGTAAAAATTGTTGGTTCTGACAGGAGCCGATAATCGGGTCCTGGTTCTGATTGAAGCGGAGAAGAAATTTCCAATTTTTTATTAAAATCATGGGCTAACCCTTTCGGAAAAATTCGAATTTTTAGGCAATGTAAAAATACAATCTTGGGACTAGAAAGACTCTCCTTTTCCCTCCAAACGTTTGGCCAATCCGAAACGAGTTTGCATTCCACGTGATCAAAATAATTCGAAGCCAGTCCTATCTAGACAGCGGCTTCTCGTATTATGACAGGAAAGCGCGCGAACCAACATGGATGGTGAGTGTAATTTCCAAAATTGCTTCAAATTTTATGGTAAAATATCATTATTTTTATTGCCAGTTTCTTCTCCGTGCTTACGTCAATATTTTGTGGATGTCAATATTTTAGTTCCGATGGTTGAGCAGGCGCTTGCTCGCTACAAATGCGATGCAAACACGGCGGTTCGCTTCAAACTTGGTAAGAGATAAGGACCAAAAACATATACCGTAAAATCCTTTTGTTAAAGCTTCTTCTAGTGTAGTTATAATTTACGATATTGAGCACAAGACAATACCACTGTTAATCAAACATGATCACAGCTCAGTGTCCAATGGCGTTCAATTACTGATTACAATCAGGACGTACCTAATCGATAGAAATCGATCATCGAAAATGTAAATCGATTAATTGATAATACTCGATAGTACTCGATATTTGTCGATTGATTAGTCAATTTAATCGATTGAAATTGATAATCACAAATTTTTTTGTCGCATAATTTTATATGGAAATGCTGTGCATCTTCAGGGCCACTAGTTATTCAGTTGAAGTACTGGCCCGTGTTACCCTCGATAAATAAAGTTGATTATTATTATTATTATTATTAGTTCGAATGAGTTGTGACTCATTATAGCATAAAACTGAGAACTTTATGAAAGAGTATCTTCGTCCATTTTCTTTTCTATCATTGTCGAACAAATCGATAAAATCAATAGCTTATTACAGAAATCGATCAAAATCGATAATCACAAAGACGCGAGTGATCGATTTCTATCAATTTCCGATAGTAATCATTTGATTAGTATCGATTATGATCAATTATGTTCGATTTCTATTGAGTATCAAAAATATCGATTAGATATGTCCTGATCATTTACTGTCTGGTTTGGGTCATTCCAAAAAAGCGTAATAGCCACAGCCCCCTACTGACAAGGTAAGATATAACTTGACCCCCAAGAAAAAGATTGATAATGTGCCGACATTGCCACATTCGAATGAGCCCCCTTTCCCCCCATTTTTTCTCATGCCTCTCAGAAATATTCCGGCAAAGATCAAGGGTGCCAACACAGCCCACCCTAGTAGTAGAAATAGCTTTCAAAGCCCCTGTAGAAAATCTCATCCAAAGGGAGGAGATGTGGATATTAAATGGAAAGGCCACCACTTCTAGATTCTTGGTATAATGTGCCTTGTGTTTTTTTTGGTATTAGAAACAGTGGGACTGTTGTGAAAAGGAGAGACACTTTATAGTAAACAGAATAACAGAAAAGAAATGGCAACAAACGACAGTGGCAGATCCATGCCTTTATATAAAGGGGGGCCAGGTCTCCAAAAAAATGTTTTTGGCCCTTCAGGCCTCAGCCTGGTATAAAAATAAGGGGGGAGGGTCTTGGATCTGCTACTGAACGACATGGATATGGGTTGAAACTGTGACAATGATATGGAAAATCACAAATACAGTAGTTAAATACCGACAGATACATGTCCTCCTTTTCAATATGTGAAACGACTTCTTTTGAAGTTCAGACCAGGGACATACGTATCCCCTTAAGAGGGCTTTCTATAACCAAACAAATGTTTTTATTACAGTTCAATGTGAGAATGATGTATTCGACAAAGGAAAAGAGTTTCAGCCAGCGTTTTCACATCAGATATTTGGAGAAAAGTGAGTGGTCGTTAATAAACCAAAATAAGGTTTAGTGGTTTGCTGTCACAAATGGAGGCAACTTGTTTTCCATCACTTCATAATAGAGAACTTTAGCTTTGAGGACAAGTACGAATACGAGATTAAACTTAAAGTTTTTGCACGTGTTCTCCAAGAAAAAAGGGCACCCCAGAAAGCTTCATTTTACTGTTTTTCTCCTAAAACTTTAGGACAGTTATTTATACTAAAGAAGGTTAAACCCTCTCCGGATACCAAAATGATAAAACATCTTACATTTACTTGTTCCCACCACTACCATATTCTCGCTAGAACATGTAGTAGTATGACAGTGACTATCACGTTCTCCCACCAAAATGATGCTTGTTCACGCGTGAACAATACTCAGTATTGAGAAAATCTTGTACTTAAAGTCATCCTCATCTCAGAACCTAAAGCTCTCTAATAGCCCATTTACAGTTACAGGTGGAAACAAGGCTGGAATTGACCTTGTTTATGATACAACCTTTCCAGCTTTATTATGTAGATCAATGTGTCTACTATGTAAATCATATTGTTCTTATGCTAACTAGTATTTTTAAGCATAATCTTCGTAATGAAAAGGAAAGAGGTTTGTATCAAAACAAAGTCAACCTCAGCCTCACATTCATTCAAAGGCTAGGATATTAAGCCCACAACTCAAAGCCACCTTCATGTAGATGTTGTAGTTAATTTTTTATCTCAGGTAATTTTTGTTTTTCTTTTGTGTTTGGTATGGTAATGTATGCTAATGAAGTTGAAATGAAAGAAAAATAAATTTACCTGAGATAAAAAATTAACTACAACATTGACATAAAAAAATATGTGTTATATCACATTCTTTCTAATCATTCTTTAGCCTGAGAAAACAGCCAACTTTTTTGCGATGGCACCACTGGCAAATTTTCATCAACCCAGAAGCACCACCCAGATCTGGGTAGTGACATATCATCAGGAAGGAATTTTTGCCCTCATTCCTGGGATGTCATTTTGCAGGGAACCAGTGGTGAAATCACAAAATGTTGGGTATTTTCCTCAGGCTAATTATACATCCACAAATACCAGAAAAGATTATATTATTGTCTCCTAATTTTATCTTCTTATGCAGTGAAACCATCTTTGGATATAGCAATTTGGAAGTACAGGTATACAAATTTAACTGATGTATGCTGTAGTACAAGGGCGATTAACTTTCTACGTGTTGCATGCAGGCATTGTTTATTCTCAAATTTTGCTGATGAACAGAGAGGACAAATGTTGTTGAAATCCAATTGAAAATAATTATTATTGAGGCTAAAAGCAAGCAAAATAAAGAAACCTAAAGTTAAATTGTAATTAATAATTATGTCATTTTTTTCTACTAAAAATTATATATTTTTTCTAGTTGTACTATCATAGTGGCAGCCTGTTGACCTATATGGGGATGAAACACGATGGGGAAGTGAACAGCAAAATTGTAAATGGAGTTGAGGTAAGTGATATGATACTAAATATGCACCAGTCTCATATCGGTAAACACTGTTAAACCCTGGGATTCTACAATCTTGGACAAAAATGTTATGAAAAATGGACGTTACCATGTCTAGTTTGAAGGTAAAGCTCTTGAAAGCGCTGGCAACCACAAATACTCCCTCTTCCTCCCAAAAAACAATATTTAAGCCCGCATGGATTATTGCTGACCTCGACTAAACAACTTTGACTAGGGTGGGGTGAGGGGATCGGATGGGCCATAGCAGTACCAAATCTGCAGGATACGCATTCTGTATGTGCAAAAAGAAAAGTGCAAAATTCTAAGCTCTTTTTGTCCAAGATTGTAGCATAATATCCTTAACCCTTGAATCTCAGGGGTGTATTCATTGCATTTTCTTCTGGTACGTTTCTCAGGGAGAACTCCCTTTTAAGAATCAGGACTGTGCTCTAATAAACATATGGGAGGGAACCTGGCATATAATTTTTTTGAGAAAAAACCATGATTTTCTAGTGGCCCAAGAGCGAAAGTAAGGCAACAGGAGCCAACAGTAGCTGTCCCTTTAATAAAGAACTTTGAAAACACTGGTAAAAGAGGGGTTTGTAAGAGTTTGTGGTCCTACATTTTGTGGGAAATTTTTACTTTAGCCTGCTGTATTGCATTATTGTATTGTATGCCTGGCATTAGTATTTTTATTAACCTCCCTGGGCTAAATTGTTAATCCCCATCATTTTCTTTTTGCAGCCTGACCCTGTTCTGAGTGACATTGCCAAAAATTACCCTGCAGGTAGGTAATAATGATGATTATGATGATGATGACGACAATGATGATGACAATAGAGATATACATATAAAAATAATTATGATCTTCAAGGAATTGAATCAGGTGGGAATAATATTGTAACCATTTTGTTCTCTTTGGGTTATTTTCAATTTTTGCCTTAGCCTTCTTTTTGTATCATTCTAGGTTGTCTCTCAAACTTAGACGAGTTTATTGCAAAACTTCCTGAAGAAGCCAAATTCTCCCCAATGGGAGAGTTGCTTCATTCATACAAGTGCAGTGATGTTGAGTATGAAATCTATAAGGTAATATTTTATTATCTTTGGCTGAGCCACCAACCGGTACTTTCTTGTAACTTTTCTTTAAGTAGTGATAACTCCATGCATATGCTCTTAGCTCTGAATTTTAGTCAAATTCCTTTGTAACCCTAACTCATGCTTGTTAGACCAATGAACTCAAGCTTAATTTCCTCCCATTAATGCACCTCATTTGAGTGTCAATGTATTTAGTACAAAAGTTCTAATTGGGGACACTATTTTTACGTCTCCTACCTGAGACTGGATGGCCATTTTTTGTGGTCATCTGAGCCATGAAAGGGTCTAGCAGTTTGCAGGGTAAAGACGGTACCTTCATTTTTCTGTTATGTTAAGACCCTGAGTATTGGTCTGGCATGGGACCCTGAATTGTCCCTTGTTTCTCTCAAGTATATACAAAGTGACCTACACAGGCAAAAAGTTCTACTGTGTGCATCATAATTTTTTTATATGATTAAGAGGAAATTTAATCCCCTCAATTTGTCCTCTTGGGAGATGATTTTTTCACCAGAGATCTAAATAAGTTAGAGTGAGAACTACTGTCCAGTCTTAGCTTGGTGATCATGTATTCCTCAGGCTGATGTTACGACACCAAGACTCAAGGATTATCATGAAAGACTCCAGACGTTTTTGTTATGGTTCGTTGATGGGTCATCATACATAGGTACAAACAGTAACAAGTACATCCAAAGTTAAAGAATATCATTAGTTTCCAGTGATTGTGTTACAAATAGTTACATATGTATGGTGAGTCCTGAGACTCACCATAGTCCAGTCTAGTCTTTGGTTCTGGCCTCTAGTCCAGAACCAATGAGCCCCAGTTAAAAAAAAAACGAGTCTGAAATTGAAATGCTTGGGCCTTTATGTTACCAGACTGTTAATCTGAAGACAGACTCCAAAAATCTGTATTACAGTATACTGAAATTAAAATATTTAATGCACGCCAAAGGCTAAAAGAAATATGCCTAGTTAAACAACAGCCATAATGCATAGAAATTACATGAACGGGCCAGATATTTCTACAAACACACATGTTCAGATCGATCAATTGATCTTAAGATGCATGCCATGAAATATTTTGCATGTTTGGGGATTTTTTTGTGTCAGGGATGCAGGATGCAGAGGTACGTAACAAAATCACTGAGTTTCTTGGTGTTGTTGATGGATATGATTAGCAAATGATGTAATACAATGATTGAAAAGACACTGTACAATACCCAGAACACAGTACATTCCTATGTACAATGCCTTCAGCAACACCAAGAAATACCCAGTATGTCCCATCTCAGTATTTTGAATAATCTGCCTTAGAAACAAGATCAGGGTTGTAGGTATAACGCCCTGATGTACCTTTGTCAAGATTTTGTTTGCTTAAAACCAGTATAGTCACTATTTATTTTTGTGTTGTCTTATTTAGATTCAGACGATGAAATGTGGACATTCTTCCTCTTGTAAGTAATGAATTTAAGATTTTTTGGTGTACTTCCTTCTTTTTTAACATTATTTTACATCTAAAAAACTTTTAAAACATCTTTCTTAACCGTCGGTGTGTATATTCTTTGCAGATTTGAGAAGAGAAAAGAGGCCGGCAATGTCTATTACAGTATTGTGGGCTATTCGACAGTCTACCAGTATTATGCGTACCCTGATAAGATAAGGCCTCGTATAAGGTAGATTTTTATCCTTCTTTTTGTACTCCTCAAGTCTTAGTTATAAGTTGTTTTAAGTTGGTAGACAAAATTTGATCAAGGCTGCTTCCAGGGCTGTCATTTAGAGGCGGGGGCTGGGGATTTCCACCAGTTACTATGTTCTTGGCCCTGAGCTTCTTTCTTAGGAAAATAGAAGAACAATAGAACCAAAAGAAACCTCTTGCTGTTTGATTCCCCTCCTACTTGTTGTATTTACCCGGCAACTTGAAATCTTAGTGACATCTTTGTGCAACTAAGGGGCGTGGCCAGGGGACGGGGATTTTCCCAGGCTACTACAAGTATGACCATTAGCAACTTTCACTGGAAAAAAAGGAAAATTGAACCAAAAGAACATCTTAGCTTTTCAATATTCCTTAGCTACTATTAATATTATTTACCCAGCGCATTTTAAGACAGAATCCACCAGGAAATTGAGTGTTTTAATAATATTAGTGGACAAAAACCTTGTGTCAGAATAATTTCAAAGAATATTGCATTCTTTTTTACATTTTCCAAGGCCTAAAGATATAATTAGTCATCTGTAATAACACCAAAGAGAATTTCCCATGGGAGTCCGAGAAAATGAATGTCAAATTTCACAAGAATTGTGAAAACACACTAGGTAAAATTCTGAAAATTTCAAGTGTAAGATGTAATTGTGTGAAATTTGACTTTCATTTTCTCGTGCTCCCATCAGAAATATACTTTGGTGTTACTACAGATGACTAATTACATCTTTAGCCCTTCAAAAATGTAAAAAAGTATGCAATATTCTTTAAATTATTCTTGTACAAGGTTTTTGTCCACTGAAAATTAAAATTACTCAATTTCCTGGTGGATTCCTTGTTCAAATCTGAGTAACAACTCTACTTGACACTTTGACTTTGTAGTCTATGTGTATGCAATTAGGAATATAGTTGACATTTATTGAAGACACAAAATTTCCCCTGAAAATAGAGATTTGATTATTTTTTGCTCTTTGTTTTCTTTACAGTCAGATGCTTATTCTTCCTCCTTTTCAGAGACAAGGACATGGAGGTAAACCATTTAACTACAAATTAAACTGTTCATTTGTTACAAACTGGCATCAATAATAGAGTCGAACCTCTTGTAAGCGGTCACCTAAAATGTGAAGAGTTAGTGGTTGCTTACAGAAAGTGCTTACTTGCCAGAGTTGAACTGCAGGAAATCTTTAACAAGGAGAAGTCCAGATGCATCTACTTTTTGTAGAGAATGTATTGCATGCAATTTTTAGGTTACAATAACATGAACCCATGTTGTTTCTTAAAGTTTCCTCATACTCTGAGTAACCATAATACATACCCAGGAGGGGTACTTCGGATTTCAAGCGACAGGGATGATCGAAAAGGGACAAAAATCAAAATGCCAAAAAATCCCTAGGGGCTTCCGACAAAACCTCCAAAAATCCATAGACCAAAAATTAACCCCCCAAAAATCCCATGCTGAGTTTCCAAGCCTTAGACGGAATGTAATGCATTAAATATTAAAACAGCTGCAAAAATCCCCCAAAAGTTCCTATACTTAAATCAAGCCACCCAAAAATACTTGCCAAATTTTCTTGCCCCAAAAAAATCCCAGAATCGAAAATTTCAAACCCAAAAAAATCCTTCAATTCCGGAGAAGCCCCCTAGGAATACATACAACAAATACATCTAAAGCAGTCATCATAAAATGCAGTTGCAGTCACTCCCAAGAGGGGGTCATTTATGAGAGGTTCCAATATTATAAGGCTATGACTGGGAAAATTTTGGGTTTTGGATAAACAGTCGCTTATGGGAGGCTGTTGCTAACAAGAGGTTATTGCACATGGAGGTTCGACTTTATTTTGAGACAGTTATGGTTTGCTATTATCTTGTCAGTTCAGTTGCTCCAAACCGTTGATAAATTCTATGTCAAGAATCTGCGGGTGCTAGACATAACAGGTATGTATGATTATTTTTGAAGTCATGACTGTGCCATTGTACTGTAAAATGATAGGATCAGGGTTCTTCAGAAGCTCTGGTGATTGGTAGAAATTGCCTTGTAGTCACTACAGAAGCATTGCCTACTCTCAAAAAATAATTTTAGTGGCATAAGAAATTGTTGCCTTAATTGTTTGTTTGTCAATGCTTTTGTACAATAAAAAAAAATTTAAAATGAACCAAATGTGGCTGAATAAAGGTACTAACTCAGACTGCTCAACCATCCCAATCTCATGGGGATAGGAAAAATCCTGATTTTGAAATCTGTTCTGATATTTTCAAATGAATTCTTACGATATTTATACAAGAACGCAAAAATTTAATATAAAATAAAATTGAGTACTTGCACAAGAAGCCACACAAATAAAAATAAGCATAAAAATGACAATCGATTTAGTGAATGTTCTAGACATTAAGTGTCCTTTTAGAATGCTAAAAATGGCATTTCAGAGCATCAAGATTTCAAAATTATCTGGGGAGGCAGGCCCTCACCCCCTAGCGGCTCATGCCCCTTTGGCTCTCGCATCATTTATCAATGATTGAAAAACATCCCGATTAATTTTACATACGGTACTCAAAAGGTTGAACAGTCTGCTATCTTCATGGCTAAATTTCTCTCCCTGGCCACTCAAAATGCACTTTAAGCCCACCTTCTCCCTCTCCCCAAAGGCCTCTGGAAAGATCTCCCCCAATTGGAAGGTGGGAAACCCTCTCTCATAACTTGCTTGAATGCTTATCCCATATAAGACTGTGACATGATAACTCACCCTCTTCGGTGTCTTCCCAAGGTGGTGTAACCTGAGATCAGGCTCAATTTTCGTTTCGCTTTGTAATAACATTCCGGCAGGCAAGGCAAAACGAAAAGCCGTTAGAGAGAATGTATGAGAACCGCTAAAATTGGGCCTGATCTAAGGTTATAGGTGGTGTGGTTTTGCTTATGGCCCTTGACGGCAACTCTGTGTACAGCTGAATCCCACTTTATGGACACAGCTTTGTCCCTGGGGAAAGAAAGCCTTTATATTTTCTCAAAGTCACTTTTTATGGACCCATCAGTGTCTGTATCAACAGGGTTTGACCGCATCATTATTTCCAGTATTTGACTGGCACTCTGACCACTTAATTCTCTACTTTCTGTCAGGTTAGATCCAAACTCATACATAGAACATGGCAGATTCACAAAGTTCAAAAACTATTCTCCATCTTTTTCTTAGTGGAGGAGCCTTCGTCTGACTTCTTGAAGTTGCGGGATTATGTAGATGCCTTAGATTGCAGGAACCTGTCAGCATTTTCACCGGAAAACTTACGAAGTGGCTTCAGTGATAAAATGGTGCGGCAAGCAAGAGAAGAGCTCAAGATCAACAAGGTAAAGAATGATGTTGAAACCAAGGTTCAGGGGCGTAGCCAGGATTTTTCAAAGGGGGGGTCACAGACAGGGACACCATTGGGGAATCGCCGACTATATATGGTTTATACTGCTGCTCTCCCTCGTGTATCAGTGGGCTCAGTCGTATAATCGCGGCATGAAGAGCCACATTAACTAAAGACAAAAGCCGTTGACGAAAATACTTTACAAAAAAACAAATTTCAACAATGGCTTTTATGGCCAAGATATTGTCATGGCGTTTTCGCCAGCTGAATATTGTAGCTTGTTTGCTCAAAAGAAGGCTCACCAAGGAGGGGTCACGGGCACCCCAGGACCCCCCTAGCTACGCCCCTGAGGTTGTAATATTATTGAAATGTCGTGGCCTCATTTTCTTTTATTTGCACAATTCACATTTTACCATCTCCTTCAGTTACAGATTCCAAATACTTAATTTTATATAATGTTGAAATATTACCTTGTAGCTTCAGTGCAGGAGAGTGTATGAAATTCTACGTCTCCGTGTGACAGATCTTAGTAACGCTGAAGAATACAAGGCCTACAGGCTTGAAGTGAAAAACAGACTCAACATTCCATTCCAGGTATGTAAATGTGTAAGTTTTGTATGTCTGAGGTGAATGGGCGGGAAACAAGTTGTCACCCACTCCATTTTTCCCTGCTCCCACCCATTGTCTCCCTCAATTTCCTTCATTTTCCCTCTTTTGTTGAGTGCTCAAGTTTGCCCTTTGGGAATAACAATCCTATTGGCTCAATACAGTTCTTAGATGGATTATTCCAATGTCAATGCCAATTGCACCCCACTGGAGATCTGTTATTCTTTTGGGCCACGTGTAGTAAGGTACAACAATATTGTTATTCATTTTCAGAAAGAGAAAGCTGATATGGAGAAATTAAAACGTTTGTTGAAGCCTGAGGAACTGACTGCCACTCAGCAGACACAGCAAGAACGAATGCAGTACCTGGATCAAGTCTATCAAGAGCTGGAAGCACATTACAAGAAGACCATAGAGAAAATGGCTGCTTCTTAAAGGCCATCAATTGACTCTTGATTTGAGTTAGTTTTGTGGTGTCAATGATTAAACTCTGAAGTCTGTTGTTGTTAGAAACTAACAGAAAAATTGTGAAGAACACCATAAAAGGAAGTACTGCTCAGCGCATTAGGCTTCATAAGGACACAAAGACCCTTTGACTTGTCTTTTTGTACTTAAATAGCAGCCTGCCCTTTAAGATAACAGAAGCAAAAGATCTCAGCAAAACGGTAGTCATACTTTATTCAAAGTCTTTTCTTCTTTTATGCTGTAATAAAAAAAATTGGATGTTTGTAAACTTGTCATGAACTGGTATCGACAGAAACAGCCAAGCATGAAATAAAAAGAGGATGCTATGACCATAAGCTTTGGTTTTGTTTGACTTGGAATGTCACTGGACATACACTAAGGAGTTCAAATTAGTTTGAAGTATTTTTCTCATTTCAAAGAGGCCAATATAACCGGACAACAGCCATGGCAGCAGTTTGGTGAGCCCATGGCAAGAGGTGCAAATGTAGGTAGGGGTCCTGTGATCTTTTTTTCTACAATAACAATTTACTGTCTGAGTTCTCCTCCTAGGTTATTACACATTTTAAAAAGTATTAATTACAAATGATGGGGTGGCAACTTCTGGTAAGAGTCTGTCTCCTATCACAGATGACTTTTGAAGTACTGCTCATCGACATCACTAATTATGATGAATATTATCTTGGTCCTCGCTGGCTCTTTTCAATCTCATTTTGAATGTTTTTCAGGAAATTTCTTGTAAAGGAGACAAGCCTCCCAGTAGCTTGAGGATATCTTTGAAAGTTTTCATTTGCCTCGCTTGACTTAACAGCCTTATCCAAGGCATCATTACCTGTTTAAAAAAAAATTAACCCTTTAAGCCCAAATATCCACATACAAATTCTCCATACTGATCTCCATACATTTCCTTTAAGAATTGGTTGAGAGAATTTGATAAAAAATCAAAGCATTATCCCTTAGGTGATCATTTTATTTATTCTCATAACCGTTCCTTTTAATCATGTATTGGTATTGTTAGGAGAAAACTGATGTTGGTCACTCTTGGAACATAAAGGATCAAACAACAAGGGTCAAGCAAAAGTTGTTTAAAGGGCTGAAGTTGGAATAAATTAGATTGCTTTTGTGCATGCCTTATTATGTAGATTTCTTGATAGAAAAGTTTAGCGGGAATCGAATCCAATTGAATGAAGCACACATGAATACAACCTAATGTATTCAATCTTCAGCTCTTTAAACAAATCACTTTTAAACTTAACATTTCTCACTCTTGATAATGTGTGATACATCGAAAGGTCAAGTAACTTTTTTAAGTTTAATTTTTCTTGTTAAATGCTTCAACAAGCAACTGATTATCAGACGTCAAAAATAAAAACTAAAACTGTCACAGCTTGAGTAACTGCCATGAGGGCCTAAATGAAGCTGCTATGAATAAGGAATCTCAACTTACGTACCCCAAAGTGTCATTCGTCTGTAGCTGTAATGTGTAAGCTGGGCCAGACGACGGATGGGGTACGAGTTAGCAAGCTGAAGATAAACCAAAATGATTCAATTTAATTTATTAGGCTGATTTAGCAACAGGACGGGAACATCATTTGACGACAGGAAAGCATGCGGAAAGGACTAAACAAGACTTCCGGTGTCCAATTTGCTGCTCTGCCATTGGTCAAGCCAGTTGTTTAGTTTGCGCGCGCCGTTGTAAACTGACGTTCTCATTCTGTTGCTAAATCAGCCTATTATTACTGATTGTACTACAGTATGCTTAGTATACATGTATTAATAATTTCAGAGTCTAAAATTGAAAGGGTTTCAGAAAACTGACCTAAGTGACTTTCTAAGATGCTCCTTCCAGATTAGTACACTTGTGTTTGCTTAAGCTGTTATAATTTGACATAAAATCAACTTGAGACATAGTTAAGGACCGTCTTTTTTAGGCACCCTCTTCAATTTATTTATTGCTGTTGTCTCCTATACAAACGCTAAGAGTTAAAGGATAAGTTTTAGCCCATAATAAATTAGCCTCTTGGGGTCATGGACTTGAAATCCACTTCCCCACAATACCCCTAACAAATATTTTACGATGATCCTTAGTTTCCCTTTTTTCTCCCTCTCTTTTTAATTTGACATGTGCATTTTTACAGTGTTCGCCCAAAATTTTAGCTAAGCAGGTAAGGGACCATTCGTGCCCAACAAGGCAAACAAAATGTGCCAGAGGTGCACTTTCCTGGGGGTAGTGGGGTGAGGGACATGGCCCCACCCTCACTGGGAAATTTAGGAGCTAGCTCTCTGAAGAGTCATTCCGTCATTTTAAGACCTACATTAAGCAAATCAGCCATTGTTATCTTTGTTGCTTTAGGTAAATTTTACTGGTTACCGCCTGATAAGGAGAACACTTTTTATCATCCCATTATGTACACATCAATATTATTCATACCAGTATTTGCCTAATTTGGTGAACATTCTCCTGATCAGTTGTCAATCATTTTATTTTCTATATGTTGCTTTTTTCAGGGAACAAGTGTTTCCACTTAAAAACTCAATAAAAGCTACTCACTGTACACAGTGTGAAATATTTTGAGACCTTTAATTTGGTGGCCAAATACTTCTCTCCTGCTACCACCATATTGGACAACAGAAAGACCCTGTGGATGGGTTTATTGGGTGAATTGAGGAGTTTTGGAACAATGGTTTCCCATTTATTTCCCTATTCATCATAACAACTAAGAAAAGCCTTTTCCATTTCCAAGTTAAAGATGATTTATGCCTATTGTATACAGTAAAAAAATGATCAACAAAATTATTAACTTACTCTTTCAACGAGTTGTTCATTGGCCAGATAACTATAATACCAAAAAAAAAGAATTACAAGGAGTCAGTTTTACACCGTGTAACATTCATGTAACAGTGCAAAAGAAGAGGAATGTAAGAAGATTATTTTTCTTTCCTCTGCCATGTGCATGTATATAAAATTACAGAGATTTACACACCAGTCATACAACTTACAAATACTGCTGCATGTCATATAAAGCTGGGTAATCTTGCCATTATGTCAATTCAAAGGTCACTTTTTAAGCCCATGTTCTCCAAAGAATACCCTGAATTGCACAAATTTTATAAGCCCACAACAGCCTCTGACTGGCATAAATGTCAACCTATAGTACTTACCCTAATTTATTCGTAAATGGTTATTTATAGTTGTAAGAGGAACTGGCACTTAAATTGGCCTTGCTTTGATAAAACCCTTCCTGCTTTCTTGTACAAATTACATTGTTCTTATGTTAAAAAACAATTTGTGAAAGGTTTGAACCTGGGAGTAATTTCATAAGTAGGTGGCGCATGATTGCCGGCTGATTGTAGTCCTGCAAAGGACTGTTGTTACCAGTACTGTATGAACGGCATTGACAGACTCAAACTGACAATGGCAGAATGATTGAATAATTGACAATTTGATTGACAATTTGACTAAGAATAAACAACTGTTAAACTGTGACAAATAGATGGATCAAAATGCACCAATGGCATTTAAGAGTCTTCACAGCCAATAATATCACAGCTTAAAAGACAGAGGACCTATAACATCATGACTTCATTGACCACTGGTCAATAACCAGATTTCAATACCATCAACGGCTTAACTGCAGAATACCCTGCTACTTATTTGCATGTCATTGAATAAGAATAGCATCTGTTGTGTTATGCTTCGTTCTTCAGAGAACGCCAACCAACGAAAACAATGGTGGTACAGAGAAGATGACTGAAGATGACTACCGCACAGGTTGTCGAAACATCAGTCCCTGTCAGCAATAGTCACTTCAGGACTACGCTCACTCGGACGATTACGCTTCACCTAGCTACTTATGCAACAATTTGTAAAGCATGACTGTGACAAGAAGAGCAAGGCCTAGGAGGTTTGTATCAAAACGAACACAGCCCCAATCTAGCATTCATCACTTGACTTTCTCTCAGGCTGAAAGCAGTTATAATAATAACTGTAAATAAATACCATAATATATGGGTATTATTGGTTGAGTCAGCTTGAAGCCTTGAATTGCCACAATTTGGCTGTTTGGGGAAAGAGAAAAACACCTCTCTCGAATGATCTTGGTGATAAGTAAATGTTATGTTTGTTGAAATAAAGTATAATACTTCATTTTCTACTAATGATGAAAAGGTTAATTTGATTAACGCCTTATATTTTTAGCAACATGTTTGATCATGTTTATATCAAATGTCATCGTCGAGAGGGATCGGATCGGATATATACGGGCATGAAAGCTATATTTTCAACTACTTCTTAAAACATACACCCAATGAAGATGATTGAAACTGTGATACCAACCTTAGGAGCATCCGCAAAGGCATATTTTAAAGGATGAACCAAACATAGATTGCTAAAAACCTTCTAAGTCAGTCTGCTTCTAAACATCAACAGTGACGTCTATTTTCAAGCAAAGACTAAGTTTACTAAGTAGCCAAGCTTTAAACGACTAGTACCCAGGGGCCCACGCCATAATCGCGTCTCCTCGATCGCGAGACGGTTCTTTTCTCGTGGAGCTCCACAAACAGGCCCCTGAGTCGCCATCCATTGCCCCATAAATCCCTATCCGGTGGATAACGTAGTTGGTTTCCCTAATACTTATCCGCTAGATAGAGCGGTTTTCACTTGACTGTCGAAAGGTATTGGTTTTGGTTTTGGTTTTACTAGGCCCTTTGGTTGGCTAGTGTATTTACTTTGGTTTTGGTTTTACGACAGTCAAGTGAAAACCGCTCTAATGGTAGTCCCCACTATTAAGCCCCCCTCCCCTTCCCTAATTATTCTTCACTAACAAACGATAGACTGTTTTAATCAATCACGGCTGTAAGACTCCGGAATGTTTCATTTACCAACTGAAGGCTCGGATTTGATTCTGATCCTCGGCTGCATGACCTCTACCTTGGCTCCGTTCCGAAAATACCGTAATATGAAATAAACTGTGCTTACGGTTTGAGAAGGCTCCCGAGACGGACGTGTACTTGAGCTTTTCCACCTCGTATTCTAGTTCGTTTTGGAGAACTGATGCCATCGTCTTTTCTAAATTAAAGAAGCCCCACTCTCAAATAAGCCCCCCACCCCCCATGGGCTTGAAATGAATTAGCCCCCCCCCCCGGGGGCTTAATAGAGGACTTACAGTAATAATTTTGAGCTACATTTCAAATCCTTTCATATTGTGGAAATCCAACATATCCAATTGGGACCATTAAGAACATTTAACATCATATTCCAATTTGACCACGGATGATAATATTAATCCAGAGCCAGAGAGTTTGCCTGTTCTATGGAACTGTCAGGTGTTACTTACCCTCAAATACACAGCGTTATATTTTATACATATATTTTTTTTATTTTGTTTGACGAATTCAGTAGATACTGTCAGAGAGAAATCACTAGAAAGGTCTAACCTTTATAAATCCTGATATCAGCATGTATAATCTCCATGCTGTTCAATTACATTTCTCAAGTTACCAATGAGGAGAATTTATTTAACAATCAAAACTTTTCACTTACTGATCATTTCCTTTCTTCTCATGACCAAGGAGAAATTTTATGTTGGTCGATGGAGGGGTTAAAGGGTGAAGGGTTGAAAAAAAAAAACAGCTTTTAAGCAACAGATGACTCTTAAGCAACAGATGACTTGATGCGAAAGCATTGTCAATTAATAAATGTAGATGTAGATGTAGATGACTCAAGTGCATTAACATTAAAATACCACAACAATTTTCCCTAGCTTCTGCAATCTAGCTGGATTAAGTACAATATGAAAACCAGGGTTTATACTACGGTCAAGGTAGGAAATTCAATGGGTTAAACCCATTGAATTTCGTACCTTTTTACCTTCTACTTGCGATTTTTTTTTTTTTGCCTCGTTAATTTCTGAGTAAAATGAGAGCACTTCTTTGTTTATTTGATCGAAGAACAGCACATTTTGTGGCAAAAAAATTACATTTGCTTAACAATATCCTAACTTCTAATGGTGGTACACTTTCAGGTGAGATACAATGTCCAGAGGCTCCTCTCAAAAATACTGATACCACAAAATATTAACTTTTCATACTTTATAATAATATACTTTTCAAAGGTCATTAAGTTGCACTAATAAAAAACTACTGTATCTTACTGCGCAAAGCATTCTTTAAGACATATTTGCTTTCTTAAATTTCACGAAAACTTCACCAAAATTGAAGATATATACTTGAGACAATGAGATGCATTGAATTGACCTTGCAATGACATAAATAAAATAATATTATTACACACTACTAAAGACAAAAGGTCTTTAGCTTTAATACTCTTTTGGCCAAGAGCAGACTTCTGACTAGCTAAGAATGAAACTCCTGACCTGCCGACAACAAAGACCATGACAAGGACGACAATAATCATGAGGACAATAATTTTCAAACTGAAAATAACACCTGAGTGAAAATTACCGAAGAGTTTCAGTTGACTTCACTTTAACAAAGAGTGCTATCTGGACAACGTGGACATTCAGTGAGTCACTGCAAGATCAATTCAGTGCATGACTAAGTATACACCATAAGTTAAGACCTAAGACTACTCAGAATACTGTTCTGATCGTATGCTGCCAAATGCCACCATGATAATTTCATACAGTCCCTAAGTTTCATAGTCACGCAGCCATCTTTTGTTCAGCGGCAAAGTAGAACTTGACCCATGAATTATATTTTCTCCACATAATTTGATGGCAACATTCCGTACTGGCCAGACCTTTGAACACGTCCTTCCATCCAGCCCTCGTCAATAACTGTTGCGTCTACTATAATGTCTCCTTCATTGAAGCTGACCTCGTCATCATCAGCAGCTGTGTAATCGTAAATTGCAATGTACCTCTGAATGTAAAAAAAAAATAGTGTTTCAACTTGAGAATGTACAAATAAATAATTGCCACCTCATCAGATTCCCATCATGAAGAACAGTGCCCTCCCCCCACCCCTGGATCATCACTCGGAGGTACAAAGATGACAGGATTTTAGTTTCTAAGAACAACTCCACTGACATCAAGAACGAGTACCTTAGAGAGCTGTCCAACTTAAAGAGTCAAAAGATTACAAGTGGGGATTAACTTCATGCAGGGTTGTCAAACCATTTAAAGTGGTAAGCTTTATTGCTGAAATAGGTGGCTGATTTTGCTCATATCATCATGCATATTCTTACCACTCTCCCCTTTACATTTCCTATGGTGCTAATGAGGAGAGTTTGCTTAAAAATCAACACCAATGTTCGATTGAGCAGTTTTACTACAAGGAGAAATTGACAGTTGGTCAATCTTAGGGTCTGGGGGATTTAATATAGAATCAAAGAAATAGCCCAGGTACATATGATTACTCCCAGCAGTAGGTCATCGGTACCCATAATATCTGGTGAAGACAAACATATTGGAGAAAACTACCTGTCTTCAGAAACAATGTCAATGTGAGGCTTCAATCTACAGATCTGAAGTATCAGGTGTTAACTGCTCAGCCACTACACCTCGACAAGGAGAGAAGCTGGCCAAAAAAAAAATGAATGCAGTGCTGATTTCTAACTAACCCAGCTTCTAGGTGTCAACTTAATTCAGGTAGGCTTTTTTATCAGTCAAGCAGGCTATTTTACTCAACAGCAACTTGAAAATTTCACATCTTTGTTCTTCAGAGCAATTTGCGCCGGTGGTAAGTTCTACTTCAGCCAATGAAATAAAAGCTGGCAGCCGGCTCTTAGGAACTTTCCTGGGTACTTGCGTAGAGAGTTAATTAAATCCCTAAGTTTGAGACAGATTGGATACAAACCGTTCCACTGGGTGGTGGTGGGGCACTAAATTGAGGCTCCGGAGGAGGAGCAACTTGCCGAGGTGGCTGCTGTTCATACGCTAAAGGATGTTCCTGAGACATTCGGCGCTGTTGCTGGATTTGTCTCACTTCTAAAAGGCAAGGAAAGACCAAAAGGCATCACTCTCTCCAGCTAGAACAAATTTTACCTAAGCTCTATCAGTGTTACAGTGACTCATAACTTGCTTGTAAAATTAATGACTTGTTAACATTATTAATGGCTTCTTTTAGCTTAGCTGTCTCCTTGAGTTGTGCACTCCTTAGGGAGATGTCTTAATTTACAGTTTGTTCACAGGTTTTAAGTTTGGCATGAATTAAAACAAAGGGGTAGTGACATCACTAGACAGTCCTCGCGACTGAGTCATTGATTCAGATATCTCTCTCTGAAGTGTTCGATTCCAGGAGACGGCTGAAATTCAGGCTACTGTTCTAGAGTGTTTCAATGTAACATCATTGCTTACCAGCTTCTGACCGCTGCTGTATACCAAGACGACTCTGTCCTGATGAGTGATGAGAATAAGCTACTTGGCTAGCCATGCTACTACTCTTCTGTGCTCGTAATGTTTCAGGATCGTCAGGAACAGAAGTGTAGTGTCCTCTCTCTTCTTCAAATTTCTTATGATACTCAATCTGTATGACAGTGAAACTTAATTAAACATGGGTTGAAAAAAAAAAAAAAAAGAAACAGTGCTTATGGTGCAGACACTCAAACCGGGACAGTACAAAGAAGACTGTCCAATCACAAAGTTTCCTGAAAACAAAATGGACCAATAACACTAATAAATTTGAGGGCTGTTTCCTGAGAGGTCAGGTAAGTTAAAAGGTTTCAAAGTGTTCAGTGCTTGCATAGATAAACCTTGAATCTTATTGGTCCATCTGCAAAAAACCTCGAGAATCTTCTGTTTTCAGAAATCGCAGTGATTGGACAATCTTCTTCCAAGTCTCCTGGTTTGAGTGTCCACACTGTAAGACAAATCTCTCCACACGCTTAGGGCTGTGCTCTAGCAGCACCTGGTGGCGCCTGGTCAGTGTTCTCACTAAATTTTAGCACAGCAGGTAAGGGACCATTCATGGCATCTAAGGCAAAAAATCTGCGCCAGAGGAGCACTTTTCTGGGGGGAAGGGGGTAGTGGAGTGAGAGATATGGCCCCACCCTAGGAGAAGCTATGTTCTTTGAAACGTCTTTCCCTCATTACGGAAATCGGCCATTGATATCTTTAGACAACACTTGTTGTTAATTCAGTGAATACACAGTAAAATTATTGGGATCAAATGTTTTAAATAAATTATTTATTTAACACATTTATTTTGATCCCAACAATTTTACTCTGTATTCACTGTTCTCATTCCAAAAAAAGACAAGCTGAGTATACTTTAGTATGTTTTCATTCCTTGATCAGATCATGCCACTTGCGTATTTTTTAATTAAAAGTACTTATCTAATTTTAGTAAACCTTCAAGCAGTTGCAGACGGTAAGAAGTGTTGCTTCAGGCGGTAAATTTTACCGGTTACTGCCTGATAAGGAGAACATTGCTGGTGCCTTACTTTTCGTTTTGAGCAACTACCAAAACTCAGTTTAAAAAAGACCTCATGTATGCTAGACATCCTGGACTTCACAGGTTCAGAGCACCAGGCTCCTATCAATTTTTCTTGTAGTGTAGCCTAGCCTGCAAATACAGTGATCTCTTCTTGCTCTTGTAAAACTTGTGTTCATATCTAAATGAGCCTTGGGGCTAAGCCAGCTGGGACACTCTGGTCCCTGGTAAGCTTAAACACGCTGGATTGGTCAGGAGATACGGAAGAACAGCCCCTGGATACTCCAGGGTGGGGTTGAGCTTGGGGCTAATCACCCTCTCTCATAGCTGTCACCAGGGGCCAGGGGCTGGGGATTCCCTGTCTATGAGGAAAATGACCCCCAGCTACTTTCATATGAAAATAGTAGAAAATAAAACCAAAAGAAATCCCTAACTGTTTAATTTACTGCATACTTGCTGAATTTAACTGGCAACTTGAAATCTAAATGACAGCCCTGCTCTATTTCTGGTTACAGAAACGCGAGCAAGAACTTCAACCATTTTGAAATTATGTTTTCTCCTGTCCAACGCACAAATGAGAACAGAGAGGACTCAGGGCGATAATGAACAGATAGTAGTAAATTAGAGCAAAATAATAAAAAAAAGGACTTACATTACTTTGTTTCTTGGTGTTTGCTGCCAGCCTTTTATTTTCTGGGGTATCAGCCACTGCTGTGAATTTTGTAGTTGGGTAATGTCTGAAATAAGCAACATATAATGTATATGTTAGAAATATAAGAGCATGTGAGAAGGTTCTCTGGTATAAATTTTCAAACTGTGTTCCAGTTATTCAGATTGTGGGGGTGGTGCCAACATCCATGAGAAAGAAAAACAGGAAGGGAGAGGAGGAAGGGGGAGTTGTGATACTCCTCTCTATCTCTTTCTTATTTTTCCCACTCTCTGGCTTCATGCCACACTTCACTCTCTGAATACCAAGAGCTGGATTGGGCTTTCACGGCTGAAGTGAAACCAAAAGAAATCCCTAACTGTTCCTAACTGCTAGCTGGCTTGCCTCCAGCCAGTTCAGATTCTTAACACTGTTATGTTTGATTTGAATTATTTGTTTGTGTCATTTGCTCAGCCCCACTAGAATAAGAGCTATAAATACTGCTGAGGGTAAATAAAGGAAATATTATTATTATCATTACTATTATTATTTATTTTTTAACTATAGTTATACTAAATTTGTATTTAATTTTCAATTTGAGAAGGGTTTAACAAAGTATGTTTTGTATTCAATTTTAAATTATTATTATTATTATTATTATTATTATTATTATTATTATTATTATTATCATCATTATCATCAAGGTATTGGGGGAAAAAGAGAGAGGCTGGAGAACCACGGTACCACTAGAAAAAGATTTAAGGATCCATCACTTCCTGGGTTTTGCTTTGTCTTCATGGATAACAAAACATTGGCTCATCCTTGGTGTAAAATCCTGTGAAACTCACGGCTGATGTGAAAAAATGAGTGCAAGGAAGCCACTGAGAAGTCAACACATTAGAGCCAAGGAAAATAATAGCTAGAAAACAAAGAAAAACTTCACAGGTTTTTACAGCGAGGTAAACCCAAAACATTACTTCCTTACAGAAGACTTAACCATAGGACAAAATGCTGACTGTTAAATTTTTTGTACAATACATCATAATTTTATGAATTTGTCAGTAAAAAAAGTCTTAAGTGACATGAAAAAAATAGTTTTAATACATAAATTTACGCACAGCCTATTCATCCAGACACTTATTCCACGTTTAGTGAGTATTTATTTATTGACGATGAATGGTCCAGACATAACATTTCACTAACGTGTGTGAGACATCGAAAGCATTTCACACAATCTTTATGTAAACATTACAGTTGGACAAGTTAAACTTTTGCTAAGATAGTAGTGGGAACAGTAACTAAAAGATAATAGGAATTTCTTAGTATTTTCTATGCGATCCGCAAGAATTACCTTTAACCTTTGTAACAGACTGATCGTTAAATTCTAAGATGTAAAGGGTGTGACGGTTGACTGAAGCAAACCCGTACGTAACACAAGAAAACTACAGCTGCAATATCTTGTGTACACACGCCGTACAACATAATTAGCTTTAGTGCACTTATAGATTCCAATTTATGGCATAACGTCAGTTTTGGGAGTTGCTTTCAGCAGTATAAAATAGAGTAAAAATTATTTGGATGACAGATATTTTAGCACGCGGTCATTAAATTACATTCCAGAATGCGTTCAAACATTCTAAAACGTGCCTGCAAGCAGAATCGATTCGGAAGAATTATTAGGTTAACTAAACAGAGACATACAAAAGAAATATAAATCAGTGCATACAGATTCCGGAGCTGTTTCGGTTTAATCGAAGAAGAAAGGATGAAAAATATCTTGCTTGGTTTCTGGAAACTGAGAACATGCATGTGGAGGAAATGGAAGAAAATAATGTAAGGATCTTGTGCTGTCAGCGCGCAGTACACGCAAGACTAACCTTCTAGAGACACAGGGGTCTCAGCAATTAGTTAGATTAAGATTGGAAATATATAAAAGCATAAATAACAACATTCAGATAGACAAAGCATGGATGAATAGAAAGAGAGTATAAATATGCAGCACTTAAAATATTTAAGCTTAAACTTACGCATTGCAGTAAGGCAATTTGTTGTATCCCTTGTAATTCTTCATTGTTAAAGTCATGTTGCAACCCTCGCAAGTAAAACAACCCTTGTGCCAATACTTTGGGAAAAAATAACAAAAACGGAACAGTACATATGTTAGATTCGGACAGTAAGTACGTAAGCGTTCGTTATTACTTGCACGCGCATGTAATGGATCTCATATTAATGTTCACAGCGAGCCAACACACCTTGTCAAGACAGTTCAGTTTTTCCATCGGGTAGACGGTTTTCTTACACCGTGCACACGGAGGATTCATCTTGAAAGACTGAAGCACCGTAGTTCCCCTTCAATTTAATACGACAATCGAAGCTAACGCCGTACACCCACTACAACTTCCCAAAACAGCTCTTGGACGCTGTTATTACCAAATCTGGAAATGTTCTGGGAGGAGCTTCATCCTCCCACAACCCCTTGAGAACCTTCATAATCCGGGACTTCCGGAACGACGACATCCGGGAGACCATCCGTGATCGTATTTCCCATTCAAGATGGCGGACGAAGGAGAAGATTGGGGTGGCGAACATCAGGTGAAAAATTATCGCAGTTTTACTAAGGGTTATCTCAATCTGTCGTGTCTAAACCGTTAGCAAAAAACTTTACTGTTTATTTGTCGTGGCAATATTATGATATGTCTTTTTTTGTCTCTTATTTTGCTTTAGTTTACCTTCATTACAACCATACATGTGTAATCATCATGTGATGTAAACATGACAGGGTTTTAGCTCCCTTCGCATTTTTGAATAATATTCTTCTCTTGATCAGTATGTTACTATTATAAAATTGACAGAAAATGTTTTATTTTGGGGGTTTATGTGGCTGCAGTGCTTATGTTTCCAAAAAAATATAGGAATACTGAACTGGATATATGAGTTTTCAGTTGTCATGAAAAAATAGTAATAATAGGTGGAACTTAGACTATATCCAGACTCGGCGGGACTGGGATAACTACATGTGGAATATGATCATCCAGGTGATGTTTTGACAACCAGTGTAGGAGTGATCTTTAGAGTCAAAGCGAGTTTAATACCATCAATGGACAAGATACAAATCACTTTGACTCTGAAGTTGACTACCACACAGGGCTGGGTTGTTCAAAGTGGGATTAAGTTAACCCAGGATTACAGCGAAATTTGAATTCAGTTATGGTAGCTTGAAAGGAAAATTCAGTTTAATTTTTTTTGTTAACAATTTGATGACTGGACGCTCCAAAAGGAATAGAGAAAATTATCTGAGGAAATGCTTTTAAACAAAAGAAAAAGAAATCCGGGTTAAAATTTAACCGCGAGTGAGCGCTAATCAGCCTTCAAACAACTGGGCCCAGGTTATCAAAATGTCCCTCAGTCTTTTGACAATATGTCAACAAGAGTCATTTTCAGGACAATTTTACTTGGACAATCATATTCCACTGACTTTGACATGACTTCTAGATTCAACTATTCGCTAGCTATAAAGCATGGGAATGAGGAAATGATATAACAATTATCTTCTCTTTCTCTCACTCTCAATGTTCCCTAGATATTTTGCCAGAAATGGGCATTGAAAACTTTCAATTTTACAATAAAAATTTCAAATAGACCACAATATTATTTTCCTTGGTCTGTTAGTCTTGACTTGAAATTTGAACTTTGTATTATGTCATTTTTGTGATCTACAAGAATATAGTTAGTGAAAAGTTGTCATATTTGTTAATTACTTTACCGTAATACATTATTATTATTATATTACTTACCTTGCTTTTTTGTGCTCCATTGGCATAAGGCCTCACGTAATAACCTTTCAGAACTTTTCCTTCAAAACTTAAGGCATTATCTTTCTTATCTTTAGCTTGTCTCCTTACTTCCTTCATGCAGTGATCAACTTTATGAAGCAGGTGAGTTATGTTGTTCAAGTCTTTGTTTTTAGAATGAGTTGGTTTAAACTGTGTACACACAAACTATGAGTTGTCTTGTAGTATTAATTAAGGAGAAAAACATTCTTTGCTTGATTTTGCTTGAACTATTGTGAAATTTTGCAATCCATGAATCCTATAGCCTGCACCAGAGACAGAGCTAATCTTCTGGTTAAGTCCATCTGTGAAACAGCACCAAAATCCTTGTTCTGTTTCCCCAACTGTGTAACAAAGATATTGGCACTACTTCGCAGACTTGCCTAACTGGGGTTAGATTACATGTACATCTGCAACACAGGCTATGGATCTTACAGCACTGTCCAAAGTATTAAGTGACTGTTATGTACATAGAGGAGTTACTCTTTTTCTGTTTTAGGTGAAAATACAGATGTCAAGTCTGAGCCAGCTAGCCCTGATGAAGATTCATCCAGAGCACAGTTTGGTAAGCAATGTGTACATTGTAGGTCACATCCTCGCATCTTGGTTGCGCCTGTGAGGCATAGGCAGTGCTTCAGGCTACGACTGTTTTGGTCACCACTAGTGTGGCACCCCTATGTTCAGATCATGTGTCAAGCTGTAGGGAATTAATGAGAGGCGGGTGGGGGAGGGGGGTATTTGAGGGGGGCTTAATAAAGGATTTTTGGTATATCAACCAAAATCATAGTTTGTTCATAGTTATCTTTGAAAAAAGCTTTGCTTGCAGCTTTGCAGTGCTATGGGAACAATGCATAAGTGTTGCTAGACTATTCTTCATCAGTGTCGAAATCTCCATCCACTTCTGAACAAGTTGTGATGATCATATCTTCCCAAGAATGGAAAGATTTATATTGAGAGATGCAAACTTCTTTTAGCGAACTAAATAATGTTGTTATCCATGTATGTTTTAGTGGATTCTCAAGATGAAGAAAATGATGTCTTTGTTGCTAAAGAACAGAGGCGTTTTGCACACAGTGCAGCTGAACAAAAACGACGGGATGCGATAAGAGTAAGTGGTTATCATAACTAATTCTTGTAGGTTTAACAAATTTCAATACTTCTTTGAGTTTGGAAGAGCCAGGGTGGGATCATCTCAAAGAGGTAAATTAAAAATCTAGACTTCCTATAGAAGTTTCTCTCAGTTTCTCAAAGTCTTGAGTTTGATGTCACGTGAATAATTATTACAGTGTAGATGTAGCCACAATAATTATTGTTTGTTTTCTTTCATTAATTTGTAGAAAGGATATGACGACCTTCAAACGATTGTACCAACTTGTCACCAACCAAACACTGCACCAGCCATGCAGAAGTTGAGCAAAGCCATTATTTTACAGAAATGTAAGCAGCACAAGGTGTCTCTTTTCATTTCCCCTTTTCTGCCCTGATCTCTTGGCCAATTTTCAAACAACAACAACAACAACAACAACAACAACAACAACAACAATATATAAAACATGTGTATTGCTCCAAATGTCGTAACAGAACCAGATGCCATGTAAAATGTTAAGAGATTGAAAGTGAAAGCTAGGATGATATTTATTCATGTTCTGCAAAAGACCCTGAAAAAATGTCAGTAAAAAATTGTTATAACGGTCGGGAAAAATCAGGTGAAAAACTCGGGGAGTCTGTTTTGCTTTTCAGTTGCACCCCAGTCAATAATTTAACACAGGTTGCACCTCGGTCACTTACAAACAAACAAGGCTGCAAATCAGAACTGTAGCTTGCTCTTCAGGTTATTATTTATTAATTACACCATTAGCTAAGTAATATCACCTGCTTTATTCATCTTGATATTGACAATTGTTATTGTAATGATGTAGTACTAAAAATTATTACATGTATTTCATTTAGTGAGTTCAGCTTGAAAAACAGCATTCAATCCACATGAAATTATTAGGAACTTAAACGTTTGTGTCGTGGTACTTCTGCCGAGTGAATTCCCCCTAAAAGCTTCCCTTTCCTGATAGGCAAGTTAAGAACAAAATTCACAAGCCTGATAGCAAAATCCACCAACCCTTGGCTATCAAACATGACTTTCTAATCTTTGCACGTTGTGACTGTATGTTTACTACTGTTGTCCTTTCCTGCAGCAATTGAGTACATCATATTCCTGCACCAGCAGAAGAAAAAACAGGAAGAAGAGTTAGAAGCACTGAGGAAGGAAGTCATGGCTCTAAAAATCATGAAGACGTAAGACAACAGTATACGTTGTGCCTTTCATAATAACTTAATACTTTAGACAGCATGAAAATAGCTTGAGAAAACAGCCAACATTTTGCAAGGCTACCAATGGTTTTGTTCGCAAAGTGACCTGAGTACCAAGTCCATCTAGGTAGAGAGGCTGCCATCATTTCACAAGGAAACCAGTACTGTGGCCTCATGAAATGTTGGCTGTTTTCTGAGGCTAACATGAAAGTAAAATACAGAGGATGGTATAGTCATTCTGTGATTTCAAAGCTATCAATTTCATTATCTTTTGTGGTTACTCCTTTGAGTGTTAGTGTTACCAATGTAGATAATTTTGAACTTTAGCCACTAGGGAAAAGGAATATTATTGCACAACAAAGTTGATGTTGACAGAATCTGTCAAACCATTTTTGTCTTTTAATTAATAAATATTTTACTTCTTGCCAGATGATTCTTTTACCGTGTGTAAATAATGTTGTCATTGTTGGAACACATTTCATGTGACAATGATAATCATTATCCTCAAGATATCTAATATAAAATGAAGTTACACTCATTCAAGAGATCGGACTTATGTAAGTTAATCTGAGGTACTCACTTTAGTTTCCTTTATTTATAGAAATTATGAGCAAATAGCCAAGGCCCATCAAAACCAGGTAAATGGTTTGTTGTAATAGACTGTAAAGTGTGTAGTGGTAAGGCTGACTGACTCTATAGAGAAAAAGCATTTTTGATTTGTTAACAGACTGTTTGTGAATACTGTAGACTTCCAAGACAAATGGACCATTCTCAGTTCATGTTTACTTACTCATGATCAAGAGCTCTGATTGGTTGAGATGTAGTATTATAATTTTCATGACTCTGAGCTATTAATTGTTTACAAAATGATAGACAAAGGGTCACCTTGGTACATGGTGCTGAATCTACCGAGAAACCCTCGTTTCATAGGAATATGGAATAAAAGTAGTGCTTTACAAGAGGCATTTCAGTTTTGCCCGCACCAAATTCACAACAGACCTAAAACTTTTATGATAATCAATAAGGAAAACAGAAACTTGCCCAAATAATGTACACCTGGAACACCGTGACTTACAGATTAAGTTTGTAAGCATTGATTTAGAATTACATCTGATCATCAGTATGGACTGTTTGAGGCCAAGAGGGAGATGTCTTTCCTACATCTCTCTCTCTCAAAATATCCACAGCTAGCAAAACACTGACAGCAAACTGTATTTGCATGCTATCAGTTTGTGTGTGAAGTTCTTACCACTGAACCTTTTGTTTTTCTATATTTAGCCAGCACAGGGACAAAAGCAAGTTCCAGATCAGGCCAAATTTAGTGTGGTAAGTACTTTGAAGGGAGTTATGGTCCATTTACCTACATGTGAGCCATTTCAGATCCCATATTGTACAAAATGATTCAAGGAGAAATAATTTCAGTTGCGACAAAATGCTGAAAAGTAAATACATGTAGTACCATGCAAAAGTCCTGCTGAGGAGGTTTCATTTCAATGGTCACACCAGAGCATTTTGTCTACAAACTCAAAAGTTAGGTCCAGTTCAAGCGTCGCATTTCTTATGTGTCGAATTTAATACTGATGAGAAAAGTCTCTTGTTCTTGCACATTTGCATGAGATTTGGCACATGAGAAATGTGACGTTTGAACTGGTTCTTAGAGCTACATACATGTACTTTATAAATAGTAACATGTGAAAGTCGTGCCGTAGTTATTTCATTTGAATGATCACACCATGGGATATTTTATTGAAGGATGGCATAATGTATATTTTTTTAAAACAAATTTGTCTCTCTCATCAGTTCCGACAGATCATGGAAACACAGTTCCTGTCCTTCAATGCATCTGTGACTGTAACCAACTTTGAGACCCTCTCTGCTTGTATTTTTAGCTGGCTGGAAGAGTACTGTAAACCTCAGGTTAGTGATTCTAGCAATTTTGATTTTACCTTGTTCAATTTTCTCTTAGTATGGTGTCTGATTACTGCTAATTCAAATGTCTTGAGAAGAACGTAAAATGTACCAGTGATAAACTGCCATGGTAACATCAACAACATCAATTATTCAAGTTTCACAAGAGTTTAATGGCCCAGCTCTCCCCGTTTGCGCTATAGGAAGAGTGTGAAGAACGGTTAAAAAAAGATGCTTGTTGTTGATATGAAGGCTTTAGCCCTTTCCCTCCCAAATTATATTACCGGTAGTTGCTAAATTAGAAAATTGGCCAAAAGGTCATTTTTTCTGTAAATCCTAAGAGTTCAAAAGTTCTCCCATAGAGGTTTAACTTGAATGGTGATAACGGAGAATTTCATCCACTAGCCTGCGTAGCAAGCTTTTCCGTGCTGTTTCGGAGTAAAGAAAGAGCGAGGAACGAGATTCTCGGTTTTGGCCGCGCGAGAAATGAAACGAGAGCTTATTCGCGCCATTTTTCGCGCGGTCTTTATTGCGCGGCCTTTGACTCTCGAAACAGCACGGAAACGCTTGCTACGTAGGCTATTCATCCACAGATTTGTAAAATTAAGTTGACAAATAAAGGCTTCAATGCTTGAGCAATCTAAACGGTTACTGCAAAACACTGGACATTAACACAGCACAGTCATACCTCTACTTTTACTGTACTCCACTTTTGGCACTTTGAGGTCAAAACTTTCCATGAGAATTCTCAAAACACCTTGCGCCTCTTAAAACATGATTTTAAACTACAAAAGCCGAGATGTTTTTGAAATATTTTTCCGGTTTATTTTCAAATTTAACTGGTCATATACGACCTTTTTTGACTCTCTACGCGCCAACCCGGGGTTAAATTTTAATTCGGGTTTCTTTTTCTTTTGTTGAAAAGCATTTTCTCGAATAATTTCTCTATATTTTTAGAGCATCAAGGCATCAAATTCTAGACAAAAATAATTAGCCTGAATTTTTTTTAAAGTTTTCATATCTCAATTCAAATCTCGCACTAACCCTGAGTTATCTTAACCCAGCTTTGAACAACCCGGCCCAGGACAATCATATTCCACCCACTTATTACATTCATTTTGGATTTTATTCAATTTTTTACATCAGTATCTGCAAGAGATTGTGATCAATGCTCTAAAGAATCTGAACAACCAGGGCTTACTACAGCAGTAGTGGGGCAGTTTCCTGTCGATAATCATCAAACAACCGACAACTTCATAAAGAAACATAACCTGGTAGATGTGAGATATGCTTTTTAAGATACACTGAGGAAACAAGGAACAAAACCGCAGAAATATGCTAAAGATGATTACACGAGCAGGACATATCTATTTTGTTACTGTTTCCAGTGTACAATAGTATAGAGAGTATAGTAGAAAAATAATAATGATAATAATAATTAAATGGAGCAGAATGCAGCCTGAAGGTGCTAGATGCATCATAACTGGATTGATTCCGGAAGCGAGTGTACATGCGTGTTAGTTAGCTACTGAAAATATCACTAGAGTCAACGTCTGTAATGTGAACCCGTATTAAAGTAACTGTCTCACGCAATATAGGCACGTTCAACACTAGGAACTGTCCACCAAATTAACCAAAACATAAAAATAAATGCGTAAAACGGATAATTCAACGCAAAGTGGAATGTTGTTAAGAGAGGAAAATTTCATTGACGTAAATGAATTGCGCCACAAATTAGTGAGATTCTGCTCCCGAAAAATGTTATTTTCATCCGCGATATAGTATTATGTTATATTGGTAAAAATCAACTGAAGAATGTTGCCCCTGTACTTCGATTTTCTCTTGTTCCGAGAATTTCACTGTTAGTAACAAGTCTAGGTAACTTACGGGATTGACTTTCAGTGTAGCAAAAAAAAAACCTCTTTTCAAATTAGACGTTAAAAGGAGCGGACTTTTCCTTATTTGTTTTTCGTAACTATCTATGAAATAGTTAGTTCGTGCATCAATTAAATTGATTATTTGAGGTGTTTTTATGGGACTTTGTTAACCATCATTTAAGACTGGTTTTCATATGTCGGGAAAATCACAGACTGTCGGGGATTTTATTGTTTCCCGACCGTCCCAGATTTTGCCGACTAATGAAAACATCCCCGATCGTCTGGAATTGTCGAGGACTAATCTGGAGAATCGGGAGTGTTTCTATTTTTCCGGCGCGTCCCAGATTTCTGCGATGGTGGGCGATTATTCCCGACAAATGAAACCTCAAATTTGTACCGTCGGGGACGTCGGCGATCGGCGATGGATTTCGGGGTTATATGCTTCTGATTTCTCTCATTACCAATCCTCTAAATTGCTGGGCTCCAGTCCTCCTATCACAGATAAACATGGCGTCTCTGAGACAGGGACTTTGATCCAAGAATAAAAATGAATTTGCGTTCTTTCGGCGATTAACCCATCTTGCGAACCCTCCTGAAGGTCGGCAAGCTCAAAAGTTAAATTTCCCTTTGATCCTCCCTGGGATTTTGCAAAAACCCGTGACATATGTGCTAAAACCAGGCGTTTCGTTGTCGTGTAAATATGTTATATCGGCAACATCTTGCAGGTTTTCCAGCGTAGAATATGGAGGCTTAAAAAAAAGGCGTTTTCCAGCGTAGAATATGGAGTAAAAAAAAGGCGAAAAGAAACATGAATAAAATTTTTACTCAACATTGCCGTGTGACCAAGTGGTGTGGCCCCAAGTGTGTAAACAATACAGAAGTCGTTACGTCACGTTGCCATGGTCACAAAATTTCTGGATCTCAACAAACTGTGGTCCTGCAAATATGGCAGAAAAAAAGAAAAAATGGACATGTATGAATTTCCTGTCCATGACCCCACTGATAGCCCATACATTTCTTCCATCGTTCGACAATGCAAATGGCCATCTCTGTCAGGAAATATTGTTGAAATCCAGAAATTTTGCTACCATGGTAACATGACGTCACACCTTTCTCTTTATAAGCCCTTTTCAGCTATTCATTCGCGTGGTACAAAACCGCCTTGCTGGAGAGCAAGAAACGCACTGTAAATGACCAGCTGCTAAAGGCCTAATGGATGCAAAAAAAAGATTCCCTCATAAAGCCAGTCTCGACCCCAGTGCGTATGCTTCCGACACCTCTTTTGTCCGTGGCAGTCATGCGTGGAACAGCTCTAGGATAGATCAGATTGCTTTTAATGCGCGCTATTACAAGCATGCGCAAACGGAGAGTGTTGTCATTCTCTTCGTCATTCCTGACCCTAACGCTCTTCGACGCATCAGCGATATCAGAAATGTAAGCACCTCGGTTACACCAGGGTCGAGAATGGAATGTCATAGAGGGTCCTTCTCGTGCGAAGACCAATCGTTTCGTTTGCATACGAGGACAGTATAAAGTATCAAGCCATCTTTTTCGAGTCATTTCTCCCGAGAGAAAAGAAATTATTGTTATTCATTAAGTTATGGAGAAAATAAGTCACTCTTTCCAACCCTCATTTTATTTATTTATTATTTTATTTATTTTTATTTACCAAAGCGGGCGATTTAGACAACCCACCGTTACACATACAAATACAGTCAAGAATGAAAAAATATTTGACACATATTTCATTATTCACACCCTCAAATGACAAAAATATTCTCTAAAAAAATGTCCGCAATTAAATACCACACTCCACTTGTTCAAAAGATGCATAACGCTAGCCTCCCACAGCATACCGCCATTTTTGTCTTGTAACGCAAGGGTCTCCTCTCTTTCTTTGGGGAGGAGCGTTGCGTGACGTGAAAAAAAACGGCTGCGTGGGAGACTAGAGTAACGATAACCATTGGAAAAATCATTATCCAATGAAAAAGCCGTGGGAAACTCATTGCGTTAAACAATGGATAGTGATTTATCCGGTAGATAGCGCTATCAAACTATTAAACGTCACTACCAAACCTTAATAAATAATTATATATGTTATTCGTTGCACAAAATTATTACAATCTGTGTTTTCCCTAGTACGTTACAGTACTGGACCACCAGATTACGTTATCTTTACACAAAATTTTCCTCTGCGTAAAAATGAAATTTATTCCCGAACTTCTCGAATCAAGAAAATCGAATAAAGGACGCCAATAAACGACTCTTCAAAAGACATGCAACATGTCGCCTTGTGTGTGTCACGCAAACAAAATCTGTCCAGGAATTAACAATTTTTAAGAAATCAAATTTTAGTCTCTGGACCAAACTAGAGCAACGCGTCCAAAGGGAGAGGGGAAAGGAGGAAAGAGGCAGAGGGTACTGGGGAGAATAGGAAAGAGCTCCCTCTCTGTTTCACGGGGGCGCTTTGGCGCCAGAGCGCTGCGGAGAGCTTTTCTCTCCCTTCCCGCCCTTTTTTTGGCGCCTGTCACGCAACCACCCCGTGTCTGCGTGGTTACACAGTGATCAGGGCGGCAAAAGTCGCCGAAAGTTTGATCTCTGCTTTAGATTGGTCCAGAAACTGTACAACTAAACTGCTTGGGATCTTTAGCGATATCAATCAGCCTTCTGGCGTTTTCTTTTGGGCGAGGGACTCGCGTCTCCATTGGTCTGTTCCAAGGTCTTCTTTATGTACTTGGCTACAAGCCTGGCTGGTCTCATTTGCATATCCTCATGCTGTTCTTTGGTTAGAGTTACCTGATCGCCTTTTAATCGGTCCAAAAGAGTGACACACAAGACGGCAGCCGACACATTTGCGCGATTACACATCGCCGCAAAGGAAGCACTCTCCATCTCAATGTTGAGCACACCAGCATCATGGATTTTTTGTAGGAATTTGAGTTTGTCATCCAGTGTGTAGTCGCAGAAGGCTCCATCTAACCTTCCCTGACCTGAAGGACAGTTAATGAGGAAAATCTGATTTAATTGTAGTTAGCATGGAGGGTTTGATTAGCCTGCGTAGCTGGCGGTTTTTTTTTGGGAAGAGCAATGGAGGGAAGAGCTAGAAAGCGACGAAGCCAGGAGGAGAATATAAAGGCGGAAAGCTTGGTCGCTTGGTCGCCTCCAGTCATGTCCAATACTGCCGCACTGTTACGGACCGTTAAGAGCAGATGACGGAACGTACGCCCCGTACAAACCGTCAGCATTGCTAACAGTCTATATTGTGAGTAGATACGAAGCGTTCATCTCATTATTATATCAGGGCACAGTGCGTTACGGTTCGAAACGGTCCGTATGCTTGATTGATACGGTCTAGACCTCTCGCGACTTCGTCGCTCGCGGCCAAACAAGGCTCGCTCCGCTCGCCAAGAGGTCGACTTGTAGCAAGTCTAGATACGGTCGTAAATTCCTCGTTATCTAAGCCATAAAGCAGAACAAGTACGCTCCAACAATAATATTCCTCGTTCGATAAGCCGTAAACCAAAACAAGCCCGCTCCAAATCAAATATTCCTCGTTCTATAAGCCCTAGAGCGAAACAAGCGCTGGGCAAAAGTATAACATTCCACGTTCTTTAAGCTATAAAACGAAACAAGTGCGTTTCAACGGTACTATTCCTCTTTCTTTAAGCCACAAACCAAAAAGAAAGACCGAGGAACGACGAGGAACGGGATTTTCGGTTTTGGCCTCGCGAAAAATGGAACGAGAGCCAGACTACTTTTGAGTACATTTCGTTGACATCACTTCACAACTACAACGCGAAATTTCTTAACTCTACGTTTTAGGAGCAAGCAAACAAACGATAACTATAATTTCCCTTTCTCTCTCTAAATTGTGGTTCTTAAGAATTTAACTCTGGAAGAGTTCACCTACATTTGGAAAAGTAAGAAATTAGGAAAAATCGTGATACAAGTTTTGAAAGAACACAAAAACACTTGTTAAGTGACACTTTCCTGTACCGGCTCATAACCTCTCCCCGCAACGGCTTTAGAACAGCCCTGGGTACCCAACGAGAATATAGTTCAAAACTACTTAAACATAGCATTGATTAACGTATTTTAGTATTTAAACGGTAGATATAGGCATATTTTTATCTCCTAAAAATTTTTCATCTGTTCGGATTTCCGAGCTGAAAGTCTAGTGATCTGAAAATTGTAGGGATCAAAACTTACCTTTTCGAAAATTTCAGCCAGAAAAAAGGCTCCCGAAAATTCTAGGTGACCTTTTTAGCGTAAAAAACCGTTTAAAATGGGCAATTTTACCTTTTTTATATGTTCGAAAATCCTAGGAGAGGCAAGCAAGCCATGCAGAAATTTTACAACAAATGTTCCCAAAATTCTAGATCTCAAATCGTCTTCCGAACAGATATTTTCCGAAAATTCACCTTGGGTGCCCCTGTTTAGAATCGAACCATGTACAAACTGCTGTACTCACTATATCATACTTAGCACGCCACGCGAGCCATGCGAAAGAAATTACAAAGAAAATAGAAAAAGCAGTATTACGGAAGAAATAACCGAAAGCTAACCGTTGTAAATGAGTGATTAACCCTTAGCAGCGCTTAACCCTAGTCCGTAATCCTAATCCATAAAATGAGTGCTTAACCCTAAGCCGTAAAGGAGTGTCTTAATCACTGAAAGTCGACCAAGACTCCGTAATTCTGGTTGTTTACCATTTACCACAAATTCCCGGAAATGCCGGTTGGGATGTAAATAGTAAACGTTTTTTTGGTTCGTCCCACTGGAAAATTCCAGCAACAAACGGAAATTCTGAAAAGGTAGTCCCGTTTTCCCGATTGGGACTTTCCGAATGGAAATTCGTTTACCATTTACAAATTTCTTGAGTTTCGTACCAGTTTCAAGTTGTAACTAACATCCAGTCTAGCGCGGCGCGACAATCAGGAAATTTTAGGCAAATGGTAAACGACACGTACCGTTCTTACCGACCGAAATTTCCCAACCAAAATTTCCGGATTTTTTTTTATAAATGGTAAACAACCTCTGTAAATATTCCAGCAGAAATACCTCACATACGCATAGGGAACCAAGCAAGAAACATTTTTCTTGTATGTACACTTTCACAAAACTTTATTTTTTTCCATGGCTCGCAGATTGCCCGAACCTCGTACTTGCTTTGTTTTCAGTACTGGTTTTTGTTTTTGACATGTTTTGAGTTCTGACGCGGATATAAATATGCATTACAAATTACTTTGTACGATGGTTTGTGAATCTGGGGTACTTACCATTTACAGGGGAAAACTGGAAATTCCTGTTGGAAAATCAAATGGTTCGCGACATTCCGTTGTGGAAGGTTCAGAAAATATGGGCTGTGATTTGAGGCGACGCAATTTTCTAAGTCTTTCTAGTCTGTTCGGCAAATTTGGATATACTTTGTGACAGTTTGTTCTCCCACCACTAGCCTGCGAAAACATCCGTTTCTCCTCAGCTGTCTCCTCGCTCTTCGCCGACGTTCCTCCGCGCGAAACGTCCCCAGCGGCGAAGAGCGAGGATAAACGGATGTTTTCGCAGCCTATCCCACCACTTTAAATTACAAGATTTCCACGCGGGTAGTTTGTGTAAATGGTAAGCATGCCCCTGATCAATGAATGCCCTAGGTACCGTAAAATTCCGAAAATAAGCCCCTCCATGTATAAGCCCCTCCAAAGATAAGCCCTCCAAACTGGTAACGCGAAAAACCCTCCGTTAAATCGCCCCTCCAAATATAAGCCCCCGGAGGCTTGTACTTGGAAAATTGCCCTCAAATACAAAGTAAAACAATGAGCAAAAACGGTAAATTTACTTCCAACTATAAGGCTAGCCCAATCGAGTTTGAAACGCAAATTTCCCTCCGTAGATAAGCCCCTCCGAATATAAGCCCCTCCAAAAACAAGCCCCTCAAAAAGAACATTTGAAAAATATAAGCCCCGGGGCTTATTTTCGGAATTTTACGGTATAGTATGAACACACGCAGCTTCGCTCCGTTACAGAAATCGCGCCGCCACAACAATTTTAGCCAGTGTGAACAGAAGCCAGCTATCCGGTATGATTTACGTGGCGATGCAAAAGATAGCCTTAGACTGCAGGCAGTCTCTTATTTTTCTTTTTTGCAAGGGGTGAGAAGCCGCGAGAAACGAGAGCGGGGCTAGTGGCATTGAGCAAAGAAGGACGACCGCTCGCGGTCTATAAATGCCTTCCTTCCAGCTCACCTTCATAAAAGTCATGTGTGCACATGGTATCACCCACAGCTGTCAATATATCACCACTGCAATCTAATAACTCTTTCTGAAGCTGTTTATCCAGCGGGGTTGGAAATCTCACCACCTTGCCTAAGATCACCTGAAAAACGACAGAAAACGACAGTGTCAAGGCAAGTTTATTTGGTAAGAAATAGAAATGATGTACGAGAAAAGGACAAAAAGAAGCAGTAGGGAGAGAGAGAGGCGAGCCTCCCTTCAAACCGTCCCCTGTCCCCTAAGTACATTTGATAATCATCCCCGGGCTGAGGACTGTGAACGGCCAGTTTAGTTTCAGGCCAATAAGAGTGGTTAAAATAGCCCTTGATGAATGCGGGTAATGGAAAGCTACTACAATACATGGAAGCAAATTGAATAACCATGAATAATCGAATTGAAAATCGACCTGCTCTGTCTTCAACTTTCTTTTTTTGTTTTTATAGTTGTGGCTATTTCTCTACAATATTATTGATCCACGTTAAAGTTAATATCAACGGAATTTCCATATAAAGAAGGGTACAAACAAGGAGATGTTAAGCCCATGGGATTCACATTCCAGCAGCCCCAGGTTTGATTCAACCCCTGAGGATTTTTGGATGTTGTATTATTTGTCTGAAATTGTTTGAGTAGAGTGGAGGTCCCATAAACTTAGATAGACCATGCCTTCCAATATAAACTATACAATACATTTTTAACTTCAGTACATGTACACTGATTTGAACACTTACTTAAGAAATACCCTTTGCTTTTAGTGGGAGCCAAATGCAAGTAAATGCCCACTTTTTACATTTCAATAAAGCAGCAATTTTGTGTCTAGTCACAGTACCTGCTCACTGAATGGTTCCAAAAGAGCATTGACTGCTCTTGTTGTTATGACAACTGTTCCAGGCTCCAAACCTTGGGAAGAAACAGAAGAGACTGATCAATGCACTCAGTATTGCTTACAGCACCTGACATAATGTAAATGGTACACTTCCAGTCTCCCCCTCCCCACTCCACACCTCAGGGAGAGGTAAATGGTAAATGGCAATGTCGCAAATAAGAGGACAACCGTATTTGTCCTCTTTACATGTGAACAATAAGCCTGGGCATAAGCATCTACCACGAAAGAAATAAAACCCTACAAAGAACAAGACAACATTTCATACTGAACACAACACATCTAAAATTCTTTAACAGGAGTAAATTAATGATAACAACGTCATACCTAGGCCTCCTGATGTGCCAATACGAAAGAACCTCACGTCTTGAGCTTCTGCATAATGCAACAGTTTGAGAGTTTCATGCATGATAACCATCAAAGAGGGAACTCCAATGCCATGCTTTGTTGGTCAGAATACAATACAAGAAATCAAGCAGAAAAATACATGACACACAGTTAGTCAGGACTGTTATAAAGGCAAGTCAAGATGCCAAGCTGATGTTTCATAAACTCAATCGTTACATGGAAAATGCTAGATGCTATTTAGAGTGACTTACATTTACAGCTAAAACTGGTCCAACTTTGTACAAGACATAGCGGTCAGACTTTGACAGGTTGCACGGTTCTTGATCTGCTTTCAAGTAATCTTTAAGTTCATTCTGTATAAACTTAGCAAATTCTTTAATGCGACTTGTGCTACCTCCCATACACACAAACTGAAAGAGGAATGGCATATCAGAAAATTAAACCCCCGGAAGCAAACACACGTGACAGAGGCAGCATGGTGGAGCACTTAAACTACTCCAAATCGCAAGTCCCACCCTTACTACCGCTAGCTGGATTTGTTCACAGCATCCCCGAGTGCAAATCCTAAACCACGTTTGTAAACGACTAACTGGTTTGCCTCTGGCCAGTTGGGATTCTTAACCACACTGTTAAGTGTCATTTAAAGTATTTGTTTCAGGAATTTGCTTGGCCCGTCCAGCCACTGGCATCAGTGCTATAAATACTGCCAAGGGTAAAGAAAGGATATATTTTTTTCTTTTTATTATTAAAATTATTATTATTTATCACTTATCCTCTTTGTTCATTTTAGCTTGAGATGGGGTCATTGAAAGAATAGTTTAGTTAATTAAAAGATCTGGTGTATATCATACTGCCCTTCAGATAAGATCCTTTTTAACTGTGTAAAAATGTAATATGGAGAAAACCTATCCACACTATAAAACAATCTTTTCACTTGTGGTCTGAGTATGAGATGGGACAGGGGTGTCAAGGCCTTAACAGAATAAACCCATCCATTTTTCTTCAAGTACACCCCTTCTGCATAGTTTGAGGAGGGAGTGGGGTAGGGGTGTGGCAGTTGAAAGGCACAAGCAGGGTAGGGAAAAATTCTACAGGAGCAAATTTGGACAGGAGTTGTACAATAATGATCTTAAGATTGAGAGGTTATTAGGGTATCCCAATGCAGGAGGATCATTAACAGAAAAATGCACATCAGAAGCAATTGATGTGGTTGTTAACTCAATTAAAATAAAACATTGAAAAACAAAGTCCTTTATAAGGGATTTGTGACATAATGACTGTTCATTTAAAGAAACAATAGTTCCTCTTAAGGAAAAAAACACCTTTACCTTGACATCACCAAATACTTTTTTAATGTCAAGATCACCAACTCTGATTCCAATGTGAAAGAGAACGTCATCATCCATCTGTTTTAGGTGATCATTACTCACAAACTGTGAGGCTGATGATGAGTCGGTACCCTTAAATAAATCAAAGACATTCTGAATATGATGGATTTGTGGAAGATACACACTTTATTATCCCTGATGTCAAATGTTGGTCTATAACTATTTCGTTAGCTCTTCGATTTCTAGCTGGAGAAAGTGCTGTTGATCAACAAAATATACCGTTGTTGATAGTTTAATTCTACAGATTTGCATTAATTTGTTTGTTAATTTTTTTTTCTATGTGGATAAAATCTTATGATTTATATGCTTGTGTTAAGTCGAGGGATCTAATTTAAAATGCAAAGCCTGTTTTCTTTAATATGACGCCTATGGACAGCAGAATCTCAAATCAAGAAAGACTTGTTCAAACGAGGCTCCCATGCTTACACTGTCCAGCTCGTGGCCTGCAGACAAAGCATTGTCACCTCTTTAAACAAGCTTAACCTGTAGCACCAAAGAATTAACTAAACACACTCTCCTTATGTTATTTTTAAAACTGTATCGAGAGAGTCCAAGAAAAGAAATAAAACAATATTAAAAAAACAACAAGGAAATCTGCGTCCCAGCATAAACGAGAACGCACACCCTAATTACGCCCATAAAGAAGTGCCAATATAAGCTTGCGTAATATAACTTGTACGAGGTCGTAACATGCATTATGTTAACTCGTAAGACGTTCGTTTGAGTCGTTTTCTCCTGATAAGATGCTATTTGAATCCAAAAACATGTGCACGTGGATGATAAAAGTAGTGTAAAAGCGATTTTCGCTGTATTTTTAAAAACGTTTTTCAAGTGAGGTCAAAGGCCAGGGCCCGGGGCACCAAACCAAAAATAGACGTCTGGAAAATCGATATTTATCCATTATAAAACACCAAAAGTCAAAGATCCTATACAGCTGGATATTTGTTTTTATATAACGATCCTTCTTAATTGATATTTCTAGCAAGGTTATCGCGTTAAAAGCTGGTGAATCAAAGGAGCTAAGTTCGTCTTTGCATGCAGATGACATTCACGCGGAAATCGCAGCAGTTTATAAAGATTAGGGACATTGCACTTACGTTTAGATCCATTTGCAGACGATTGGGGATGGCGATCGTTTTGAACCCAACTGTGCTGCTATTTTGCAACGCAATCTACTTCTGCACAACAAAAGAACAGAACAAAGAATGAACAAATTTATGCACAGTACAGTACAAAAGAGCCCCCGGTAAGCCGTTGCAATACGTAACGACCGTAACGACCGTGACTCACGACTTCGGAACTACGATCTCATAGCCAGCGATCGCGACCATCTTGCGCAGGCTCAAGCGTGGGGTTTGGTTTCAGTCTTTTCAGGAGTTCGACTTAGGCGGAAGTGTATTATTTTATAGTTTGCTTAAAAAGTCGACACATTTCTTAGATTGGAGAAAAAGAGTTCGATGATCTGAAATACTGCAAGAGGAGTACATCTTCCACGTTCATCTACGTAGTTGTACGTTATTTTCTCGTTATTTTTATTTTCAATGAACTGTGAAAAGTCAGGTTTGAGTCAGGTTTGACAACTCGTATGTCCCGTAAAAACGTCTGAAAAGCGGAAGTTACCAAGATACTGTTGAGAACTATTGGAAAGAAAAGGATATATTGAAGCAAGTGAAACATCTCTTTGTTGTATTTCAAACATGGAAGGCGATGTGTTTGATTTTCCAGGAGAAGAAGGCAATGGAAATGATCTGGTTCCTAGTCGGGAAGCTCATGTTGCTCTTAGGGAAGGTAAAGATATTAAAACTTTACCCCACTGTTCTGGGGTAAAGTGGCAAGGGATGTACTTCTATGTTTTGAAAAAAAAATGCACCAAAGGGTTGCCTCCATCTTAGAGTTACCCAATAAGCATTCATTATCACCCAACCTGGTCTCAGTTGTTCAAAATGTTGGATATCACTATCCAGTGGATAATTATCAGGGGAAACCAATTTCGTTTTACTCTGAATAGTAACGTTGTCCACGTTTTGAACAACTGGAACCTCAAGGCAATACGTACAGCATCACAAATGACTGACAACTGCTTTTATTTCACCAAACGTAAGACTGCATTCTTTAATTAAAGAAATATGCGACGACATAAGTTCTAGCAAGTTAATGACTGTAGTTCCAAGGGCTATCATTAAGAGGTGGGGACCGGGGATTTCCCCCGGCTACTATAAATGTGGCCCCCGGCGGCTTTCATAGGAAAATAGAAGAAAAATAGAACCAAACAAAATCCCTAGCTGTTTGATTCCCTGCCAACTTGTTGTATTTACCAGGCAACTTGAAATCTTAATGACAACCCTGAGTAATTCCTTTAGTCTATCAGTCAGTTCATGTATCATTAAAAAGGTACATGTATCCTGCTATTATCAAAGAGAAACTGTGTTTAAAACATGCATAGCAAGTTGTTCACCACTGTTCAAATCTTGTTTCTGGTGAATAAAAAAAACTGAGTGAAGTTTCATGAATGAAAACAGCAAGATGCCCTCAGTTGTTGTCTTTCAGTTTCTAACCTTCCAGTCTTTCAATTTGATATTTTAATGACAAAGCATGCTTTTCTTTATTCTGCTTGGATGGTTGTCAAATTGCACACAATAATTTCTTTATGGTTCACATGTAACAACGTCATGAACTCAACATGTCTTTCGAATAAATTTGATATTTTAATGGACAAAAGTCTTGGAATGCTTTTTTCATTTTTATTCTGCAAATTGGATGGTTGTCAAGAAAATTTTGAAAAGGATGCACTGTTTTATGAGGGAACCCAGAATGACAGGAAAATATGAATATTGTGTTAATTGTAGTTATGTGTGATTAAAAAATTTTCGCCTGGGTTAGTTGAGGACAAACTCAATTTAGTTCAGTGAAAGTGGAGATGTGATGTTGCAAGCTATTGGACATTTACAAAAGCTTCAGCTAAACATAGTCTGAGCTAATATGCACGTTTACTGCTTGTAATACCTTAATGCGGCTCTCTTTGGTCAGAGCATTTACAGGGCTTGGAATAACAGCCAGTCAACAGACAATGTCTGGTCAAAAGTAGGCTTTATTCAGCCAAATCCCTAGATGACTGGACACAAATGTCAGATAGTGTATGTGTTCTTATATAGATATTTGATGTAATTGATACTTGTCTAACCAAAAAGGGGTTGTGTCCGAGCAAAATAGGCTTGACCAGACAACTTACCTGTGCCAACGGCAAAATTTTTTCAAGCCTTGATTTACTGATCTTATTAAATTTAAAACTAACTTTACTGTCCATTTCTTGAATGTACATCATCTGATCAACCAGCATTCAAAAGTCTTAAGGAACGTTATACAGAGTTGGTGCAACAGTTTACTGAATTACAGACAAAGATGAAAGTGAGAGAGAGAAGAGTTTACCAAGAGAGAGACGAACTGCATAACCTCGTACAGAAAAGCTATATTGCTTTCAAAGAAAAGCATGGTGAAAATGAACAATTGAAGAAGATTATACAAGAGCTAAAGGAGAATTTAAGAATGACACAAGAGGGTCTTCCAAAGGTATTTGTGCACTCATGGTGTAACCTATTAAGGCATACTTAATTGCTTAGAGAAGACTTATTCAAAATTCCTTGAGCTAAATGTTTGTGCTTAAAGGGGATATGTCACGTGGATATTGCTGTTTTAGGTCAAGTCTTTGCTTAAGTCACTACTCAGTGCCTTTGGGCCCCATACACAAAATGTAGCTCAAAAGTCATCTTACCTGGGGGAGGTACTTTGGTAAATTTTGGCTGGGTATGTGCCTGTGGCCTGTCAGAGCCCCTACCCCATTATAGTCTATTCTGTGGCCAATTATAGACCCCATCTTAGTCACTTTTGTGCAAATATCAATTTTCGCGATCCCAACTTAGTCACTCTTTATTTATGTATGTACCTTATATTGAATGAAGAACACTTTGCTTTTCACCTTCAGCACAAACATTCTGGTGCGTTTGCTAACCGTATAAATGAAGGACTGTCTTATCCCAAAATCAGAAAATGTGCGACCCCATTCTAGTAACTCTATAGAAAATGCGACCCCATTATTGTCAAGTAAGGAAGTATTCGCCCCCGGGTTATCTCATCATTTTATCATTCTCAGCAACATCCTAACATCTTAATCTTTTTCCTTTATTCCTGGAACATTTGGAAATATGCGAAGAGCTTCTCGAACAGCAACGTCCAAAGAACATGACTTGCGTGACGGCTATTTTGTTCCAGATAAACATGCCAGAATCTCGCCAGAACAACGCGTCATCAATATAACCCGGAGTAGTCATTCGATAAAAATCGGTAAATCTGATTTGATTGATGTCGATTGTAACGATCAATCGGTAAAAATCGATGACACACTCGTTTCGTTTATCGATTTATCTTGATTTCACCGATTTCATCGATTTATATCGGAAGATACATCTGTTCATCTGTTCATCCAATGATGAAAATTGATTTCATGCCAAAAGTAGATTTGTTGACAATTGAGTCGCAATTCAGTGAGAGTCGAAGGGTCAAAAAAAAGTCGGAGTCACTGTCTTTCCATGCTTATTACTTTTCTAAAGGCTTAAAGAACGACAAATATACTTCAGGCGAATCTACTTAATCCGGGCGAATCTGCCTGATATCACTGCAAGCAGTCTAACGATCGTTGCGAAGCTTTTTCCACATAATCGCTGCAATCACTGACAAAACGTCAGACACCAGCCCTTATTTAGAGGATGTGAATAAAATGAATCTTTATTTCTTTTTTCTTACCCAGACTGAAGGGAATGCCTCACGTCCTGGCTCAACCTCAGAGGAAGAAAAAGGCTCAGAAACCAAAAAATATAAAACTATTATCAAGGAGTTGCAGACTTTAGGACTAGAAGTAATAGAAGATGAGGAAAAGTTGTTTATTATTCTAACAGAAAGAGATTACCTGAGAAAGTGGATGGAAGAGAAATCGGATGGGAATATCGTAGTGAAATTTAAAGGAACTCATTTTGAGGATACGACGACGGAAACTGAGGGGTTGCTGATGAAAAACGAACAGGGAGAAACTGAAACTAAAAAGATGCAAGCAGAGATTATTCAACTTAAGAAAAAAATACAGGACCAAGCTGACGAATTGGCTAGGTTTTATAAAGTATTCAAAGAAGCGATGGAGCAGAATTTAAGATATACAAAACAGGAAAAGGCTCGCGCTGAGGGTGCAAAGCAAGGTAGGTCTTGAAAATGCACTCCGTGAGTTGTTAGGCCCGCGCTGTTCAAACGTCGAACTTTACATGTGCCAAACCTAATTGTTAGGTTCGGCACATGTTAAGTTCGACGTATGGCGGAATCAATTAGGAACGACAGGAACGACACTTTTGTATTTGGGTCGACTCTGCCGTTCTATTCGACTGAGCTTGTCGAATAGAACGGCAAAAGGTCGACTTCAATTCATAGTACGTCGAACTTCAAATGTGCCAATCCTAATTCATAAATTAGTTTACCGTATTTTTCAATATAACCGCGCTTCTGATTGGCTATATAATGGGTTTTCGCGCCTGTGCGGACAGAACTCACAGAAGCGTAACGACTTTACCCGCATTCTCGTTGTAGATTTTTAGACTGAAACTGGACAGCCTAATACGGTCTTCTAAAAAGTTGCTTTTCTTTATATCCATAAAGAAATCTTACTTTATTTTAAAATTTTTGGCGTCACTTTATTTTGTCCAAATGTCAATGTGATCCACGATCTCCTCAGCTCACTCCTTGCTATAACAGAACACAAATCACACTAAAATCAAAACAAGAATTTTCAGGCTTGGTGAATTTTATTTTTTTGCAGTTTATTTCCCTATTTTAAGTTAAGAAGTAAGGATGATATTTGTTTTCGCCGCGAATTTGGTTCGGCACATGTAAAGTTCGACCGTCTGAATCAACCCGTGTAATTACCTAATTATTTTTTGTTTCAGTAGTGCTGTACTTCGTTTTTCCTAAACCGCATTTATCTTTGTCGCAGGTTTGTCAGACTTAGCAAAAAAACAAGCGAGTGTGGACAAAAATGAATGGAGACCAAAGCAGACGAGTTCAGCCAAAGCTGAATCACTCTTAGCTGCTGTAAGGACACAAGCAGCAGAAGTGAAACAAGCCAAACATCATGTGGATAAACAAAACAAAAGCTTGCGCACATTGGTAGACTTAACCGAGAAAATCACTAAAGATTTTACACAGTTGGTCACTTCCTCGAAGCCTCAAGAAGCTTCTGGCTCCCCAGGGGAAAATGAAAGTTCCCAGGGAGCTGTAGGTGGAGTACTATCCATGTCCCAGGGGCAAGGAACGGGAGAAGAGACCTTCGAGCGCGTTTTCGATGGCGACGCACCTTTAAGTATTCCTGTTCAAGAGACGGAGTTAGACAGATTACGAAACTCTAAGGCAAAGGCAAAGTTGGAGTTTTCCAGTGGTGCGATGTATAATCCGAGATTAATTACAGGCGAAACCATTCCATCTCCTTCGACTCCGGGTAGGACGGTTCCCATGGCAACTGGCGTATCTGATAGCACCTGGACAGGAGAGAGTGATATCGAGGTTATTGAAGAGGAAGAAGATTTCGTCGGTGCTGGCTTACCTCGAGGCAAAATATGTCCCGTTTGCGATCGCTTTTTTCCGGAAAGCTTTAGTCAACGAGACTTTGAGATGCATGTCAACGAGCATTTCGATCATAACACTTAAAATATCAACCTTCGAATTTCGAAATGAAGAGCTCTCGCAGGTTGTTTGGAGTGAAAAATACGCGCCTTTGGCGAGGCGCGTTTTAAGAACAAAGAATACTCAACCAGCGGAATGTTCGATATCATTAAACTCAGTGTCACGGAAATTACGTTTTGCTGATTACTCGCTAAGACACCTAACTTTTGTGTCCTTAATGGTTCATTTTCATAAAAAAGCAAGTCATGTGTAGGACAGCTTTAGAGCTGTTGTGGACCTGCAGCAGTAATACACAATTGCAGTACACATACATAGACGCACACATGTTTTCAAAGTTAGCCTGTGCAGGCTCTCATTTAGTAGGGACGTTGAGAACACAAAGGGAAAATAGGACGCGCATGATCTTCCCCCGCGGATCTTCGCTTTCCCCAGCTCCCGCCCCCGTGCGTTTTTCTCATCATTTTTCACTAACTCTGAACATTGCTATCTTGAAGCCCGAAACAGGCTTGTTTGAAGGTTGATCACACTACCGTCGTCTACAAAACCCTTCCCCCACAACCAGCACTTTTCGAACGGTACCGTAATAGAGCTGTGAGACTGTATCTGCGGTTTTTCGTCCGTTATCGGAGAGGACTAGCTGGTCTATTCATTGGTAGATACAACAACAATAGCAGTACATGTTCCTTATATATTTTAATACACTGATTGTTAGTTGAGCCGGGAATCGAACCTAAAACTAGCCTTAAAACAAGTGACAAACCGCCACCAACCCACGGCTTAAAACCTACGGCCTGGCCAGTATCTCACTCATATCACCGAAAGTAGAGTGATTTTTCTCAGTTAGAATTTTATATTTCCTGGAACGCCAAACAGGACGGCTTTAATATCACGTGAATACTAGAAAGCAGAATTAGGCAAGAGGCATAAAGGGGAAAGGCTTGGCCGAAGTTTTTCAAGTTTAATTTGTATAGTTAATAGCATGATTTTTAGTGATATTTGGCATAAATACCACGAATCGTTATACGTAATTTGAGACAACTCTGAAATGTCAAGAGTGGTATTTATGCCAAACATCACGTACAAATCATGCCATTATTTGTTCATACTACTACCTGCAAAGGTTTTGTAATTTTCACATGTAGGTATTTCAAATTAAGCAGAAATTCCACTGCTCTAAGCCAATCAAATTGCAGAAATTTCTTGTGTAGTAGTGTAATAGGCCACTTGCTCTAAGAGCCCATGTCACCAATGCTTCCTTTAAACAATGAGTTTGAATCTTACTGATGCCAAAAATTGACAGAGCACATAAAAATAATCATACCCCCGAAATTTGAGAGGAAACTCATTTAAGGGATATATTTTATGACACTTTGATTTTTCAACAAAGTAGTATGATTTGTATTGGCCGCCATGTTGGAGGGCATGCTCTTGCCCTCCAACATGGCGGCCAAAACTACTTTTTACTTATATCATGTTAAACGCATGATAGTTGCGCTCAGATGTGCTGTAAACGCTACCATATCATCTTTTCAACATTTTCCTTGAAGTTTAAGTGCAAAATTTGTGTTCAGAAAGAGGTAATTCATAATTTTAAAAATCACATTATGGTCACGTGACCAGCTACGAACTTACTCACTTTAAAGGGAACCTCCACTCTTACTACAGAATAAGTTTAAATCGAATAAAATTATGTTGATAAACAAATTTGTTCGAAATTTGTCTTAAAAAAAGTGTTTATATCAGGAAAAGTGAATTAAAATTAGTTAGCTATTAAAATCGCTTATTTTCACTTTCAAATTTCGCGGGCGCCGCCATCTTGAATAATTGTGACGTGTTATGGTTGCTCTATTGTTCTGACACAAAGAGCTTTTGTTTAATAACAATAGGGCAACCATTACACGTCACAATTATTCAAGATGGCGACGCCCGCAAAATTTGAAAACAAAAATAGGCGAATCTAAAAGTTATTTCTTTCGGATACAAACGCTTTCTTTAAAAATATTTTAGATTGACTTGACTGTAACAGTTATTTCCTGTGATTTAAAGTTATCTTTTTGTTGAAGTGGAGGTTCCCTTTAAGAAAATGGTGCGGGTGTGAAAAACCAGATAACTATTATTTTGTTCAAGATATGATCCCCTAATCGTTTTTCGAAGGCAAAATCATATAACTTTCATTTTCATAAAAACGATGTTACATGACCTCTAAGTGCAAATGGCCTATTGGACAGTTATAAGTAAAAAAAATACATTTTTGTTGTATAAGATTATTTTTACAAGTTGATAAGTATGCAGTGAGAGCTCTTCTGCGCATGTAGAGGAGAGAGATCAAGAGAGCTTACACGCGCATTCCCAAGCCAGTAAGCGCTGGGCTCGACAATGTACTAGTTCGTCCCGTACCGCACGGCATGTGCGGCACTTCTCAGATAAAAGATTATTTTTATGTAGGTTGAAATAAAGATCATCTCAGTCATGCTATCACTAAGGTCATGGAGTCCTATCCATGCAGTTAAATATGATTTATGTAATGGATCACATCACGTCGCAAGATGTCCCCGTTTATGTGCTGTTCGGTGGATGCCGGTGATTGTTGATTTTTCCTGTGAAAGTATTTTTTTTTTCGGGGTCGGGGAAGCGTTGTATGAGAGGCTGTAGTACATGTTGCAGTCGTACTTTGCTTTGAGAAGTGTTCTCAGGCTATGATAAATATGAGAAAATCGCAAATTGTCTTTGTTTCTAACTAGGGGAATGGTAATATCGAAGCGAAGATTATTAACTTTCGTGTTTAGGAGTCTTACAAATTGGAAATAGAAAGGTAATAGTATTAGATTTCAGATACCGATTGTTTATTTTTTTGGACTATAACAAAGCTTAAGATATATGATATAGTCGTAAAATGTAATTGTACTCAACTCCGTATGGGAAATTTCTTCACTCGTTCAGAGGCGACTTGATTTCGTGTGCTCGGCTTGTTTCGCGTGACTGCATTTTCTATATAAACCGTAAGCGTCGGCGTGGAACCTGGAATTCTCATACTTTCCCCGGTTGTAACTGCTAGAACGGGGTTGCAACGGTCTGAAAATTGTCACAAAGGGATTAAGAGATGTGAACAAAGCAGGAATTAGTGCTAGAAAAGCCGGTTTATTGTGGGGACTGAGCATGAAGAAATCAACCCTGCAGGTCAGACTAAATAGGAGAGTGACCTTTCACCGCCGGATTGAGGTCCCTTACTCAAGCTTTCTTTTTTAAAATAAAAAATGAAGAAAAACAGTCGTTTGCAAATTGGCTAATCGCGGCTTCGGTATGTCCACGGATAAAAAAGTTCCTAGGCAAGGAAGTAAGAATTACACCATCTAACAGCCGCTCGCGTTCCCCACCATACCCCAGTGATCTGTTACGTTTTATTTCACGATGCTAGGTTATATTTTTGGAATCGATTGCCAGACTACTTTGCAAGTGTAAGAGAAGCTTATAAGTCGCTTGCCTGTCGAAATTTATGAACAATTATTTTTGAGTCCGGATACTGGACCAGCTGTTTGGATACTGGGCAACATAGGAGCTCTGCAAAAATGTTAATTTCGCGATGGAAACAAAGGGAAAAAAAGTTAAACTGTCTTTCGTCATATTAAGGACTAAAGAGATTTTCTCTGGGCCAAATTTCAGAGCTCTTCCAACTAACAAGGGGAAGTTATTGCAGTGTTAAACTGAACAGTCCGGATACTGGGCAACATACTACAAAATGACAATACATTACAAACGTAAGAGAAAAAATGAAACAGCAACTTCTCGATTAGTAAAAACTGTTTTTGTTGTTGTTGTTGCTGCTGCTGTTTGTTTGCCGTTGTTTTTTTAGTTTTTTTGTGTCCTGAAACTGCGATTCAGACCATATGACTTTTGAAATTTGGTAGTTTCGAGGAGGCCCTTTGCTCGAAATAGTCGACTTTAGAAAGTGGGCACCCTTTTAACAGGAAACGTAAGATTTTTTGAAATTAATAATGGCTTCATTTGCTTTCTTCGAATTCATGTAAACGAGTAAGTTAGTCTCAAATTTTTGGTAGTTTGGTAGTTTCGAGGAGGCCCTTTGCCCGAAATAGTCGACTTTAGAAAATGGGCACCCTTTTAACAGGAAACATAAGATTTTTTGAAATTAATAAAGGCTTCATTTGCTTTCTTCGAATTCATGTAAACGAGTAAGTTAGTCTCAAATTTTTTTAATTTTTTAAAATTAAATTAAAATTGTGTTTTATGTACTTCGCGCTCGATTACCGGTCTGGCCACTTTCTCATCCAATCACCGTACAGATGACGTCAGGTCATAATTTGGCGGACGTTTTCCCGGAAAAGTCCCGCACGATTTGCGATTTAAAACAAGAACGGGTTATTCGCTTTGTGCGAAATATTTTTTGTCTATCGTTGAAAAGAAGTTCTTATCAACAAGCCTCTGCATTTTTGTAGGGAAGTAAAGGGATCTAGCCAAAATGTATTACGACCCGGAGGCGAACAAACATGGCGCCGATTATGGCCCTTTTGACAACACGATGGCTTTTAGCGATGTTTCTATCCGCGCAGGTAAATCTCCGTTAACACTGTCAACATCTTCGACGGACAGTAATTATTTTCGTCTCATCTTATTACTGAGTGGGTATGTTTTCTCTTTTTTGCAGGATTCATCCGAAAGGTAAGTTTTATCTTGAATTTGAATTTCAAAACAGCTGAGCTAGGAACAAAATTGTCGTTTTCACCTGCTCAGTCTTGAGCTGTGAGGTGACCTGTTTTCAGGGTTAATATGATGTCTTAAAATTTATTTTCGCACCAGGAAGTTCATTTGAGTTAAGTTTCAATTTCAAGTTTTTCGTTCTCCTTATTAAAAGTGAAATAAAGAAAGTCTTACGTTGAGCTGTGAGCTTAACTCTTATATTCAGAGCCTATGCTTTGGTCTTAGTTTGCAGCTAAGTCATTCTGAAGGTTGAAGTATTACCGTTTATCAAAACAATGATAAGATCCTGGATAAATTTTAAAGATGGTAGCGTACCTATAGAACCAATAATCTTTTCGTTGATCTATATGCAGTGTATGTGTGCAGTAATTTTTAATAATTATTTCATTGTTACAACCTGGTTACAACTTAAGTAGGATAGCTATTCAGGGCATAAAAATGTTTTTTTATAACTTTAAGCTTGAAAAGGCCCGATGAAAATGAACAGGCTAATGCGCCCAAAAGAATAAACAAATTTTTCGAGAATAAAAATATGAACGGGCCATTGGTAAAGTCTTTGAAAACAGCCATATCTCCTCGATCCTCACCGCTTCACTAGGAGGGACGTCTGCACCTCAGGAAAAGAAATTTCACACTGATGGCGTAAAATCTGTCCAAAATCTGGTCAGGAGCTCTGATTGGTCAACATAGTAGTTATTATTGTTTTAGCGATTGATATACAAACAACGGTCAAAAAACTAAGACAAGCCGTTCCAATTTTTGGCGCTAAATTATGGAGATTCCAGGTAGAATGATAGATGCATCAAAAAAGTGTTTTAACAAAAATTAATCAGTGTGTTCTTTGAAATATTAAAAGACAAAGATGATTACCTTGATGCAACCATGATAACACAAGAAATAAAATCGCGAACTTCTTTCACAGGTTGCATTAAACAATTGATCTTTCTTGCCTTTTGATATTATTACACATATTTCCTCTTTTCTTTTTCTTTGCTTTTTACTTATATTTATCTGTAATATCTGATTTGTAAAAGAACTAATTTAGCACGCCTCAACTACCATTACTTTACCATAATCGACCAGGAGAAACATAAAATCGAACAAATTTTCATTTGGAACTCCATGACTGCTAGATTAATTATGTAAATGCAGATGTCGCTCCTGGCAAAAAATTATGTCCCTAACGGCAAGGAGTGATGAGAGTGGGCGGTTGACAGCTGTTTTCACAGGCTAGCCCATTGGCTACTAGATGATTGTACTTCTTGGAATATGGAGACAAAAAAATTGTCCTGAGAAAGGAGGTAGAAAGTTATATTCACGCTTGTCTCATACAAATAGGGTATATCCCCAAAGATGGTTTACATATGCCACATAATGACAAAGCGACATAAGCAGGGTGTTGTGTCCTTCTGTTTGTAGTGTGAACATGGGCATAACAACATAATAGCAACGTGATGACTTGGACATAACGACATGAGGGCTTAATAGAGAGGGGGGCTTATTAACTTTCCTCCTCTGAAAATGGGGGGGGTCTTAATAGAGGAGTTATGGTAAGTTCGGATGTCAGCTTTCAGAGGGGCCACTGCCAGCTGCTGGTTTTTGGGTTGTTCACATCCCTACCTATGAAAATATATGAACTTTGAAACTGCCACTCAATTCTGCTGAGATTTCTTTCAGGTTTAAGAACTGATCACCTAATCTAACCCTAATCTAATTGTCTTCATTTGCTTTTGTTGTCAACCATCTGATTAAACTTTTTGCTTCAGCTGGAGTGCTCTGGAGCACTCATGAAAACCATTGTAAATATTGACACAATTCATGATTTAATGTTGTAGGTCTATGCCATACTTCTCTGTCAGTTGGCTGTCACAATAGCATTTATCTGCTTCTTCTTGTATTGGTAGGTTCAGATAAAAAGAAAAATTGCTTTTAAAATGCAGCTTATCAGATGTTTTGTTCAGATGTTTATTGTCTGGTGGTTAATAAGTCTAAGGGTTCTTTTGATACAAGATATTCTGGAAAAGCTCCGTGTGCTGCCAAAAAAATTTATAAAATTATAAGGGGGCTTGAAGAAAAATTGAATTTCAGAACTACAAGCAGCTGGGCTCAAATTTTGCTTGCCCAGGGCAGTTTCTTCACCCATGTGTAATGTCTTAGTTTATCATTTAGTTAGAAGATGACTTATAGCTGGGCCTTGTCCATGGAGCAAGTGAACATGAAAAGTTACTTGGCTGGCAGGAAAATCTACTTGTCCAGGGTGAACTTTCATCCGTCTCAGATTTTCTTCTTGTGACCAAGAAAATTGAGATAATTGGTATGAGTTAATTTTCATAAAAAGATAATATTATTATGTACTTCCATTTTGAAACTATTACTGAATTTTATAAGGAAAGTGCACCCTCGAGAGAGATTTGGATTTTATTAGGTGAAGATGGGGAAGAAGAGGATGCTGGTGCAAGTAATGGTTAACTCTTTGATTGAAGATGTAGATGTTTTGATCAATATAATTCTGAAATGTTTTAATAATTTAATTTCCTTCTTGTTTTTTTTGTAGTGAGCCAGTGAAAGAATATGCTCTTAACCATCCAGGATTATTTTATGGGGCTATGTAAGTATAACCACCTGGTAAGCTCAGCTGGGTGAGCACCTGTCTGCTGAGTGGGAGGTTGCGGGCTCAAATCCCGGCTAGACCAACACTCAGGGTGTTAAAATAACTGAGAAGAAAGTGCTGCCTTTGTAATGACATCTGCGAATGCTTGGATGTAAAACCAAAGGTCCTGTCTCACAGCACTTTCAATTGGTTTTTGTGGGACATAAAAGAACCCACAGAGTCAGTTTCGTGTTGTAGATACCATAATAAGATTATTCTAACTACCGGTAATAAAGATTTTATTGTTAATTTTATTATTTGTTGTTCTCACTATTACTACATATTTGTTGTGATAATTATAGTGATAAAAAGGGATTTTTGCGTTTTTTTAATGCTGTACTCAGGGTTCTCATTAAGTGCCGGCAGCTGGCTAAAAAACCGGCTACTTGGAGGTTTGAGCCGTCTACTTTTTGGGAAAAAAGGGTAAAGTGAGAGAGTGAAAGCCTGAAATTGCTTACAAGACTCAATTGGCAAGCCGCCTACGTTTACATCCTAGCTGTCTACTTTAAAGCTTAATGAGAACCTTGACTGACAGTACAATGTATGTATGTTTTGGTCTTTTTTGTTTGTTTTAGAGCTGTTACCTTTGTCACCATGATAGCAATGGCGTGCTGTGAAAGTGTTAGGTGGGTCCTCTGAGACAAGATACATTCTGAAACTGGTAGAAAATACCTGACTTGTTTATGTACTATTATAATAGTTATGTTACATAGATTTTCTTTTAAAATTAAGTAAATTTTAATTAAGGTCAAACTGAATGTTACTCTCAATATTTTTGAAATTGAAAATTCAGTTGAAAATATTTTCAGCCTAGTTTGATAATTTTGATTGTCTCATAGCCCTAATGTTGTTATTGTTATTATTATTATTATTATTATTATAATTATTATTATTATTATTATTATTATTTAAAACCATTTAAATCCGATTTTCTTTTTGAAGCACAATGATGTACATTAATTTTACTGTTTTTTCTTGGTATTTGTAGGCGGAATTTTCCAACTAACCTGATCTTTCTGTCCATTTTTGTAAGTATTTCCTAGTATAATGTCTAATAACTGGTTTAATTTAAATCATAAGGTGGTAGATCTGTCCCTTTACTTTTCAACAGTCAAATGTTCTTACTATGGACGCCATACAGACAGAGTCAAGTGTCCACATTATTTAAGTGCATGTATGCCTGTTACAGCTGAGGTGGGAATTGTATAAAGCTTCACAGTGAGTTTGGGAAATTTCAGGGAGGTCTTCAAAATTTCACAGTTCAGCATTAAATTAACCAGTTATCAAAATAATAGTAGTACTTAATGAGAAGTAGTCACTATCTCCTTTATTGCATATTTTGTTATTAATTTATTTTGATAATGTTATTTATGTGTTTTAATAGACTCTTTGTGAAGGATATCTTCTTGGCGCTGTATCAAGGTTATATTCTATTAATAAATTATAAACTGCACTTACTTTTTAACAATTTTTTGTCAGGGAAAATATTGCTTCCTGCCCTCTTTGAAGGAAATTCCAACATTAAACTTACCTTCTAATTTATAGACTATGAGTCCCTCTTTTACCCTTAGGGATAGTAGAGCACTCGAAACGCGAGGGCACATGAAAATCACCCCACTTGAAAAAGGCGAGCCATCGCATCTTGCATTTCTCACGTGGGGTGCTTTTTCATGCGCGCTTGCATTTTGCTTACTCTACTATCCCTGAGGGAAAATGAAAGACTACTCGTAGTCTACTCTTTAATTCTAATTTCATCTTAAATTCGACAGTGAAACCCCGCCTCATGGCCACCACGTTATTATGGCCCTTTTTTTTTGCCGCCTGACAAAAACCACCATACATTGTCTTGTAAAAGGACCCTCATTAATAAAGCCACCCCATTAATACGGCCAAATTTTTTTGGCCCTATCGGTGATTTTATTAACAGGGTTCCACTGTGCTTTGATTTCATGTTAGATCTACTGTCTTTGATGAGCTTCATTTTGTCTGTGCATGTTAAAGTTGTATCATTGGGCAGTCAAATACAGTTGTATCCACGTTGTTGTGTTTTATACTGTGTAAGGGATTATTGTTCCTTCATCTTCAAAAAGCCCTGTTTTGTGTTTTTTAGTGTGTATGACAAAGATGAGGTTTTGATGGCTGTGGGAATTACTGCAGTAAGTTTTTCTTTAATAAGATGACTCTTGTTGATTCTGTATAAGCAAATTCTTTTTTTAAAAAAGACTTGTCTAAATGCCATAAACTGGCTTTTCAGTTTTACAAATGTAATTTGAATCGTTTTTTAATTTAGTTTTTGTTTTACAGGTTGTTGTTCTGGCAATCACCATCTTTGCATTTCAGACAAAGGTGAGGAAGTAACCGGCACAGTCCTTACAATAATGATAATGGTGGTGGTGTTTGTTGCCATCCAGCGGCACATCCCCAGTAGGTCCTTATAAGGAAGTACCCCCTGGGCTGGCACCCAGGGTGAAACTCGTAATGATCTGTGAAGGAAAAACAAAGAGAGAGATGGATGTTTACAGAGTGTTTCTCCCTTAATTGTTCTGTATTTAATTTCTTTCTGTTATTAGTATGACTTCACCATGATGGGAGGAATCCTGTTTGTAGCTCTGATTATCCTCATCTGCTTTGGATTCCTGATGATCTTCTTCCATAGCCGAGTAAGTACTATAATAAAGTGAGTCTAAATTTTGTAAACGCGTATACTTTAAAGCTTTACCGATTGTTTCATTTTCTTATGTTTTTCCAGGTCCTGTCAATTGTTTATGCTTCACTTGGAGCACTGATATTTGCTGTGGTAAGATTTGAAAGCGGTTGAAGACACTTATCCGTATAATCATAACTATAACAAAATTCTTAAATCTGATTGGCTATCAACTGCCCTGATTTCAGCCTTAATAGGACAGTTAAATAGGACAGTACGCGTCATGCCTAAGTAATTGGATAGTACGCACCATCACGCGCGCGCTTAAATGGCTTTTTTTTTGTCACTGCTAGCAAAAAAAATCTCGGAATTTCTTGTGTTTTGATTCAAAAAGGAGCCTCATGTGTCACAAATTTTGTTAAAGTTATGATTAATTGGTAACAGAACTTCGTGTCGTCCAATTCAGTCTGTAATCATACTCGTGATTAAACAAATGGGACTCCCGCTACGCGGTCGTCCAATTTTGTTAATAGGGACTTTAAGATCCAACGACGCGACGGCGACAAGAACGTCGCTTAAAAAGTGAATTTGGGCTCTTTCAGTCCTTATAGCGATTATTCCTACCCACTTAATTTATCAATTGTAGGCGAACCCTCCTGAAGCTGAATTTCAAGGGACCAAATTCAAGCTCAGAAAGAGAAATAACGTTTCGTCGTTGCTTGTTTACGTCCTCCATAAAACGCAAAATTAGGCATTTTCACGTCGTAGTCGTGCAAAAACGGGAAAGAAATGTACAAAAAAGTGTGATGCACGTGCGAAGTTGTTGTTTTGCTAATTAAACCAATTGTTTTTTTGACGTTCTCGTTGTCGTCCGCGTCGTTGGATCTTAAATTCCCTCATCACTCGTATGATTACAGACCGAATTGGACTCCACTCAGTCCTGTTACTGTTACTTAGCAGGGCATTCGTACTAAGCGGGTCGAATTTAGAGAAAATGTAAGGACTTTGTTTCCCCGGGGACGAAGCAAACAATATTACAAATGTAATATTCCTCGTTCTAGGAAAGGGGGCGAAGTGTAACCGGGGCGAAATGACTTGGGGGCAAAATGACTTGGAGGCGAAATGACTTGGGGGCGAAATGACCGGTAACCACTGAAAGATGAGGGTGTCCGTAAAGCGGGATTTGACTGTACTTATGTGAATTAAAATAGAGGTGTAGCAGATCACCCAGGCTGAAATTTAGCCAAATAGGCACCATCTAATCAAGTCTTATCTACCAAACAACCATTTCATCGTGTTGCTGAAAATTTACATTTCATACTTAACAGTTACTGGAATATTATTCTAAGTTACGCCTGATACTCAGGCTATCCCTGATTTAACTAGCCTGCGTCGCAGACACTCTAAAACGAATTGCGGTCTGTTCGCCAACATCTAAAGTCGATTCGCCTATACCCGTAGGCAAAACGACCGGTTACCTCTAAACCGCCTGTATAGAGCGTACTATACCAATGGCCGAGTCCGATGCGTGGGCCAGGTGCAACGCAGGCTGTGGTTCATCGAGTACACCCTTTTCAGTCGGTCTGGTCGGAGCTTGACTGTCTATTGGACGAGCCGAGCTCGTAGCGTGTTTGTTACTTGCTCGTAACATTTTCATAACATTTTCGCATGCTCGGCAATCCCTAGGAACTGCTAGCAGTACTTACTTTTGCCCTCAAAAGCTTTCGCAGATGATTTTTTCTTCGCGGGACTTTTTGGGCGGATCTTGTAAAAAAATTACAAAGCTTGAACTGGCGAAAATTATTTAGTAGGAAAATTCTCTGTTATTTATTTGGTTACCTTTCAGTACCTCGTGTATGACACACAGATCATGATGGGAGGGGGGAAAATGTACGCTATTTCCCCAGAAGAGTACATCTTTGCCGCGCTGAACCTCTACCTGGATATCGTCAACTTGTTCTTGTACATCCTCCAGTTAATTTCAGCTGCAAGAAACTAAAGGACTCTACGTATTAAGGGGTGTAGAACGATCTGAGGGAGCGTAGATAGTCCGCACTGAAAAGTGAAAAAGATCTGTTGCAGCCCCAAAGTGTCAATTGAGCCCTGCAGGACAAAGTCCTATTCAGTCTCTCTTGGAGGTATTCGAGCACAATTTAGAATGAAACAGCCCCATCAAAAACTTATTCCAGCCCCCACGGGGACTCATTTCAACCCTTGTGTCCAAGTCAGCCCTAGGTAATTGGAAGGTATTGTCCCTGATTAAGGAAGCCACATCAGAACCCAAAAAAGAGGACTCTATTTTAATCACCGAAACTTCTCAAGTTTTAGGGCTGAAACAGATCTCTCTGATTTACAGTGATAAATGACTAAGAACTGCCTAACTGCCCATATATTACAGAAGTCAAGTGTTTTTCGTAAAGAAACTTTTTTTTCTACATAAAATGCTTTGATCCCTCTCTCTTTCCCCTAGAGCAATATTAAGAAGCATATTATAAATGCCGAACATTTGAATGAATGGCAGAATAAGTAAGAATAAATAAGACAACAATGTAGTGTCGCAAATGAGACGCTCGAGTTTCAAAGAAGTGGTCGCGTACTCTGATATTTAGCCCCCACCATTTACATGGAAAAACCAGTCGGTTCACGGTTGAGGCAAACAATGAGCAAAATTCAGGTAATGAAGGATGGTAAATTCCATCGGGAACAGCGTTTGTCATTCGCTGAAATCAGTCCCATTTACCAAAAATTAACGAACGGATACTAAATCCTGAAACTGGAATCAAAGATGGCTCTGAAGAAATGAACCTGAACATGAACTTCCGTTCGGAACATTTTAAACCAGAAAAACAGGACTACCTTTTCAGATGTTCCTTTTCAGTTGGGACGACCTTAAAAGTCGTGATTCAGTAACTTTCCAACCGGATTTTCCGAAAACTTATTTGTAGATGAATAAAAGTGATCTATACCTTTTAAGACTTTCCGCGTTTATTTTGGAATTTTTTTATGGGAGCGACCAGAACAGGTGTGCTCCACTTACTTTCTAACCGGATTTTCTGGAAACATTTTGTAAATGGTGTACAACGGTTAGGTGCCTTTTATACTGGAAGATCCCCTCTTGTAATAGGACACGTCTTCATTCTGTTCATTGTCCTCGTGTAAATGGCATAAATATGTGTTATTTCAACGTATACGTTATCTTCATGCCGATTGATGGTCTTGCTTCTTGTACAAATATTGATCACCTCATGGCATTACGCTCGTCTTAAGGCTAATTCCTGCTTACTGTATCACGGGTACATATAAGGACATTTAAAAGAGTCACGATATTAAAAAGGAGAAGTCGTTACGTCACGTTGCCATGGTAGCAACATTTCTGGATGACAACAAACCGAAAACGTCATTCAAAAGGTGAATTCGCACTGTTTCAAACTTCATCGATCTTATTCAGTTTCCTTCAATTTGTCAAATGTTGGCGAAATTTTGTGGATCCGAAAGGACCGTATTTAAATTAAGAAAAAGAACATTTTTGTGCTGTGTTCGCCCGCTCCATAAAGCGGGCGCGTGAAATTTACAGAAAACAGGTCAAGCGTACCCCCAAGATTCTATTAATGAATTGATTATTTGAAAAATGAATCCGTTAGTCGTTCCCGTAACTGGTGTCAAATTCAAAGCGGCATTTCTGCATGCGTAATGAGCAGTGAATATTTTACGAGAACTTCTCTGTTTTTGGTCAGATTGAAAATCTTTGAATGGATTAAGTTTCTTAGAAGACATTTACATCAAATTCAGGAAAGTGGAGCTGGTAGAAATTTCATAACTGCCTCGCGTGTGAATTCACGGCTCATTACACATGCAAGAGTGCAGAGATCAATCTGAAATCTACAACTAGCAACGGATTCAACTTTTGAATAATAAATTCATTAATGGATTCTTGGGGGGTACGCTTGACCTGGTTTGACTGTAAAGGAAGTTTCATCTCGCAGTCGTGTAATGACGGCTAAGAAATGTACAAACTGAAAAAGCGTGTTGCACGGGCAAAGGTGTGGCTTGTGCTAATCTAAACTTATTGCTTCTTTGCCGTTCTCCTTGCCTTCAGTGTCGTAGTTGCTTAAGCTCCCAATTGCTGTGATCCAGAAATTTTGCTACCATGGTAACGTGACGTCACTGTGCTGAGGTCATTACTTAGTGTCTTTACCCATTCATAAAATGCTTCGTTCAGAGACATGAAGAAGATATGAAACAAATTTCATCAGGGAGCACTAACTATGATGGTGATGTTTGCAAGCAGAGCATTAAAACTTTTTCTTTTTTCAAGTTTCAATCCATGGCCATCTGTTGTAACAGACCGTGGGACAGTTTTAAGCCTAAATGTAGTCTAAAACTGGACCATTAATTTTGGAATTCAATAAATGTGAAGACAGGTTTTAGCTTTTAAAAGTATAGTAGTAGATAGAGTGACATGGCCATAGCATTCCAGAATATAGTAGGAAATTAAAAAACCATCGATTTTGTATCGAATGGTGCTCCAAAAATGATAGTAACCCTGTAAAACGTAAAGTAATTTATTGTTTGTGGGGACAAAAATATATATACAGAAGCCCATTGCAAAGTGAAGATCACTGATCACTGGCGAAAGTCAACTCGGTCTTTCTGGTTACTCATTATAGGTTACTCAGTCTGGCTACTATAGTGTCGGCGTAAGGTGTGGATAATAGAGAGCTTTAAATTCTGAGACGAGAACGACTTCGAGTACGAGATTTTCTCAATACTGAGTACTGCTCACGAGCCGTGAACCAGCGTCATTTTGGTGGCAAAACGTGATAGCCGTCGTAATTCTACTAAGAGTTTTAAAAGTCGTAGTGGCGGAAACAGGTCATCAAACGTAAGAAGTTTTATCATTTTGCGATCGGAAGAGGGTTTAACCTTCTTTAGTATAAATAACCCTACTAACATTTTTGGTGTCTTTTTTTAGAATACGCATTAAAACTTTGAGTTAAATCTCGTATTCGTACTCGTTTTCGTCCTCAAATCTAAAGCTAACTAATATAGAGAGCCGAGGACAAGAAAGCAACTCTTGACGAGATGGCTTGCAAAACCGTGACAAGGTCTATTTGTCATTTGAGAATTCCAAACGATTTTTGCTCAGAGAGCTACAAATGAGTTTCAGGTTTAATTTTCAACTTGCAAGGTGAAAAACACACTTGAAGAAGTTCTCTTTTAACTAGAACGTAATTCCTGTATTTAATCCCGTTGTCGCGGAAAAAATAATTGGGAAAACTTGTTAGATGTAATGTTACATACATTTTAAAAGCGTTATTTTAATATAGGGACGTCAGCCCAAATTAAACGTCAGGCTGAAAAAAATGTTTTTTCTCCACCTAGATTCAGGCCTCGTCCACACGTATCCGGATCTTTTTTAATCTCAATTTTCTAGAAAAAATACACTTCCTCAAGTAGCATATTCGAATCGCTTTCGCCCTTTCCTCTCGACAACGCTAGAGCTTGCGTAATGCAATGCTATGTGATGTATGACATAATCCTATGCGAAAAGCTCCGTTTTCGTCCCGCGTCCACACGAAAATTTTCTTTTTTTGCTCGAAAACGCCGTTTACGTGTGGACGGAAGGCTAAAACGGAGAAAAGAAATCTCAGTTTTCAAAATATCCGGATACGTGTTGACAGGACCTCAAATAATATTTGATATAATCAACTAATACTGTGCCTCAGCTGTGTGCCTCTTCGGTGCTTATGTTTGCGCCTCTTAAAATACCCATATTTCATTTAATTTAGAGTGCAAGTAAATAAAATATCCTTGAATCAAACTAATGTGACCGTAAAGCTTTGATATCAGCAATTTATGATATTACTTAACCGAAGACGACAATTAACAATCGCGCCGAGAGGAAACTAGCCTCTTGAGTGCTAAGTGCTTCATATCACGACATTCGCACAGCTGACGCATGAACTAATTTATTGTTTTATAAAATTGTCAATGCAATCAATGCGGCAGTTGAGTTCAAATTTTATTATTAATTATAACGCGCGATTAAAGCAGTAGGCGTCAATGTCTGAGTGACTATAGTTTGTTTTTACATTGACAGTTATGTTTAAGGTTTGGAATCCATATCGAGATGGAAAACTATTAGTTCACCGAAAAAATTATTTTTAAACGTAAAAATTTGCCCTCCACATACAATCTTTTTTGTATATCGGTAAGAGTGTTGTTTTACCGGCCCACACCGAATACCGTAGTCTTATTTTTCTGCCGATTAAACACTTAAAATATTGTATTATTCTCAAACTATAGCTTATCAGTTTATGACATTTCCGTTTTACAATGTTTTGGGGTTTCAATTACAAGGTGTTAGGTGTCTAGATCTAGTTTTGTCGTTAAGAAGAAAGGAATAATTTTATACAGTTAAAAAATAACATTGCATTGTATTTAAAGATTTATAGCACACAAAAGTTTGAGCCTCGGGTTCATTCTTAAAATATCCTTAAAATTTCAGCTTCGATATTCTTATAAAATATATTCTTACAAAGAAAAAGAGTGTGGCTCGCAGAGCCGGATGGCAACAACAACACGTACCTATCTTTTTTCTGTTAACAAATTCAGTGTCTTTCTTTAGATTACGTTAAAATTTGTGAACGCTTCATCTTGTGCTATTGAGTTATGGAAGAACTTGGAGGATACTAAAGCTCACAAAAACTCGAGGTATTTGTTGACGTTATCAGCGAATATCATGGAATATGAAGCACGCTAGCGCTATTGAATTTAATTTGTATGTCTTAAACTGAGTCCTCTGTTAACTCAAGGACTTCCGCTTTCTAACTCGTGATGTCATGACGGGAGGTAAAATTGCGAATTCCGATTTTGGATTGAGGTTTTACCCCTTTTCACCGGATTAAGATTCACCGTTTATCTTTTTGGTGACATCAGAACACTGACAGTACAAAAAAATTGAGCATGTTATGGTAGTTTAATCTTGTTTTTGAACCCTCTGTTAACTTGAACTTAACACATAATTGATGTTTTCTACAGTGCAGTTGGTGATTTGTCGGGAAAAAATCCAATTCAGGCTACAAGGTCAGGGAAAACGTGAGAAGTCTCTTTTGAGTTAGGCAAAATCTTAATTTTCAGGAATAGTGATGACTGAAGCATTTCCGGTCACTGGGTTCTGAAGGATGTCTTAATTAATTCTTTATGAAAAAGGTAAACCGTTCTTTTGAAGGGCTGGTAGAAACGTTTTAATTAATAAGGACGGAATGATATTTTGCATTTAATTGGTTTGGGTAATTTCATAGTTTTAATCGGGAAAATGTCGGGGCATTTTTAAAACCGTTGTCTAAAAACCAAAACTCACGATATGTTCTTATTTCCCTTCAGTTAAGTGGATTCAATTTCCTATTATGTAAACCGGAAAAATTATATGTTCACGGCCCAATAAATCTTTTGAACGGTTTCTTGCGCATATTCCTTAGAATTTTCTCGTATTTTCTCGATAAGAATATTTTTACGGCTACGGACATGTGAGATTACCTTTTGCAAAACTAAAATAGGAGTGTTTCGCAGGCGTCAACGAATTTGAAAGCTAATCTTAAAAAGCTTTCTATGGATGGCAGTTCTAACTTAAACAGAACAAACTAAAGATTAATTGTTAAACGTAACGGGAATGTATTTCATTTTTATGCGCACTCAAGTGAATTAAATTTTGGAGCACGTAAAGGGGCAATGCCACGAGGATATTACTCAGGTTTTAGGTCAATTATGTGCTGATATCATTACTTAATGTCTTTGCCGATACACAAAATTCTCCTGTACAGTTATGAAGTGGATATTAAACAAATTTCGCCACAAACCATAGTATTCTTTGGTGATTTTTGCAGGCACAGCATGATTGACACATGAAAAAAGTTGGCTGGACTTTTTAAAGTGTACATCCATTTCCATGCAACAGACGACAGGAAACTGTTTTAATGCTTAAAGAAAAACTAGACTATTATTTTTGGAATTCAATGATGGGAACGATATTTTAACTTTTAAAAGATACAAAATAGCGTGACCTTTTAAGGCGTTTATGTAGTTACACTACCGTTTGGTGTGGCCGTCACTATGAAGCGAAAAAAAAAATGATGTTTGCCTTAAAATATGAGATTCCGGATTTACAAGACCGACAAAAAAGCGGTGGGAGATTTATAGAAATTTTGGTAAATTTGGATGTGGTTTTGCCGTTTTTACGTTTCCGTTTCTGATTTTAGCTCTTTTCTGTTCTGTATTGAGATTTTGAATCACTTTCTCTCCCCTTCTAAGGTCCCCTTTGAATTGAATGAGAAACCAAAGCTTTTTGTATGATTTTAAAGAAGCTAGTAGTTATTTGTTTAACTAGAACCGGACATTGCCCAAAGGTAAAAAAAAAAAAAATCATAAAGACAGTTTATCATACATTTGTATATTTTGGTATCCAAACAGCAAGAAACAAACTTGGGAAACATATCAACTGCCCGTGCACGTAGTCTGAAATCAAAGTTTTTGCTGTCAGTCCGAGAAGATTACTCGGAGCAAACACTCGTCTAAAGAGGCCAGGATACGTGCTCATCGCCTCGTTTATGGGGTGTGGGGGAGAAAATCAGAGGAAAGGTATTTTTAGCTTTGCAGGTATCCCTTTGGGCTATGCATGAAGAAATAAAAAACAAAAGAGAGAAAAAGAACGAACGAAATCATTTGAAGCAAACATAAAACACAATAATTATATAATAATAATGATTATAGAATGGTATCCTTTAGAGGTCAAAGAAAACCTGGACCACGCCCAGGAACAGGTCTCCTGTAAGTGCTTACACCAATATTCTCGAATAGTCGCCCTTTAGCCTTGAAACCGATGTAATAGTGATCAACCGGGATAATTAAGGGATAATATTTGTTCTTATGGTAGAACAGTTCAGCTTTTTACGTGATCTCTCATAACGGAAAAATTCAATAGGATCTCAATTCCTTAGACATTACACAACAGTTAAAAACAACCCAAGTTCTAGCAAAGAAAGATATATAAGCGGGCTGGGTTTTAACAACTGAAAAATAAGTTGAATCAGTTAACTGGTCTATCTTAAAGTCCTAAGGAGGAGAAGTCTTTAGAAATGGAGTTGTTTCGTTGCGTTTTTATAGTAAGTGTGTAGCAGATATATATTTTTTTGCTTCGGTTGACATTTTTTTTTAGTTAGGTAAACTTTGAAATTGCTTAAACTAAACGGTTTCGGTTGTATCCAATTTCTCGGTTGATTTTACCCTTGTTTTTAGCTGCTTTATTATTGCTTACTGAGGATAATTGCTTTTAGAGGATAACTTTTGCTGTTATTCATGTTGGGTAATTCTGAACAGATACTTTTGAAAAACTCTCAACAGATAAAATATACGTTTTAATGTCCTTTCTGTATTCGCAGTTTCTTGGGGTGTTCTTGTCTGCTTTGAAGGTCCAATCCACCAGAAACGTTAGTATATCACACACCGAAGGTCTCTGCAAAGAGGAAGGCGGGCGCTATTGGGCGATAGACACTGCGACCAAGACCTCGATTAATAATATCACACAATGTGATGCTAGAGCCGATGGTGAAAGTCGAAGTGAGTCAAAAGTAAAAACTATTTAGAAGTTGCTATAATTAATAAAGTTACACTGTAAGTATTCATAAGTTGATTTTGATATTATTAGATTTAAAAATACTTTTTTAGGATAAAATTAAAACAAGGTAAAATAAAATAGTTTAAAAGAAATGGCGAGAAGAAAGCTGCAAGGTTTAAATGTATCTCTTATGACTGATAATTACGTTAATTTAAATTGATTTACGTGTTGAAGAATGGTGGATGGGTCAAGATATGCGTGTTTGGTCTTTAGATCTTAATGAGCGACTCATGTACTTGAGTTTTGAAATTATTAATGATATTAAAGTTGTTTTAGATGTTTTGGTAAGGCATTTTACGCTTTAGCTGTGTAGCATATGTTCTGATTGGTACATAGGATTAGAGTTTGATGTAGCATAGAGGAAACTTAAAGGCCGATTGCTTTTGATAAACCTAGGGATA